TGCCTTGACTCGCATGCAGACCTGCCGTCATAAGCCCCCCCATCCACCCCCCTGCCCCACTGCAGGTTTGCCGTCTGAAGTGCGGGAGGCCATGTACAAGGTGGCGTCGGTGAACCTTTGCTCCAACGTGCCAGGGCAGATACTCATGGCGCTCATTGCCATGCCGCCCCAGGTGAATACTAGCTCACTATCTCGGGTCTTGTTACGCTGTCTGCTTCTCAGGCATCCCTGACTTACTTTCTCTTCGTCTAATTGATGGAGCTTGCGCGTGCATGTGCTTGTGTGTGGGGAGTGTGTGTGTGGGAGGGAGGGGGGCAGTACAATTGTTTGTGCATGTGTGTGACTGTGCATGTGTGTGACTGTGCATGTATGCAGGAAGGGGACGATGCATTCCCTGTCTTCACTGCTGAGAGAGATGCCATCCTCTCCTCACTCGCCCGTCGTGCCAAGGTCTGCCCCTCACTCCATGACTTAGCCTTTCGCATTTCAACTACTGGTATCTTGAAAGGGCATTTCCCTTTTTTTACCCTGAACGTGTCAGGTACGCCTGCCTTAAGGTTGCACATCCCTTTCTGTGTTCGTGCAACCATTCTCTCTCTCCAACCCACCCTTTCAGCTGCTCGTTGATGTGCTTAACTCCCTCGAAGGCATCACCTGCAATCCCTCCGAGGGGGCCATGTACGCCTTCCCCAGACTGCACCTCCCCCCACGAGCAGTGGAAGCAGCAGCAGCAGTGGGCATGCCAGCAGACACCTTCTACGCCCGCCGGTTGCTGGATGCCACAGGGATTGTCGTGGTCCCAGGGTCAGGTTTCGGGCAAGAGCCAGGGACGTGGCACGTGCGGTTTACGATTTTGCCGCCCGAGGATAAAATCTCGGGGATGATGGAGCGGTTTGCGGAGTTCCATGGTAGATTCATGCGGGAGTTCACTATTTGAAGGAGACTCATATGGTGAAGGTGTTGTCCGCATAGTGCAGTACCCCTTTCCCAAGCTAGTTATCTTGTTTTTTTCTCAGCAAGCTTATGCTAGTACATGATCCTTAGGCCCCCCTCTCCTCCGTGGTGTTTCGTATCATCCATTTAGGACGTCAGTGCCCCTTTTTTCATTACTGAAATCTTTGTCCATGGGATCAGTGACTTAAATGGCAATGCCCCTCTTAGTTGCGTTTTGTTCCAAATGTGTAAGTTAATATGAAAGAAAATTGTAACGAGGACAGATATTTCTTCGCGCCACTCTCCGCCACGTGACGGGGATGTGGAAAATGAACACCCCACTCCAGCGGGCTAGATAGTTGTCAGCAGTGCGTCGTCTCTTGTTTAAGTCTAGTCAGCGGCATCGCCTCGTCTTTAGTCGTCTCTTCGCATGGTTTTATCTCGTCCAATACTCCTCTCCAGAGCCGCTTTGTGACGCTCTGCCAGCTCTGACATTGCAGTTGCGGCCTGACGCTAATTGTCATGGCTTGCTGCCAGATTCGCTGGGATCCACGATCTCCTGCTCTCGGCTTTCTGAGGACGGCGCGAGGGATGCGACAGACGGAAGTAGTACTGTTACCGCTCGCTAAGCGTTATAGAAAGGCATGTAAACAACTCCGGCTCCCTCTGTTGGTTAGCGTGCTTCACGTTCACCCCAGCCAAGTCAATGTCTTTCCTGTTCCATCTACAACCCACTAGTCTTGACGGTTCTCGTGTACCTTGGTTTGTGACTACTTTTGTGTGGATCAGGGCGAGCGGATTCGGAGGTCAGGAAGATGTTACGCCTCGTCGGACGACTCGTCGGACGAGTGGAGTTTCGCACGATCCGACGAGTCTGACCGGTCCAAGGAATTCGCGGCAAGACTCGAGCAAGCCTGGAGCATACGAAAGGTGCCTTTTCACGCCTTCTCTTCCATATGCCACCTTTTCCTCCTCCAGTACCTCTGCTTCCACTTTCAGCTCCTTGTAGCTCCAGTACCCCTTCCGTTCTGACTGAAGCGTTGCATCTGGATGACCTTCTTGGCTCTCCTTGATTTCTCGCCTCTCCCGTTGAGCAGAACCAGGGCCCTGTGGCATGCGAGGAGTGCATGGCGCAGGGCTGTATTGAGTGCAACTGGTGCCGTGGGACGGGCTACTTCATTGTGGGAGACAACATGCTGTGCTCTGTATCTTCACGGAGCAACACATGTGTTATCTGCGGAGGCAAGGTGGGATTTTTCTGGAGGAGAGAATATGGATAGAAAGGTCCTCGAGACTAGGCATGGATGCCCTTTTGGTTCCTCGCATTTCCATATAAAATTCATGGGGAAATAATGCTCCTTCATTTTGTGTTTTGTGTGGCACACTGCAGGGTACTGTCCGTTGCCTTGACTGTGCCGGTACTGGTTTCAGAGCTCGTTGGCTCAAAAGGCCTACACCTGGAAAACAACCATCAGGTTGAGCTAAAATCTTGCCCTTTTCCTTACCAAGTGGTTGTGGGAGTCCGCTGCAGACCGGCGCATCAATTTCATGGCTTAGATTGATTTAGAGGGGCCTGAGAATATTCTTGGCCCCAAATTATTGTTGCCACAGGTTGGCACAATGTGTAAATAGATGTTGTAGATAAGTAGAGTTTGATGTTTTGTTGTGTAATAGTTTCCTTTTGTATCAACAAGTGAACAAATCTAAGTGCCGCGCTCCATGCAGCTTTGTTTCGCTATTCAGCTGGGAATCCAGAAGGGTCGGGTGGTAGGGCTAACGATTTGATTCTTTCCGCGTTCTTTCTAACGGAGCTCGTGGTGACGAGCGCATTGTCCCTAACGTTTTCCGTCACCTTACCCCGTTCTTGGCTAGGTTGGTTGGGTTGCTCTGCTCGGTTCCCTCCTCTTCCCTCAAACCCACTCCACTGCTTGCAGCAACCACCCACCTCCCCACTTTCTCCCAGCCCTCCAACGGGATCTTTGCTGCTCTCTAGCCTCGGAACCTAGCATGGTGCTATGAGGCTGTTCTAACAAGGTTCTAGGGTTGTCCGATTGTGGTGCAGGCTTGTGTTAGTGTGTTCTGTAGGTAGCACAGGCCGATATTTTGTTAGGCCTGGTGATTGGAGGAGCTCTCTTTTCTTTTCCGTGTCAGAGCTATGGAGCGATATGAAATCCTCAAAGATATCGGTTCGGGAAATTTCGGGATTGCGAAGTTAATGCGAGATAAGAGAACGAAGGAGATGGTTGCGGTGAAGTTCATCGAGCGTGGCGACAAGGCACGTGCATATCTGTTGCATCCATTTTCCCCAGGACAGAGCTAGTAGTGGCTTATTCGGTTGTTGAGTCTTGGTTTGATTCTCCCAAGAGAGTTGTTTGATGTCTGCAGATCGACGAGAATGTTCAGCGTGAAATCATTAACCATCGTTCCTTAAGGCACCCTAACATCATCCGATTCCGCGAGGTGAGTTGCTCACCGCTCCTCTGATCCTCGGCTGCTTGAGCTTCTCTTGTGGGTTGCTCAGTTTGACCTTGGAAGCTTTTTCCTCGCTTGTGCTTTCAGGTGTGCCTTACTCCTCAGCATTTGGCCATTATAATGGAGTACGCGGCTGGCGGTGAACTGTTCGAGCGAATCTGTAACGCCGGTCGATTCAGCGAAGATGAGGTACTTAGTGCGCACATTTCTGTCAGAAATGGCGGTTTTCTGAATGGCGTGTTTGGGTATTAACGCTTTCGGTTTCGTCTTCCAGGCCCGATTTTTCTTTCAACAATTGGTCGCCGGCATCAGCTACTGTCACTCTATGGTAAGAATAGCTCATGTCGTCTAGGCGATTGACCCTTCGATGATAGCATATTAATATTTGACGCCCTCCGTTTTCGCAGCAAATCTGCCATCGCGATCTGAAGCTTGAAAACACCCTTCTGGATGGAAGTCCCGCACCTCGTCTGAAGATTTGCGATTTTGGTTACTCGAAGGTATCGTGTCAAATGTCGGGGCTAGAGATGTGGCGTCGTTTCCCGCACTAAGATGTTCCCGTTTTACCTTTCCAGTCCTCGTTGCTGCATTCACAACCAAAATCCACCGTCGGCACTCCAGCTTACATTGCACCCGAAGTACTGTCCAAGAAGGAATACGATGGAAAGGTAATGTGCTCTGTACTATATTTTTGCAAGAACATCACGTATTGACTCTTTCCTCATCTAATCCAAAGTTTTTTCCATGTGACAGACTGCTGACGTGTGGTCTTGTGGAGTCACACTATACGTCATGCTAGTAGGGGCTTACCCGTTCGAGGACCCTGATGACCCTAGGAACTTCCGGAAAACCATTGGTGTACGTCACATTTCTTCTCTGCTGCTGTGCTTTTCTTTCGCAATCCCTACAGCATTCACATACTTTTCTGCCTTGCCTTGTTTACAGCGCATCATGAGTGTCCAGTATCACGTTCCACCGTATGTGCGCCTGTCTCCGGAGTGCAAGCATCTCCTGTCGAGAATTTTCACAGCTAACCCCACGAAGGTAAGTGCAGATGGTCTGATGGGAAATAAGCTTGTTGTTGTTGTTTGCTTCCATTTCTCACTTTCACCATCCTGGATCCACCCTTGTCTGCAGCGCATCACAATGCCGGAGATCAAGAGGCACCCATGGTTCTTGCGGAACCTGCCAGCAGATTTGATGCATGAAAATGACCCGGGCTACCAGTACGATGATCCAAACCACCCGCCTCAAAGCATTGAAGAGATCATGAGGATCTTGCAGGAAGCTCGGGTTCCCGGCATTGCTCAGCCTTCTGGAGATGGTTACCTCAACGATGACAGGGATGACGAGAGAGATGACGAGGACATGGACAATGACATGGATGACTTTGAGGGCAGTGGAGAGTTTGTCAACGCTCTTTGAGAGACTTGGTTCTTTCCTTACTTTTACACGGCAGTACATCATGAGGTGGCTGACACATTCCTGTTATGTTGCAGTTCACGTGGCTAGATATAGTGTGAATCTTAGTTCGACCCTAGCCACTAGTGGCTTGTGCCAGATTGCCGGGCAATGGCTAATAACAAACTGATGTACAAATGAAGAGCAGTATACAGAGGGAAGGGCAGACCAACGATAACCTCTGGTGCCAACAGTAAGCTATCTTTTTGTTTCTCATATCAACCACCACCACTGGCTGATTTCAGCTGAATAGCTGCCAGCTCTTCCTCCACGAACTCCCCCGCAGGCTTAGGTGGGAAACTAGGTGCCAACATGCTGGTTGCGAAGTGACCAATTGGCATGAGTACCTCGTCTGAAGCTATGTGTGCAAACACCTGCAAGGACAAAACAGATCACAGCTCAACATGAGTGCATGATTATACAACTGTCACCCGTCAATTCTTCAAATAAAATCATGGTTGACTGGGTCATCCTCTGCAGCATACCGTGCTGGAGACCCGCCAGAGGCTGCGCCCCTGTTGTTGCGCTCGTTGCACTGCCGCCACTGTGCCATCATCCACCACCACCTCGTGCATGCCTGCTGCCACCTCGCCTCCCGTCAGCCACTCCATCTGCCAAGATGGACATCAAGCAATGCCACGTCAAGAAAGCTTCACAGCTTCCCACGTCAGCCACTAATGACCATGCGCCGGCACAATTCATCACCAAAATGATGAGGAAACAAAAAGATAAAAAAAAATTGTGAACCCTTCTAACCTCCTTTCCCGCTTGCAGGAGCAGGCAGCCATCCGGCACTGAGACTCGGCAGCAGGTCCCATCCCGCAGCCAGATGCGGAGGCCAGGGAATCTGCACCGTCCGTGAATGGTGAGGAAATTGAGGTCTGCGTGGTAACCCGCCAGGACCGTCCCAGTGGAGCCGTGCTCTCTCAGGTCACTGCCTGTGGGAGCCAGCAGGTGCGGGCCCTGGAGTGGCGATGGGGAGGTGGGCAGTGGGGGGAGGAGTATTGAGTTAACTAAAAGATCACCTATGTGCTCTCTCAGGTCACTGCCCGTGGGGGCCAGCAGGTGTGGGCCCTGGGTTGGCAATGGGGCTGTGGGCACAGGAACGGGTGAGACATGCCAGCGAAAGGGAAAGCTGGAACAGCGGAAGGCTGAGACACACAAGTCCAGGCTGCAAAAGCAGCAGGGCAAGGAAGTTTGCAGACTGATGGGATGGAGAAAGGTAAGCTGGTATGGGGGAGGGGAGTGCTTCCATACCATACCATGGGGATGCGAGAGGTGAAGGAGTCCGGTGGGAGGTCAAAGCGAAAGCAGCAGGGAAGGATGCTTGCGGACTGATGGGATGGACAGAGCGAAGCTGGTATGGGGGAGGGGAGTGCTTCCATACCATGTGCATGCGAGAGGTGAAGGAGTCCGGTGGGAGGTCAAAGCCGATTGCCAACATCTCAGCCACCGCCTGCCACACATCCCACGTCAGCATGTGGAGGCTTCATGTCAGATTTGTTTCGACCAATCCAGCATCAAGCCAATCACCACACACAGCGCCTTCAAAAATCAGCGCAGAATCCAGCGCACTTCTGCTCCTTCCAGCCCCTCTTCCCTCCATTCTCTCCCCCCTGCCCTCCACTCTCACCGTTGCCCCTTCCCCTCACCTCCACTGCAGCCAGCATCTTGCATCCCCACCCGTCCATCACCGACGACCACTGCGGGAACCCCTCCGGCACAACTGGACTGGCGTTCAGCTCCTGGTATAGGCGCATCACGAATAGGTCATCAGACTCCGCACATTGCATCGTAAGCAGGCATCTGAATGAGTGAAAGCAGCGGAGGAAGCAGCTAATTTGGCAAGACGGCGAAGCAGGGAGATAGGTGCTGCAGTCTGACCTGGTATCTGGTAGCGGCGGGGCGCGGCCCCACGCGCCACATGAAGCGCCACTTGCAGTCGGGGCCCGAGGGCGCCTGGGGGCGGCTGTCCGCGGGGAGTTGCGCCATGCGCGCCCTCACCGCGTCGTCCAGCGCGCTCTGCGGCATCTCCACGCCCTCGGGGGTCACTCCCACCTGCAGCGCGGAAGGCGCAGGGCGCGGGGAGGAGGCGCGGACGCGGGAGGCACGCGGGAGGCACGCGGGAAGTAAGGCGCGGAGAGCCCGGGGAAAGAATGGGGGTAATGGACAACCTCTTACAGGAGAAGAGTTGGTGACCCATTAGGCCCCCGAGTGAAAGGAACCTCTCAGGGATTTAAGACATCGTACATGATAGTGCAGTTCCGGCCGCGAGTGTGCGAGTTTCGTCGCCTTGGGCTACTCGAAGTATTTCTCCATCATGTCCAGAAACCGGTCATTGTCCGCCTGCTCGCACGAGCACATGCTTGGGCTCATGCACATGCACATGCACATGCTTGGCCAAACCAGCCTTACCTGATAGTGCAACTCGGGGCGCGAGTGCGCGATCTTCGTCGCCTTGGGCTGCTCGAAGTATTTCTCCATCATGTCTAAAAACCGGTCGTTGTCCGCCTGCGCGCACCGCGGGTCGTGCACGATTAGCGCGCTGGTTGCGCGCAAACACTCCGCCATCGCGCGGCAGGTTTCCGCCACGGACGCGGGGAGCGGAGCGGCACCCGCCACTGCCGTATCCCCTGCTGCGTTTCCGCCTTTTAGCTGCAGAAAATCCGTTAGATCGAACGGCTGGAGGCACGCGGCCATCTGGAACCCTTAGAAACGAAGACGTTAAACGAAGATTTCAGCCGCAGCCGGCTCGATGAGAGGCTTGCTGTGTTCGAGGTAACGCTAGACTGGACTCTTCGTTCTTTTGCGACGTCTAGATACTATCTGTAATATGTGTATCCAGGTGAACCTTCGTGCGAAGCTCAGAAACAAAAAGCGAAGCTGGTGCGCTGCTCTTGAGTCGACTCAACAAAAGCAGTGCGCTGAGACTACGACGACGCGTCCCCAAGTAACGTGAATCCCAAGGCTCGGCTTCACGATGGAAAGTGCAGGAGGGTCGCTCCTAAAAAGCGTGAGGAGTGCTTGGGCTGTTCTAAGAATTTGACAGCACGAATGAAATGCCTGTTGCGTAGGTGCAACCGTGAGATATATACCAGAGCCTGCTGAGCGAGGGGACAAGAATGATGGGCGACAGGGGACCTGGAATGGTCACGGAGAGCGGGAAACTCGGCTGCTGCACGGGTCTGCGAGCGCGGGAATCTCGGTGCTCGACAATATCGGGGTTGTGAACTTGTGATGGCTCTCGGCATTCCCTATTCCCTTCAGACGCGAAGCTCCGAAGCTTTCGGATTGAGGGATGTTTGAATTGAATTGAAGCTCAAATCTCGAGGCTTTTTGTGGGTGTTTAGTTTGGATGCTTGAATTATGACCCGCTACTAAATGCCTCGTTTCGAGCAGAAGCTCGTTCCGATATTTCGTAGCGTCAGGTTGACGACCACTGTACAGAGTTCCCCCCACCCACTCGCAGCAACTGTGATGTCGCCTGAGGCATTTTTCTTCGTAAAGATGGTTACTATTCTTGGACGACAGTCGCGAATGTGCCTGACATTCTCGTTTTGCCGCAATCATGAATGGCTCAGTCTGAGGGCGTGGATCATTTGGTGCGTCTGTCGAATCGTTCGCAACTGATCCTCTCTCTACACTCATCAGTTACCCGGTGCGCGCTTTGTTACATATGATAAATGCGAGGTGTGCCAAATGCGAGAGTTTCAGAACCGCCAGGGACCGACCCATCACATCGGGATGATCCTCAATCCATCATATTCTCGTTCCAGCAAAAAAGTAAAATAAGTTGCCCGGGAATTTGATCGCACTTTTGCCCTTATCGCCAAATTACGAAAATGGGGAAATGTGTTTTTGACTGGTGGACGAAAGCTGATTGCTCCACGAGTGGTTGCCAAGTTGGCGCCTGTTCGTATCGCTTTTGCAGACGCCCAATTTTCCGTAGAAATTGGTGGGCGAGGCTTCTTTTGCGTCCCGGAAAAACAAAATTCAGAAAAATCGTCGATTCCTGTTTTGGCACAACTGGACCTCACGGACGACACCGAGGTGGAGGGACCAGCTCGCCAAACGATCCACTTGGACCGGTATTTTCGAGCGATCTCCCTTCTATACCCCATGGTGCCAGGCCCTAACCCCGCCCTTACATGCAATCTGTCAGAAAGTGAATCTGGGTGAAGTAACAGGAAAGACCATACCTGACTTGCACTTTCTGAAAGACGGCCATGGATGGCAACAGCTCCTTCATACGAGGTTATTGAGTCATCCCCTGATGAGGATGCGGCATCTTGCGCCAACACAAATTTGTTCGGGTTAGTTCCCGTATTTACATTTGCTACAGAGCTGGTATTCCGTGGATGAGGCGACATTGAGCTTCGCGTAGGTTCTTTAGTATTCGTCAACGCCAAACGCGCTCGGGGTCAGTTGACGAAATGGCGTTTTTTCAATCTGGTTACCCCGCTCTAGGACTCGATCCTTCCGCTACCCATGCCATCACGACGTCATGGTGGAATCTGGACCACTCGTTGAACGCCTTGATCGAGGGGATCAACGGTCGGATCAGCAGCGGAGCCTACAGCAACACCGAAGGCGAAGGAAGCAGCGAGAACGAGAACAGAAGCGGAGGATTCGCGTGGAGCGCGGAAGGGCGGAGGCGCAGGCGCGTGCGATTCTGGCGGACTGGCGCGAGGCGGAAGGATCTCGGGGTGCTGTGCAGACACGGGATGGGACCACTGACGGTTGATTACGTCAGCGGATGCCTGAAGGTGAGATTGTCTACGTCAGCCGCTGCCTACTGACGAAAGCGTCCTGCATGGATACTCTGAGCTGCTATGTCTTCTCAGCTCCTATTGTTCCCTAAGCGTTCTCTGGATGTTCCCTCCTATTCGCTGACTCTTTCAGAGAAGACGCTATTGTTTCCTACTTCGAATTTGCGTGAGGAGTCTATTCGCTGACTCTTTCAGAGAAGACGCTATTGTTTCCTACTTCGAATTTCCCCATTCCGCCCGTCTCCCTTACCCCTCTGCCACGGCTTTGTACAGAGGAGCTTCCAGGAAACCGCTCTGCCCCGCTTTCAGAGAGCAATGGGGGAAGCAGCAAGTAGTGGAGAAGGAGGAGGAGGGAGAGCAGGAGGGAGTGCAGGAGGGAGTGCAGGAGGGGAAACAAAGAGGAAGGGTAAGAAACACAGGCAGAAGGAAGCTGACGGGAAGTTACTCGCAGCTCTGAACGAGCTCTGTGCGGTGAAGTATGCTTTCACGCTTGTGCTTGCTGACGTGGCAGCTGAGGTGGCACGGTGCAACGCCAAGCGTGGAATTGGGAACGTGTGGGGCGACCCGTGGGGTGAGGTAGTAGGGAGAGAGGAGGTTGAGGGGGAGGAAGAGGAGGGGGAGAGCGGGGAGGAGGAGGCAGAGAGAGAAGAGGCAGAGTGGGAAGAGGAGGGATGTGATGACGTGGCAGCAGTTGAAGATTTGCGGGAGAGCTTACAGGCTATGGTGGTGAATGCAACGCCGACACAGCTGTATGGTGAGTGTGCGTGCATAGCTGTAGGATCAGCTGTACGGTAAGCTCGAGTAGCAGTATGGTGTGTCACTCACAGGGATGAGTGGAACGAAGTCAAGCTGGTACATTCATCCTACGTACATGATGGTTCCAGCATTGCGCTCATAGGTGCATTGCGCTCAGGTGCATTGCGCTCATAGGGGCATTGCGCTCATAGGGGCATTGCGCTCATAGGTGCCTGATGGGTGAGTACGTGCAACACACATTGCAGATGTCCAGCGTTTTGACTCAGACAGTCACAGCTGCATGGCAAATCTGTGCTGCACGTCCATATGTTCACGCCCATATGTTCACGCCCACATGCTCACGTCCATATGCTCTTTCTTACCCGGTGACATCCGTGCCTGTGCACGCGCACATGCACCGCAGGGCTGTTGCAAGAATTTCTGTCCTCTCGCTTCAAGGAGGTGTCTAAGTGCATGCGTCCATTCTATAAGGAGGATGAGGATGAAGACGAGGAAGAAGAAGAGGAAGAGGAGGAAGAAGAGGAAGAGGAGGAAGAGGAGGAGGAGGAGGAGGAAGAGGAGGAGGAGGAAGAAGAGGAGGAAGAGGAGGAGGAGGAGGCACATTCAAATGATCAAGCAGCAGCATCTGTCACTCCTACAGCCGGCACTGCCACTGCCGGTCGAGAGAGGTACGAGCATCTTCCAGGCTCCACTCCACCATTTGGCACGGAGACTGAGAACCTACTGGGAAGTTTCCCTGGGTTTGGAGGTTTAGAGCCGTCAGGGCAGGGGAAGGGCACGCGGAGGAGGCTGGAAGATGAGATGACGGCGCTTGAGTCGAGCCAGGGACGAGCAGTGGGGGTTGGGGGAGAGAGAATAGATGGAGGTGGGGGAAGAGAGGGAGGCAGAGGGGAGGAGGGGGAGGGCTTGGCAGGCGAGGAGGAGCGGCAGATCCTTGCAGCGGTGCTGGATGGAGTCTTAGATGTAGCAGCCGCGGAGAGCGCAGACAAGGAGGGGCTTAGGGAGGGAGAGTTTGGAGAGAAAGAGGGTTTAGGAGGAGATGGGACCGAGGACGTGGGTCTGGAGGAGGGGGGGGCGTTTGGCGCAGGGGGGGGTGTGGGCGCGTCTGTGTGTTGGGTGGGGCGGTTGGAGGAGCGGGTGGGGCGTGCGTGGGTGCGGTGCGTGCAGGGAGTGATGCGTACGCTTGGCTTTGCTAGTCTCTCGTTCGTGGCGCACTCGGTGATGTGCGCCGTGCTGCTGGCCCAGGTCAAGGAGCACGTGCATGCATCGGCGGGGGACGCTTTCGACCGTCGGATCCTCCCCCGCCTGCATCGCTGGCTGCAGATCACAGCCCTGCCCTTCGTTACTATCACCACCTCCACTGTCACCACAAGGGGCGGTACCAGCAAGGGTGCCACCAGCCGCGCATCAGATCACATCCTGGCCGCACGTCAAGATCAGATCCCAGCCACACATCTGCGTCAGTGGAGCGGCTGGCTGCGCCACGTGGTGTGCAGGGAGCTGTGCCAGCTGCGCACGCGCCAGCTGTTTGACATCATCGTTGACTACCCCGACTCCGCCCCGGCTATAGACGACCTTAAAGAGTGCCTTGAGTCCGACACCACTGGCTTCCCTGCCGGTTGGTCTGGTGCTGGTGTGGCGGGACCTGGCACTGCCGCTCTTGCTGCCGCTGCCCCTCCCCTGATTGCTCTGGTTGGGACACAAAAGGTCGGAGGAGGGGAATGGGGAGGGGGAGTATGGGGGGCAGGGCTGGGGTGGGACGGTGGTGGGGATGGGAGCGCGCATGCGAGGCTGGTGGCCTCGTTCCGGGCGGCGCTGACCAATCGGCTGCTGACAGCTGGCGCGTCGACGGCTGACATCCTGCAGCAGTATGTGTCGGCGATCCGGGCTCTGAGGCGCGTTGACCCATCGGGGGTGGTGCTGGAGGCAGTCAGTGAGCCGATCAGGCAGTACTTGCGCGGGAGGAGGTGAGTGCCCACTGTGCAGTACCAAAGGCTACCATCCTGTGACATCGCCGACACATGCTGTAAACATCCTGCGGCAAATCCGTGTGTAATGAGTCGATTTTTTAGTCGACTCAAAAATCGACTTATTACACAAGGCAGGATGTGTCGGTGATCTGCGCCTGGAGGCGGTTGGACCCCTCAGGGGTGGTGGTGGAGGCAGTCAGTGACCCCATCAGGCAGTACCTGCGGGGGAGCAGGTGAGAGCCCATCACACGTATCTGTATTGTAGAAGGGGTGCGTCAAAAAGGAAAGGAGCATATTCTCAACATGCCCGTCTGGGCTCTGAGGCGTGTTGACCCGTTAAGGGTGGTGCTGGAGGCAGTTTGTGAGCCGATTCAACAGTACGTGCGGGGAAGGTGAGCGCCTAGTGTACTTGACCTTTTATGGTGGGTGGTGACTTGGAGGCACCAAAGTAAACCGGGCATACCATGCGCACCAAGCGTACCAAGCATACCAAGCATGCCAAGCATTCCGAGTATACCAAGCATACCGAGCATACCGAGCATACCAAGCAAACCAAGCAAACCAAGCATACCAAGCATATTGTAGTTAGCATACCGAGCATAGCAAGCATACTGAGCATCCCAAGCATGCCGAGCGTACGAGCATGCTATCTTCACTCCATCTCCCCCCCCTCCCTCCTTCCCCACACACAAACGCAGGGACACCATTCGCTGCATCATGACTCTGCTGACTCAGCACCCCTCAGCAGCGCCAGCTGGAGCCACCAGGGGCGCTGCTGACGTGGCGGATGACGTGGCAGGGGAGGCAGGGGACCCGGGTGACCTGTCGCTGCTGGAGGAGCTGAGCCGGGCGGCGCAGGGGGGGGAGGGGGAGGCCGGGGGGGTGGGGAAGGGGAGGAAGAAGGGGGAGAGCTGGGGGAAGATCTGGCTGCGGCTTTTGCTGCTGCTGAGCGGTGAGACTGGTGGTGGGACTGGTGGTGGGACTGGTGGTGAGACTGGTGGTGGGACTGGTGGTGGGACTGGTGGTGGGACTGGTGGTGGGACTGGTGGTTGTAGTGGCCAAGTGAGTGTTGAGACGTCTGAAAACTCGATTATTATCACGAGTTGGGGGAAGATCTGGCTGCGGCTTATGCTGCTGCTGAGCGGTGAGACTGGCGGGGAAAAATTAGTGCCAGAATGGGATGCTTCTTTCTGTTATTCTTTTCTCCTTTGTTACTTCAACCGTAACCGTGTTGTTCATTGGATGGAAGGAGCAACAACTATCTGTTCACAATTCACCATTCATAATCATGCAACAACTATCTGTTCACAATTCACCATTCGTAATCATGCAGTCACAATTCTCTTTTGGCTCAGCCGTTACAATGTCCCATTCTCATCGCCTCTCCAGCTGTCCCCCCTCCAGCTGGCAGCCCGACCCTATCGACGCTGGCGCTCCTCCGGTTCCCAGTCCCAGCAGTCCAAGGACATAGTGCGCGTGCTGGTGGGCGTGTACGGGTCTAGGGAAGTGCATGTCCAACCCTCTCCTCTCCCCGTGTCCACCCCGCCTGTGCCTCTCTGTGTACAGCTGGCAGCCTGACCCTATCGACGCTGACCCGTGGCGTTCCTCCAGCCAGTCGCAGCGCTCAAAGGACATAGTGCGCGTGCTGGTGGGCGTGTACGGGTCTCGGGAGGTGCTGGTGGGGGAGTACCGCGGCATGCTGGCGGAGCGGCTCATAGGGCGCGCTGGATATGACACGGACCGCGACGTGCGCACACTGGAGCTGCTGAAGGTGTGTGTACGGGCGCATTCTAAGCACATATGGTGTGTGTACGGGTGCATTCTAAGCACATATGGTGTGTGTACGGGCGCATTCTAAGCACATATGGTGTGTGTACGGGCGCATTCTAAGCACATATGGTGTGTGGTATTGAAGGTGTGCTGGCGGGCGTGTATGGTTCCCGGGAGGTGCTGGTGGGGGAGTACCGCGGCATGCTGGCGGAGCGGCTCGTAGGGCGTGCTGGATACGACACGGACCGAGATGTTGCGCACGCTGGAGCTGTTGAAGGTGCGTGGTTGTGCCATTGAAGGGCGTGCTGTTTGGGGTCTATGACTAAAGGGAGGTGCTGGTGGGGGAGTATCGCGGCATGCTGGCTGAGCGGCTCATAGGACGCGTGGGATATGAGACGGACCGAGACTTGCGCACATTGGAGTTGCTTAAGGTGAGTGTGTGGTGGACGCACATTGGAGTTGATTAAGGTGAGTGTGTGGTGGACGCACATTGGAGTTGATTAAGGTGAGTGTGTGGTGGACGCACATTGGAGTTGATTAAGGTGAGTGTATGGTGCATCCCAGGTGGATGTGTGTGCGTGCGCTACTGAAGGTGTGCTGGTGGGGATTACCACGGCATGCTGGCAGAGATGATGGTTGGGCGCGCTGAGTACGACACCGATAGGAATGCGCGCTCACTGGAGCTCCTCAAGTGGTGTGTGGGTGGGTATGTGTGTGAGTGGGTATGTGTGTGGGTGGGTATGTGTGTGGGTGGGTATGTGTGTGGGTGTTGTAGTGTTAGTTGAAGTGTGGGCGAAACGTGATGGTACGAGGCATGGCGGCTCCGAGCGCATCAACGGCCCTCTTGACTGCCATCCCCCTTCCACCGCCCTTCTGCCACCCTTCCACCGCCCTTCCGCCGCCCTTCCACCGCCCTTCCACCGCCCTTCCACCGCCCTTCCGCCGCCCTTCCGCCGCCCTTCCACCGCCCTTCCGCCGCCCTTCCGCCGCCCTTCCACCGCCCTTCCACCGCCCTTCCACCGCCCTTCCTCCGCCCTTCCTCCGCCCTTCCTCCGCCCTTCCTCCGCCCTTCCTCCTCCCCCTCAACCCCCCTCCCCCCCTTATACGTGCCTCCTTTGCCACCCCCACCTTCCAGCTCCGTTTCGGCGAGTCCAACCTGCACGCGTGTGAGGTGATGTTAAGAGACATGGCGGACTCAAAGCGCATCAACGGCAACGTGAAGCAGGCGATCAAAGTGGCGAGGGAGAAGGAAGCTCAGCTCGCGGCTGAGGCCGCTGCCTTTGAAGCCCGTGCGAAGGTGTACATGAGGAGACGAGGTGAGAAGAAGCTCAAGTTATGTGAACTATAGTGCTGCTGAAAGCTGCTGCTGCTGCTGATGCACGCACTTGCGAGATGACTGATGCGGAGATGAGTGAGGAGTGAAAAGGAGGTTACGAGAAGCTCAGGGTGGGATCGATATATCGCCCTGCTGAAGCTGCAACAACAGCCACCCTTGTTCCCACCCACCTGCCCTCCCCCCCACCCCCCACTCCCTCTTCTCCCCCTCTCTCTCCCCCTCCTTTCCCGCCCGCTCCCATTTTATCTTGTGGGTTTCAATATCCGTGCAGGCGTAGTCACTGGGCCGGGGGGTGGAGCAGCAGTAGTGCAGAGAGGGGGAAGGGGTGGCGAGGGAGGTGTATCCGGGTCAGGTGTTCCTGGTTCAGGTGTATCTAGGCCGGGTTCATCTGGCTCGGGCTCGTCCGGTTGGTCGCAGGCCCACACACCTGAGCACCTGGTGGTCAGGGGCTTGGCACCGCTCTCCACCCCTCCGGACCGAGCTACAGGGGGGCCGGCCGGGGGGGGAGGGGGAGGAGGAGTAGGGGAAGGGGGAGGAGGAGTGCTGGGGGGAGCGCAGTGGTTCACTCCAGATTCGTACGCTTCTCCCCCACCCGCTGCTGCACCTCAAGCGCCAACCGGTAATGGGAGGGGGGGGGGGGACGGGAAGAGGTGGGATGCTGATATGTGTATCATGCGCATGTGTTTAAGGGGGTGTGGGGGTGTTGAGGGAGTGCAGTGGTTTACTCCGGACTCGTATGCCTCTCCTCCACCCGCTGCTGCACCTCAAGCACCAACCGGTAAGGGGGGGGGGATGGGAAGAGGTGGGATGTTGATATGTGTATGCGGCATGTGTTTGGGGGGGTGGGGGGGTGTGGGAGTGGTGGGGGGGTCGCAGTGCTTCACTCCAGACTCGTATGCTTCTCCTCCTCCTGCTGCGGCACCTCAAGCACCAGCTGGTAAGGGGGGGGGGAGATGGGAAGTGGTAGAATGCTCATTGACATGTGTATGCCGCATGTCTTTAGGGGGGTGTGGGAGTGTTGAGGGAGTGCAGTTGTTTACTCCGGACTCGTATGCCTCTCCTCCACCCACTGCTGCACCTCAAGCGCCAACCGGTAAGGGGGGGGAGATGGGAAGAGGTGGGATGTTGATATGTGTATCGTGCGCATGTGTTAGGGGGGGTGTGGGAATGTTGGGGGGAGTGCAGTGGTTTACTCCGGACTCGTACGCTTCTCCCCCACCTGTTGCTGCGCCTCAAGCACCAACCGGTGAGAGGGGGGAGATGGGAAGAGGTAGGATGGCGGATGTGGTGTGTGAGGATGCATGTGTGTGTGTCTGGGACGATTGTGGGTGCTTGGTGGTTTTTGAGGCGCCTCAAAAATCGAGTGTGGGTGCTTGGTGGTGGGCTGGTTCTTGCACGAGATGCACTAGTGCCCGAACATGCTTAGTGCCCGAACATGCTTTGTGCTCCGAAGCTTATTCATTTCTGACGTGTCCATCCCATCTCAGCGCATCCACCTACTAGCTCATCTCCCTTCCCCGTTGCCCTTTCCTTCTTCTCACCCCTTCCCCCGCCCTCCTCCGCCCACTTCCTGCAGGTCTTGGGCTGATGCTGGGGGCAGCAGCTGCGTCAATTCTCGGTAGCGCCTCACCCCACTTCCCCTCCACCTCCCTGCCCCAAATTCCCCCACCCCCACTCCCACACCCAACCACCCGTGCTACCCCTGCTACCCCTGCCACCCCTGCTGCCCCTGCTGCCCCTGCTGCCCCTGCTGCCCCTGCTGCCCCTGCTGCCCCTGCTGCCCCTGCCACCCCTGCTGCCCCTGCTGCCCCTGCTGCCCCTGCTGCCCCTGCTGCCCCTGCCACCCCTGCTGCCCCTGCTGCCCCTCTCCCCCCCATTGGTGCCTCCCCAGATTTTTCTGGAGCCGCTGCCCCTGCCCCCCGTGCAGCCCGGCCGAATCTTTTGTCCCGCTGGGCTCGTCTGCGACCGGACCTGCGGGCGACACCGTTGTTTTCAGGAGAACGTTCCGCAGATCGCGGGCAGCCCGGAAATTCTGGCCGGACTCCGGGCCAATCAGGAGGCGGCAGCTCAGCAGTGGGTGGAAACAGGAGTGGTGGGAGAGTTGCTCAGGGGGGCTTTTGGGACATGATGGATGCCTTGGGGGGGGATGGGGGGGGGATGAGAACGCAGAGAGAAGGGGAGGTGGGGAGGAGGAGGGTGAGGTGGAAGGAGTGGAGGAAGAGGAGGAGCGGAAGGGCGAGGAGAAGGAGCAGTTGCTAACGCCTGAGAACCTAGACGCCACAATAGTGTCGGCTCTCTTTTGGCCGACTTTCCAAGAGGAGTCGGTGCGGTTACCAGAGCCAGTAACCAAGTTGATGGACGACTACGCAGCGAATTACGCCACGCTGAAAGCGCCTCGCAAGCTACAGTGGAAGGCGAACCTCGGGTGCGTTACACTCGAGCTGGAGTTTGGCAATGGCCGTAACACGCAGCAGTACACTGTAACACCTGTCCAAGCCGCCATCATCCTCAAATTCCAAACTTCTGGAGGAGGGCAAAAAAGTGGGGAAAACGCGGCTGAGGGTGCAGAAAACGGAGAGGGTAATACGGAGGATGAGGCGAGACCGCAGTGGGCGGCATCTGAGCTGGCAGCAGCGGTGGGCCTCCCAGTGCCGGTGCTGCGTCGGCGAATCACGTTCTGGGTGAACCAAGGCGTGATTGTCGAATCGATCGCCACCAATCGCTCCCCTCCTGAGCCTCTCTTCACGGTGGTAGACCACCAGGTAGACCCCACTGCTGCTGCTGCTCGGGCTGGGGATGGAGATGGTGACACCGATGCCGATGCTGCTGCTGCTGAGGGGGGTGGTGCTGGGTTGGGTGCGGTGCGAGGCGACGGTGGGGAGGCGGAGGAGATGGTAGCCGGAGGAGGGTTACTGATGGAGGACGAGGAGGAGGAGGGTGGCGGCATGGTGGCGTCGCTGGAGGCGCAGAGGAGGCAGGAGAGCGCGGTGCACGAGTCGTTTATCACAGGCATGCTCACCACCTTCGACGGCCTCCCTATAGAGCGCATCCACAACATGTTAAAGATGTTTGTGTCTGATCCGCCGTACGACCGCTCGCTGCCTCAGTTGCACGCATTTTTGGGGGTGCTGGTGGCACAGGAGAAGCTGGAGCTGAGGGATGGGCTGTACCGAAAGAAGAAGTGAAAGTAGTGTGCTGTGTGTACTTCCGGTGGCCTCAAGAGGCACCGCATGGAGACAGGCGCACGCTGCAGTAGCGACCGGTGTTCCTGGAGCATCCAGGTTCCGGTCAGTTAGTGTGTCTTGCATTGGACTGCCACAGAGCTTGTGAATTACCGGTTGCAGTGCAGCATGTGTGCACAATCTACTTGTTCCTGGGCCCCGGTTTCATAACCGAGCGGGGGGTTCTCGTGCAGTGGCAGGCTGTACCGGCTGGTATTATTAAGCAACCTCCAATCCAGTCCAGTACGTACTGAACTGACTCTAGATGCAGAGCACTTGCAAGGCACAACTCGCACAGCGATACCGGTACCACGAACTGGCTGATGGATCTCAGTGTCTTAGCAGAAGGCGACTAATACACCAACATCTTTGGCTGAGGCGCTACCGTATATTCTCCTCCCCAGCTGTATACCACACTCGGCTGCTGCTAGACCATGCAACACTTTCAGATTTCTTTAGAAGTGTTGTTATTCCCCCTTCTCCCCCACATCCCCAGCCTCCATCTCCTGCAGTACTCTCTCCGCCGCTGACGGTCGGCTGCTCACCGTGGCTGACGACGTGGTGGTCTGCTATGGGCGCGTGGATGGGGCAGGGGGAAGGTAAGCGAGGCCGGGCAGGAAGGAAAGGGAAAGGGTGGAGATGGTGAGTCAGCTGTGCACTGTGGCAGAAGTGGTCTGCCATGGGCGTGTGGAAAGGGCAAAGGAAAAGATAAGTAAGGCAGGTCAGGAGGGAAAGGGAAAGGGTGGAGATGGTGAGTCAGCTGCGCACTGTGGCAGAAGTGGTGGTCGGCCATGGGCGTGTGGAAGGGGCAAGGTGGAAGAGGGAGGGAGACGAACGGCGCAGCAGAGGGCGAGGAGGGAGGTGAGGGGGTGGGGTGGGCGGCAGAGGAAGGGGGGTCAGCTGCATCATCCGCATTTTCTGCACGGGTCAGACACTTTTGAGGCGCCTCAAAAGTCGGGTCAGACACCTCACTCACAGGGTAGGCAGCGCTTACAGGGATGCTGGCCCACTGGTCCTTCATTCTCAAAACCCGTTTCTGGCCAGCAGACACGGCGCTGTCGATCTTATCCTCGTGCTTCTTGATTTGCGGGTACAGGAACTTCCAGTAGATGATGCTGGCGCCCTGACAGTACGACGGATAACGGGACAGTGAAAAACGGGACAAGGAAGCAACAGCACAGCGTTGAGGCATCAAGAGGCTCAGGCAGAATATCTTTGCGGTGATTTGCAGATACTGGAAATACAAGAACTTTCAATAGATGATGCTGGCGCCCTGGAGCACGGGGATCAACACAAGGCAATGTATAGTGGGAGAAACAATCAGGCACATGGGTGGGATGGGGCTAAATGGCATGGGAAAGACGCAGCCGCGAGGTCACGAGAGCAGTGAGTGAGTGCAGGTGTCATGAAACGGACCTTTGTCATTGGCAGTTGGAGCCATAGAACGAAGAGCAGCTTGAGGGAGAAGAAGATGGGGAGCCTGCACCGGATGGGGAGTTTGAGAAATTTAATAACTCGCTTCAGAGATACTCGAGGACGTAGGGCACGAGCAGAAGGCACAGCCGTGGTTTTTGACGCGCCTCAAAAATCGTCTGAGAACTTGAATAACTCGCTTCAGAGATACTCAAGGATGTAAGGCACGAGCAGAAGGGACAGCCGTGGATGAAACCACGGCTTTTGAGTCGACTCAAAAGCACCAGCAGAGAGCCAGCCATGGACGAAATTACAGCTCGCAGCGAATCCCGAGGTAAGAAAAGCAGCGAATCCATTCGTGCTTCTGGATCATCTCATCCGAATCCTGTGTGAATCGTGAGATTTGACGAGAAAGTAGACGGAAGCCCGACTCACCAAGCGAGGACCCAGTAGAAGATCGATTCGACGAAGTTAACGCACGACAGGACGGTCCAGTACGTGAGCCATTGCGCCTTGTTCTCGGACGATTGCGAGTCGAGAGCCTTGAAGCTGGCGTAGAACGGGTATGCGAAGCTAAGTAGGACCCTGAAAGGACAGACACGAGCACGGGAGATCGGGAGAGACGAGGCGACGGTGATCGAAAGCTACGGAACAGGGATGTGCTTTTGAAGCGCCTCAAAAGCACTCTCGGTGATCGAAAGCTACGGACCACAGATTGGGGAAAGAGGCGGCAAAGTGCATCGCAGAACTTGAGAGGCTACAGCAACGTACTAACTTAGTTGTCTTAGATACAGCGATGTACTAACTTAGTAGTCTAAGCTACGCCGAACCTAGTCTTAGCTAAGCGATGCGTCGTACACGAGAGGCTTGACGACGAATTCGGTGGTGAGATGAGGCGACGCTACCACGGTCGCCACTGCGGTCGAGGCCATAGCTACAATGAAAGATGTAACAAGAGAATCAGACGGGTTGCGCGTCGGCCATGGATCGGTATTGCGTGGAAGTCTGAGGTCTGTGAAAGAAATAACCGACTGAAATACTGTACGAGTAAAATTCCCGCGAATCTGGGAAAAGCAGCAGGAACATGGAGAAAGCATTTCGGTAATATCGGAGCTGGCGCACCACCACAAATCAAGATCCCAGGGTTATTCGGTAACTAGGTGCTGTCGCACACATAAGTTTTCGCCAGAGCTCGTCGAAACCCAATATTTGGTATTTGCTTTTCGTTCGCGGGGAAGGCGAGACATGGCTGGAGTAACTGCTGAAGATGACGAAACACAACCAATCTAAAACCAGATCCCCAGCAGCAGCGATGGAGAGGCAGATGTGGCGAACAACCGTCAGGTTGACGAGGTCTTCGCGAAAAGCGGCCGATTTTCGCGGGGAGTTTGGTTCAAATCCCCTCCCTCACCTACACGATCCTCCAACCATTCTAGAACGGAAATACCATTAGTGGGCCAACAACAGCGCCATTTTGGAGATTAGAGACGTCATTTCGGCCGCTCCCTCGTCGCCATGCCGCCTAAGCGAAAGTAGCAATGGCTTTCAGAGCGTCAGACTCGCTGGTCGTTATAGGACGAACTTCAACAAGAAGAACGAGAATAGCTTTACTTGTCGCTCTGTTGCTGACGCTGTCAGGCCACGGACTAGCGAACCCCCGCAGAAGGGCGGCGGTACTAGATAGGGAGCTGCGCGATAGGCAGAGGCATGGGGGAGCGGAGACGCGGGGGACGCGGGGGACGCGGAGAAGAGTGCTGGCAGCGTCCCACCTAGAAGGTGATTGCTGCGTTCAACTAGAGCTGGACGTTAGTAACTGGACGTTCTATGAGTGGTAGCTAAGGACGTATGATCAGCTTTATAATCGTTACCTCCTGGCGACCGGACCTCTGTGATCCCATACCTTTCTCATAGCTCCTCTCTATCCTCTCTCACATCCCCCTCCTGCCTGTCCCCTGCCCGCCTGCCTCTTTTCAACCTCAGCACTATCCCGCGCGAATTGCTCTCAAGAGCAGCTCAGCAGTGCCGGTAACAGTAACATTAACGGTGGTGGTAACCAGCTGCCACCGTGGACGCCGCATGTGCCACGGGCCGTCCTCAGGAGAGGCATTGCGCACGAAGGCGACATGCTGCGATTCGGCCGCCTGCTGCACAAGGTGCGGCGGGGATGGGAGTTGGGAGGCGCAAAAAGAGGTGTGAGCCGGTGTGGGTTTGCCGTCATTCGCCTGAGAGAATGGTTTGATTCTGACCATTCTCAGGCGAGGTATAGCTCGCCGAGGGGGCATGCTGCGATTCGACCAGCTGCTGCACAAGGTACGCGGAGGAAGGGGGGGAGAAGGGAGAGCTGTGGGCTGGTGTGGATTGGTGTGGGGTGGTGTGGATTGGTGTGGGTTGGTGTGGATTGGTGTGGGCTGGTGTGGATTGGTGTGGGTTGGTGTGGATTGGTGTGGGTTGGTGTGGATTGGCGTGGGTTGGTGTGGTTTGGTGTGGGTTGGTGTGGATCGGTGTGGGTTGGTGTGGGGGTTGGTCCGCAGTTGACTCTGGCCGTCTTGAGGAGAGGCATTGCACACGAAGGAGCCATGCTACGATTCGACCGCCTGCTGAACAAGGTGCGGCAGGGGAGGGGGGGATGGGGATGAGGGAGAGGTGTGGGCTGGTGTGGGCTGGTGTGGGCTGGTGTGGATTGGTGTGGGCTGGTGTGGGCTGGTGTGGGCTGGTGTGGGCTGGTGTGAATTGGTGTGGGCTGGTGTGAATTGGTGTGGGCTGGTGTGGGCTGGTGTGGGCTGATGTGAATTGGTGTGGGTTAGCGTGGGTTGGTGTGCGGGCTGATCGCAGTTGACTCTGGCCGTCCTGAGGCGAGGTGTTGCGCAGGAATGCGGCATGCTGAGATTCGACCACCTGCTGCACAAGGTATGGAGGAGGGGGGGACTCGGAGGATGGTGGGGTGGTTGGGTGTGGGCTGGTTGGTGAAATTCTTGAGAATTCTTGAATTCTTGAGAAAAGCTCTAATCTAGAGGTGTGGGTGGCCGTCAGTTGACTCTGGCCATCCTGCAGCGAGGCCTAGCCCATGACGGAGACATGCTGCGGTTCGACCGGCTGCTGCACAAGGTGCGGCGGGGGAGGGGGGGACTGGGAGGAGTCTTCTTTTTCCTACCTCATCCCTCCCATGCAGATCAGATCAGATCATATCGGATCAGATCGGATCGGATCGGAACGGATCAGATCCGATCAGATCATAGTGCGCCATGATGAACCCATCCTAGTAGTAGCGATCGGCTGCAGCTCCACCTCGCAGTTCAGGGGGAGGTGACTCAAGGCCTGCAGTATCTCTTCAAGGCCTGTCTGTTTCCCCCGCATTCTCTTTCTCTCCCCCCATCTCCCTTCTCCTCCCTCCCCTGCAAGATGACTTTTGAGTCGACTCAAAAGTCATTCTCTTTCTCTCCCCCCATCTCCCTTCTCCTCCCTCCCCTGCAGATCATAGTGCGCCGCGAGCCCATCAAGGTGGTGGCCATCGGCAGCAGCTGCACGTCAGAATTCGGGGGGAGGAAGGGCCCGCAGCTCAAGCTGCTCAACCTCGACGCCTTCGAGTTCGGCAGGTGCGCTTGGGCTTGATGTGCCTTAGATTTCTCACCCAAACCTCTCAGTCACATATTTCAGTCATGGGAAACTTTCATCCTCTTCAAGGGGGCGTTCACCATCCTGCTCTTGACCCAATCTGCAAACGATGTGCTCCCTTCAACTCTCAACCCATCCAACCCAACAACCCCCCACCCACCACCCTCCCCCCTCTTGCAGGGTGGCCCCCAACAGCCCTTGGACTGGCAGCTGGCAGCCTTCCCCCAGAAGGAACCCCTTGACTTGCGCGCCACGCCACTCCCAGACGCAACCATGTACCCCAGCCAGACTTCAATCCAAACCTTGTACCCCAACTCCGCCCTCCCTCCCCCCCTCACAGGGTGGTGCATCCTGACGGGTGGCTCACAGCAGCGTTGGACTGGTTGCTGTTGGCCTTCCCCCCCAAGGACCCCCTCGACTTCCGCGTCACGCCCTTCCCAGACGCCTTCCCCCAGGCAGGCACCCTATAATCCCGAGCCCTAAAACCCAGCCCCCCCACCCCCCCCCACCTTCTCCCCTCCTTACAGGGTGGTGCATCCAGATGGGTGGCTCACAGCAGCCTTGGACTGGCTGCTGGCGGCCTTCCCCCCGAAGGAGCCCCATGACTTCAGCACCACGCCCTTCCCAGACTCCATCCCCGCCAAGGACCAGGAGCCGGTTCAGCCCTACTGGCTGCTCAACCTTGCCATCGGTGCCATCGGCCCGCAGCCGTGGGGCAAGTGCATGGGGTGAGTGCGTGGGGCGAGCCCGTGGCTATGTTTCAACAGTGAAGGGTCTTGTGTCTTGGGTTCACGGTGCCGTCCCCGCAAAGGACCAGGAGCCCGTGCAGCCCTACTGGCTGCTCAACCTTACCATCGGTGCCATCGGCCCGCAGCTGTGGGGGAAATGCATGGGGTGAGTCCTGGGCTGGGTCTAGGGGATAGAGTATGGGTTTCGGGCATAAGGCTTCATCCCCACCATGGACCAGCAGCCCCTGCAGCCCTCCTGGCTTCGGGTTATAGGTTCAGGGCGTAGGGTTTTAGGGTACAGGGCGCCATTCTTGCGCAGGACCGGGAGCCGCTGCAGGGCTACTGGCTGCTCAAACTTGCTATTGGCGCTATTGGCCCGCAGCCCAGCTCACCCCCCTCCCTCGTCCCCACCCACCCCAAACACACACACCCACAACAAGAGCACATACCTCTCTAAGCTCCCTAAAGACGTTGATCTGGTGGTGGTGGAGTGGGTTCTAGCAGCCAGAGGCATGGAGATGGCGGTTCAGCGGCTGCTCAAGCTCCTCACTCTCACCCATTCCACACACATACACCCCTCAAATCCAGGAACACGTATCTCTCCAAGCTCCCCTTCACCATCATACATCACCATCATACATCACCATCATACATCACCATCATACATCACCATCTGACGGTCAAGGACGTTGATCTGATGATGGTGGAGTGGGCTTTGGCAGCCAGCTACCCGGAAATAACCAGGGACATGGACATTGTCATGCAGTGGTGGCTCAAGCTGTGGACTCTCCCCCATCCTCCGTGGTCCTTCAGCTCTCCCCTCCCCCACCTCCCCCCCCCCCGTTCCCCCCCCGTTCTCCCCCCATCACCAGGAGCACATACCTGTCGAAGCTCCCAAAAGATGTTGACCTGGTGGTGGTGGAGTGGGCTTTGGCAGCCAGCTACCCCGAGATAGCCAGGGACATGGACATTGTCATTCAGCGCCTACTCAAGCTGTGGACAACGCCTCCCGCGTTTCTCTTTGTGCATTTCTTCTTCTGGTGCCGCGGCAACCTCTGGTGCCGCACCTGGCAGGTACGTCTGGTTGGTTGCGACTTGTGCCACACCCACATGGAATCATTTTTTAGAATTCTCAAAAGCGACTTGTGCCACACCCACATGGAATCACTGCATGGTATTGGTACATCTGGGGGCGACTCACCCACGTGGTATCACCGCTTTCGTTCTGCATGACCCAGGAGAACATCAAAGTGCTCTCCTTCGTCTCGTGGAACACCCTCCTTTCCCCTGCGCTCTCCTTTTCTCCTCCATATCCGCTTAACCACCAGGTGTGCCCCAACACATCCATATCCAGGTTTTGAGTCGACTCAAAATCCTCCATATCCGCTTAACCACCAGGTGGGCCCCAACACAGGACGAGCAGCGCTGGTGGTGGAGGAGGGCCCTTGGCAGCCGCTGACTCAGGACAACGTTGGCATCACTGAGGACCCAAAACCCTTGAGTTTTCATTCGTCTCGTTTGACTCCATGTGCCCCTTGTCCCTGTGCTCTGTGTACGTTGCTTTCTGACCAGACGGACGCCAAGACAGGTGTGGAGCTGGTGGTGGAGGGCCCTCAGCAGCCGTTGACTCGAAACAACTCCTTTGAACCTAAGCACTCTCTCTCTGCTGCATATCCCCCTCCCACCAGACGGACCCCAAGACAGGCGTGGAGCTGGTGGTGGAGGGCCCCCAGCAGCCGCTGACCCAGGAGAACATCGGAGTGTTCTCCTTTGACTCGTTCGATCACCGCGGCACGGGGCGCGTGACAGAAGATGACTTTCTGGTCCTCGTGCGCTACTACGGCTTCCCTGCCCTGTCTATGCGGGATGCCTTCTGGAACCTCGCCGCCCAACAGGTGAGCCATTCGTTGTGTTCTTCTTTGACTCGTTTGACCAACGCGTCACTGAGGATGACAGCTCGCTCGCCACTGCAGCTTCCCCACCTTGTCTATGCCGGATGCCTTCTGGAACCTAGCAGCGCACCACGTAAGCACTGATAGCAAAGGCACAAGACGTGGCTGCGCAATCAGTGTGCGACTTGGCTATCATCACGCACCGGGCGCGGCACTCAGGACGACTTCATGGTTGTCTGGTTGCCCATTTCCGGCTTGCCGATTGTTTGTTCTGTCCATTGCCGGTTGTCGTGTGTCGGTTGACAGGCGTCAGTTGTCGGCTGTCGGGCGTCGGCTGTCGGTTGTCGGCTGTCGGGCGTCGGCTGTCGGTTGTCGGCTGTCGGGCGTCGGCTGTCGCTTGTCGGGCGTCGGCTGTCGGGCGTCGGCTGTCGTGCATCGGCTGTCGGCTGTCGGTCGTCATCTGTCGGTTGTTTGCTGCAGGATCTGATAGCCGTGGGCGACACACTGGCTTGACTCAACTTCTCGCTCTTGGCACCTCCCCACCACCACCCCGCCAGGCGCCCGGCTTTGGCTTGCACGACCTGGTAGCAGTGGACGACATGGTGGGGCTGCCGTCATGCTTGCAGCCACGTCAAGTTGCTCCACCTTTCCCCACCACTAACCACCGCGAACCACTATTCCCCACGTCGCCCCACCAGGCGCCCGGCTTTGGCCTGCACAACCTGACAGCCATGGATGACATGGTGGGGCTGATACCCATGGATGACATGGGGCTATTTTTGAGGCGCCTCAAAAATAGACTCCTCACACATGGTGGGGCTGCACCCGGAAATTGCTCTTAGCTGATTCAAACACCATCACTTCATAACCATCCCACCAGGCACCTGGCTTCTCCCTGCATGACCTCATAGCCATGGACGACATGGGGCTGCACCCGGGGCTGCCTCTTGCTCGCACGCGCTACGCCGATGTGCTCATTAACTTCTTCCGCACCGCCATTGAAGGTGAGAAGGGGGCCTCAGATTCATGGGGAGGTGGGTAGGTGACCTTCGTGGGGAGGTGGGTAGGTGACCTTAGTGTCGTCGCGAAGCGTTGCTCTTTTGGACTGTGGGTCGCTCGCACGCGATATGCCGATGCGCGCATCAGCATCGTTTGCCTTGCCTTCCAAGGTGGGCAGGTGCTGATGCCACTCCTCTCTTGGGCTTCCTTCCATTGAGGTTGGGATGTGCCAGTGCCACATCACTATTCCCACCCTTATTCTGCCTCCTTCGCCATCCTCCCAGGCTTCTTAGATCGCCAGAAGGCAGCAACAAATGCCTCCATGCCTGATCGCGCAGCCGAGCTAGCGCTCCTCAAGGCCTCTCCACCGCTCTTCGCGCGCTGGTTCCCTGGGGAGTTCGGCGGGAAGGGCAAGCAGGTGGCGGCGCACTGTGCTCAGGTTAAACTATTCTGTGCTTCACTCTCCTTCCTCTCATCCCTCCCGTTGCTCAGGCTTCTTCGACCGCCAGAAGGCAGCACTCACAGCCTCTATGGCCGACCGAGCAGCCGAGATAGCCCTCCTCAAGGCCCCTCCGCCGCTTTTCGCGCGCTGGTTCCCTGGGGAGTTCGGCGGGAAGGGCGAGCAGGTGGCGCTGTGCTTCTCATACGAGCTGCTGGAGGCCACTGTGCCACCCGTCAGGGTGGTAAAAGGGTTCAACTTCACCAAGGACCCGGATTCCAAGATCCCCAAGCCGGGCTTCGCTACCTGGCAGGCAGGTGAGTGTCCCTCTGGCTGTGGGTGCGAGCAGGTGGCGCTGTGCTTCTCGTACGAGCTTCTCGAGGCCACCGTGCCACCCGTGAGCGCGGTGAAAGGGTTCAATAATCAATTTCACCAAGGAACTGGACTCCAAAATCCCCAAGCCTGGGTTTGCCACGTGGCAGGCAAGTGAGTGTATGTATTATCGCTCTTGAATACCTTACTATGCTTCGTGGGCTGTGAGGGGGTTTGATTTCGTTTAAGGATCCATTGAAGATCCACATAGACTCCAAGATCCCCAAGCTGGGTAACTCTGTGTGGCAGGCAGGTGAGTGCCTCTCTGTGTACGTATTTGCACACGGCCGTGCATGCACGGCCTCCCTCCCTCACTCACTCTTCTTCTCCCTCGCTCATCTTCCTTCATCCCTCCTTTCCCTCCCCTACCAGGAAGCTTTGCTGAGTTCATCTTCGACACATCAGCACTTAACAAGCCCGCCCTCCAGCTGGACAACCCCTCCACTGCTCAAGCCCAGCTGGAGATCCGCTACCTGGTCAGCTACGAGCGAATGGGGGTGGGACACGTGGCGTGCGTGGAGGGGTGTGAGTGCGAGGGGGGGGACATAGATGCCACCATCTCCCAGCAGTGGTCCGTGCCGGAGAAGAGGGTGTTCGATGTGAGCCAGAGCGAGAATTGCATTGTGCGGATTAGTGTGAGCCGGGGCATGGGAGGCGAGAAGTTCAAGATCCTCAGCTTCACCGTCATGTTCAAGCCCATGTGAGGAGATCGGTTCGAATCGTGATCACCACAAATGCGCCGCCTTAAAACATGGATGCTAGCATCTCACATCGCCCAGCAGTGGTCTGTGCCAGAGAAGAAAGGGTTCGATGTGAGCCAGAGTGAGAACTATGTGGTGAGGATTGGAGTGAGCCAGGGAAAGGGAGGCGAGGCGTTCAAGATCCTCAGCTCCACCGTCATGTTCAAGCATGGATGCTAGCATCTCACATCGCCCGTGCCTGAGAAGATGGAGTCAGAGCGAGAGCTGTGTCATGAGGATCGATGCCTGTTGGGGCAAGGGAGAGAAGTTCAAGCCACATGATGTTGTAAATGGTCAGCCGCCTGTCACTATCCAAGGAAAGATGCTGCTGTGCTGTCATAAGGAAGTCCCTCCATGGTGCGGGTGGGTGGGTCGCTGTACATCCAATCCAACATTATTATCGTTGAGCAGGCACGGTGCTTATGCAGTATCTACAATACAGAAGGCTGGTATAAGCATTGAAACCTAACATGTAGTGTCTATGCTTTGTCAGTTGTAACGCTTGAGGCACCTAAAAGGGCTCTCTCATGCAGAAGCCGTGCCTGCCTCTGCTGCATCAGCTGCAGCATCAGCAGCAGAACCATTAGCCTCATCATCAGCACCGTCATTCTTCAATTCACCCTCAGCTGGCACATCATCACCATCCGAAGCACCCTCGGCAGCAGCACCCTCAGCCTCGTCTGCGCCCTCTGCACTGCACACCTTGCAGGACTTCCTGCAGGCACCTGGAGAGCCCTTAGAGCCGATCATGTAGTCCTTGTTGCGCTCGCACTCTCCCATCTCCGCCCACGCCTCACAGCTGCACAGAGGGGAGGGGGAGGGGGAGTGGGGGACAAAGGTGGGCGATGGAAGTGCATGAGCCACCACTCCGCTGAGAGCCGATCATGTAGCCCTTGTTGTGCTCGCACTCCTCCATCTCCGCCCACGCCTCGCAGCTGCACAGAGGGGAGGGGAAATAGGAAGTGGTGGGAAGGATGAGTCGGGTCAGCTTGAGGGGGGGGGAGGGGGGGAGAGAGCAGGATTAAGGATTCCCCTGAGAGCCGATCATGTAGCCCTTGTTGTGCTCGCACTCCTCCATCTCCGCCCATGCCTCGCAGCTGCACAGAGGGGAAGGGAAATAGGAAGTGGTGGGAAGGATGAGTCGGGTCAGCTTGAGGGGGGGGGAGGGGGGGAGAGAGCAGGATTAAGGATTCCCCTGAGAGCCGATCATGTAGTCCTTGTTGTGCTCGCACTCCCCCATCTCCGCCCACGACTCGCAGCTGCAGATAGAGAGGGGGGGAAATGGTGGGCGATGGGAGACGAAGAGTGGGGGATGCGGGAAAGAGCATGAGCCACTACTCCTTTGCCTGTGTCCGCCCACGCCTTACAACTGCACAGAGGAGAGGGGGGGGGGAGAGGAGGGGGAGAGCAATAGAGGGAGGGAGAGAGAGAGAGAGAGAGAGAGAGAGAGAGAGAGAGAGAGAGAGAGAGAGAGAGAGAGAGAGAGAGAGAGAGAGAGAATGAGTCCCTCCCTAGCTATTTAAGCTCTCTCCCTAGCTCATTCTTCCTGTTTAGTTTTCAGTTCTTTCTTTTTCTCCCACCCTTGGTGGCGAGAGAGAGGAGAGAGAGAGCGAGAGAGAGAGAGAGAGCATGAGTCCCTCCCTAGCTATTTAAGCTCTCTCCCTAGCTCATTCTTCCTGTTTAGTTTTCAGTTCTTTCTTTTTCTCCCACCCTTGGTGGCGAGAGAGAGGAGAGAGAGAGCGAGAGAGAGAGAGAGAGCATGAGTCCCTCCCTAGCTATTTAAGCTCTCTCCCTAGCTCATTCTTCCTGTTTAGTTTTCAGTTCTTTCTTTTTCTCCCACCCTTGGTGGCGAGAGAGAGGAGAGAGAGAGCAAGAGAGAGAGAGAGAGCATGAGTCCCTCCCTAGCTATTTAAGCTCTCTCCCTAGCTCATTCTTCCTGTTTAGTTTTCAGTTCTTTCTTTTTCTCCCACCCTTGGTGGCGAGAGAGAGGAGAGAGAGAGCGAGAGAGAGAGAGAGAGCATGAGTCCCTCCCTAGCTATTTAAGCTCTCTCCCTAGCTCATTCTTCCTGTTTAGTTTTCAGTTCTTTCTTTTTCTCCCACCCTTGGTGGCGAGAGAGAGGAGAGAGAGAGCGAGAGAGAGAGAGAGAGCATGAGTCCCTCCCTAGCTATTTAAGCTCTCTCCCTAGCTCATTCTTCCTGTTTAGTTTTCAGTTCTTTCTTTTTCTCCCACCCTTGGTGGCGGCTCGCGTCGGCGGCCTCCGGCCGCGCGTGAGGGGCGGCAATAACACACGGCTTCAAGGGCAACTACGACAACAGCAAGTACACACATCTGGGGTCTACAACCTGCCAACACTACACTCGGCAAACAACCATGGAGAGCCTCACAGAGCTTACCAGAGCGCTCACGCTAGGACGCACTTCACCAACAAGGACCTACACACGACGAGAGCCCGTCATGCGGCTTGGTCCGCTCCAGCCTCCTCAAGCAGGGCCTTCACGTAGTCCCCCAGGAGCATCAGCGCTGACACGGCACCGCCAACGATGTCTACAGCTGCAGCCGAGTCTACGCTCGCCGATACTGTCCGCATCACGGCGAGCAGGCGTGGGTCCAACACGGTTCCCAAGGCGGGCGCAGGCTGCACTCGCGTTGACACGACAGCCAGATCTGCTGCAGCCATCGCGCAGCGGCCGAGTGGATCATGAGGCATCTTGCACGGGTTCACTGAGCTCCGTAGAACGGAGTGTGAGTCCATCAACATCTCCACTGCATACCCCATCGCCCGCTGCGCGTGCCAGAGCCGACGAAGCGTGGCGACTGGAATCGTGGTCTCCGCCAGCCGCTCCCTCCCCCGCAGGCGCTCCAGCTGCGCCCTCGGCGGCATCCGCAGCCCACCCGAGCGACGCCGCCCCCGGCCCCCAGGAGGCGAGTCCTCACCGGTGGACTCAGCCCCCCCCATCTCCGCTGCTTCTGCCCCCCCCTCAACTCCAGTCGGCGACGCCAGCGCGCGACGAAGGGGAACAAAGGGCGCTGTCGCCCGTTCGCCGAACGACGCTGGCGCCACCGACGGCGGCGGGCCGGGGGCCCATCCTACCACCGATGCATCCAGGGGCGTTGGCTGCCAGGGCGGCAGTGTCTCCGCGGACCGCACGTTTAACTGACGCGGATCGTAGGGACCGGCACAGGGGAGGATCGGCAGTGGAGGGGCAGACAGAAGGGGCGGCACGAGATACTGGTGGTCGGGGAGCAGGGGGGACGTCACGGCGCGCTGAGGGAACACCAGCGCCGGCACCTGAGACAGGGGGAGACGCGCGGGCCGCTGGTGAGCCTGCTGGTGCTGCTGCGACGACGGAAGCAGCGGGGCATACGCCGGAGCCTGCTGGGGCTGGGCGACAGCGCGCACCAAGCCCTCGAGAGTCGCGGCAGCCCGCCCCAGGCGCCTCTCTGCTGCTGATCCGCGGTTACTCCCCCCGCCGGCCCTCCAACCGACGCGCGGGCCAGAACGCCCGCGCGGCGCCTGGGGAGTCCGGCGCTGCTGCACCGGCACAGCCTGTGGTCGGCGCTGAGGCGTCCCTTGGCGTGAGGGATGTAGCTGGCGCGGCGACTGATGCACCCCGCCATGCGCCACGGGTATACGACCGGTCTCCGCGGAGCGCTCGGGAGACTTCTCCTCGTGCCTCTGGGGCGCGGCCGGTCGACCCCGCGACTGCCCACGCATCCGCTCGGGAGTCTGCTGACGAGCCGTCGAGGGGTCGAGGAGCCCACGCTCCCAATCACGGTTTGACCGAGCCGGCGAGCTCGCCGGACCTTGGGGGGGGGCACTATCCCCAGTGCTCTCCAAATCGACAGATCGCTCACGATCAGGTCGCTCCATCCCGAAGTGGCGCGCCGCACTCGGCACCCCCCACAACTCGGCGCGCACGTCGGACGGCGACCGGGGTCGCCCCGAGAGGAAATCACGGAAGTGGACGCCGCAGACTCAATACGGGAGCGGCCGGAGGGCGCGGTCGCGGGACGGCTCGGCACGGCGATTTGTCCTCCGACGGAGGACCGCTGAACGGATTCCAGCAGGCAGCGAACAGGGCTTTAAGAGCTTCGGAACTGCAAAGAACAACTGCTGAGGAGGAACGGGCAGACGGAACTTATATACCCGGGGGGCAGGAAGAATCTGCAAGTGAGACCCCCAGCGAGGAGGAAGGCGTAGAGCCGAACAGGCGCGCTGGAGGAAGAGACGCTGGCCCAACTCCCAGATTTAGGGGACGAGGGCCCAGCCGCATGCCTAATACTCGGGCACCGCTGGACACCCACCCCCAGGCAGCACAACAGCTGTCCCCGGAAGAAATGGCGAATGACACCTCCCGATTCGCCGACATCGCATATTGGGACATCGCAGTCCTGTGCGACAGTCGCCAACCCCCTCTCTCCCGCCGGTTACCCCCCCAAATCCGCCAACTTTTCGCACTCGCCCTTCTGACACCCCTCCTTTTCCTCGCCAAACATCCAACCTCCATCGAGGGCTGGATTCTGTTACTCTACCTCCCGCGCCTTACCCTTCGCCTACCGTCTCCACGACGCCCTGAGTGGCCCACGACGGAAACTCGGCTTCGACAATTTCTCGCTGGCCAATGGGACACACTGTACCAAGCGGCTGCCTCCGCTGTTACCCTGACACCCCCACCCCGCCACGTACCTGACACCCTCGGGAAAATATCTCCAGCCGAGGGCCTGATACGACGAGGCAGTTTGCGACGGGCACTGCTCGCGTTGACTTCGACCCCAGTCAGCGAGTCCACCCCCGCGGTCCTGGATGCACTGAAATCAAAACACCCCCCTCCACTCGCCGCAGACTTCCACTGGCCGCAGCTAGGCGAGGACTGCAATCCGCCGACAGTCGACTTCGCCGACTTCGCGAAGCTGCTCTCCCGCTGCGAAAACGGGGTCGGGGCAGGGCCCTCGGGAATGACTTTCGAGCACCTTCGCGATGCCTCGCTATCCAACCCCTCAGTTGCTAAACACCTCCATGAGCTCGTCCAGCGCCTTCTCGCGGGTAACCTGCCACACGAAGTCAGCCAGCTCCTAACGTCTTCACGCCTCCTCGCCTTTACCAAACCTGATGGGGGCACTCGCCCCATAGCGGTCGGCGAATGTCTTCATCGACTAGCAGCTAAAGCCGCTCTCATCTCCACAACGCAGCCGGCCCAAGATTATTTCTTACCACACCAATTCGGGGTAGCCATCAGGAGCGGAGGCGAAGTCATCATCCACGCCACCCGGAGTTTCACCTCCGCGCGCCCGGACTCACTAATCTTGCAAGTCGACCTTTCCAACGCGTTCAACAGCGTCGACCGCGGGGCCATCATCCACGCCCTCCACAACTCGCCCCTACGCCCCCTCCTTCCGTTCACTCACTTCTCCTACGGGGCCCCTTCCCTGCTCTACCTCGACGCAGAGTTCGGAAGCCCTCCCCTGCTGAGCGCGCGGGGTGTCCGCCAGGGAGACCCCATGGGGCCCCTACTTTTTGCGGCCGCCATTCACCCAGCCCTCCAGGCCACCGCGGCAGCCCACCCCGAGGTCCTCTGCCTCGCCTATGCAGACGACGTGACCTTCGTGGGCGCTCCGGACGCCTGCACCGCGGCGTTCCTCGATTTCACAGCCGCCATGGAACGCATCGGTCTTTCCCACAACCCCGCAAAATGCGCAGCGTGGGCAGCCGAACGCCCCACGACAAACTGCCTGCCCCCAGACATACCCTTCAACGGCGAAGGGGTCCGCGTACTAGGCAGTTTCATAGGCACGCCTGAAGGCACAGCCGGTTTCCTCCGCACCCAGCTCGCCCTGCTAGCTGAACCCCTCGCCACGCTGGCTACGATGGACCCTCAGTCCTCATCCCTCCTCCTCACACGCTGCGTGTCCCGGCGCGTCTCATACCTAACCCGCACCACCCCCCTTGACTTCCTACCCCTGGAGGTGTGGTCCGAGTGGGGCAGGGCGCTCTACCACACCCTACTGCACGCCTGCAACTTCCAAACTCCACGCGGCGAGTTGGAGAGGGCTCGTACCTGGGCCCAAGCGTCCCTCCCCCCCTCTCTCGGTGGGTTGGGACTCACCGACCCAGCGATCGAAGGGCCCCCAGCCTTCCTCACCAGCGTCACCCAAGCCCAGGGCCTGCTGGCCGCCCTCCCAGCCGCATCCACCGGGCCCCTGGCACAAGGCCGACCTCGCACTCCGCGACCGCAGCTCCGGAGCCGTCTGGATCTGTGACGTCACCGTCACCGACCCCATCAGCAGCCGGGACCCGGATGCACGGAAAGGACGAGGTTACATGGCCCGGGAGCAAGCTGACAAAAAGATATCCCACTACCGAAATCGGGCTCCCTACGTGGGCTTCTTCCCACTAGCGGTCGAGACATACGGCTGCCCCTGCGCCGAAGTCCCCGCCTTCCTGAAACTGCTGGCAAACACAGGTGCCAGGAGGCTCTTCAATGCTGACCCCAGCTCCTACCAGGCAGCTAAATTGCTCCACCAGTTCCGCCAGCGCTGGTCTGTGACGCTCCAGCGAGCGCAGGCCTTGGCTTACCTGGGTAAGGTGAACGAAGCCTCCCCGGCCCCCCACGCCCCCGTGGGCACACCCGCCGCCGACATGGCCCTCGGGGACTGCTTTGCTATAACAGAACCCCTAGGGGAGCTCGAGTAGCCTCGGGCACCCCCAACATGCACGTACCTCTCCCTTGTTGCCTTCCGCTTGCCTAGCCTGTACCGAGGATTCCAAGGAATAAACGGACCGCTTGAGAGAATGAACCTCACAAGTCCCAGGACGAGTGTAGGCTGCTCTCAGCAGGGCGGACTGAAGTGTTCATATGAGGCTCACTCTATAACACCCGTGGAGGCTCACTCTATAACACCCGTGGAGGCTCACTCTATAACACCCATGGAGGCTCACTCTATAACACCCATGGAGGCTCACTCTATAACACCCATGGAGGCTCACTCTATAACACCCGTGGAGGCTCACTCTATAACACCCGTGGAGGCTCACTCTATAACACCCATGGAGGCTCACTTTCAACAAGGCACTGAGGGATACTCACAATGCGTTGCTGTCAACACAGGCACCCCCGCCTTGAGCTGCCGGCTCATCGAAACTCCCTACGTGGATCCACTTGGGAGCGGACCACTTCTCCCCCTCCACCACAGGGCACGCGTGGTGCAGGCTGCTCTCGTCGGGGCTGCCATCCGGCAGCATGTTGAAGAAGAGCAGCGCATCGCCCTTGATGGGCTTCACGCCCAGCACGCCTTGAGCGCAGTCGGACCACGAGTCGTCCTTGGGCGTGGGGTCCTTGTGCATTGGGAAGGTTGTCTCGCCGCCCTTGGTCACGTTGTTGAGGTACATGAGGACAGTTGCATAGCGGTGGCCGCCTCTCTGCAGGGAAAGGAGGAGGGAAGAGAAGGGGGATCTTTGTGAATGTGGGGAAGGTGGGTGCCTGCCCGTCCTTTGGCGTGGAGGAAGGTGGGTGCCTGCCCGTCCTTGGGCGTGGAGGAAGGTGGGTGCCTGCCCGTTCGGTTACTTTGTACGGGACGTGGCAAAAGCTCAGGGCCATGGACAGAAAGGCGACAGCAAAGGCAAAAGCACAGAAAGGCAAAAGCACGCCCAGGGCCATGGACAGAAAGGCCATGGCCAGAAAGGCCATGGCCAGAAAGGCCATGGCCAGAAAGGCTTGAGGGGGGAAGTTGCAATGTACGCAGTGACACAGCATACAACCACGTATGGTCCTAATCGCTCACCTGCAGGTGCTTGGGGTCGTCGAAGTAGTCGTGATGCGCGTCGTACTTCTGCCCCACGCCATACCGCAACACCTGCAGGTGCAGGGGCGGTGGGTGGTGGGTGGCGGGTAGAATTGACTTGGTCAGGGAGCCCTGTCCTACAGCCACACTCACACACCACCATACTCACACACCACCATGCTCCCACACCACCATACTCACACACCACCATACTCACACCACCATACTCACACACCACCATACTCACACACCATCATATCATGCTCACACACCATCATACTCTAGGGGCAGGAACGTTCAAAACCATACTCACACTCACACATGCAACTGCACCCAGTCACTTACACACGCACACACCCTCGTCCTCGCCCCTGTCCATGTACGTGCGGCTGCTGGTTAAGGAGTCCATTTATGTGCATGAGTCCATTTATGTGCATGAGTCCAATTATGTGCATGAGTCCATTTATGTGCATGAGTCCATTTATGTGCATGAGTCCATTATGTGCATGAGTCCATTATGTGCATGAGTCCATGTATGTGCATGAGTCCATTTATGTGCATGAGTCCATTTATGTGCATGAGTCCATTTATGTGCATGAGTCCATGTATGTGCATGAGTCCATTTATGTGCATGAGTCCATTTATGTGCATGAGTCCATTTATGTGCATGAGTCCATTTATGTGCATGAGTCCATTTATGTGCATGAGTCCATTTATGTGCATGAGTCCATTTATGTGCATGAGTCCATTTATGTGCATGAGTCCATTTATGTGCATGAGTCCATTTATGTGCATGAGTCCATTTATGTGCATGAGTCCATTTATGTGCATGAGTCCATTTATGTGCATGAGTCCATATATGTGCATGAGTCCAATTATGTGCATGAGTCCATTTATGTGCATGAGTCCATTTATGTGCATGAGTCCATTATGTGCATGAGTCCATTATGTGCATGAGTCCATTTATGTGCATGAGTCCATTTATGTGCATGAGTCCATTTATGTGCATGAGTCCATTTATGTGCATGAGTCCATTTATGTGCATGAGTCCATGTATGTGCATGAGTCCATTTATGTGCATGAGTCCATTTATGTGCATGAGTTCATTTATGTGCATGAGTCCATTTATGTGCATGAGTCCATTTATGTGCATGAGTCCATTTATGTGCATGAGTCCATTTATGTGCATGAGTCCATTTATGTGCATGAGTCCATTTATGTGCATGAGTCCATTTATGTGCATGAGTCCATTTATGTGCATGAGTCCATTTATGTGCATGAGTCCATTTATGTGCATGAGTCCATTTATGTGCGTGAGTCCATTTATGTGCATGAGTCCATTTATGTGCGTGAGTCCATTTATGTGCATGAGTCCATTTATGTGCATGAGTCCATTTATGTGCATGAGTCCATTTATGTGCATGAGTCCATTTATGTGCATGAGTCCATTTATGTGCATGAGTCCATTTATGTGCGTGAGTCCATTTATGTGCATGAGTCCATTTATGTGCATGAGTCCATTTATGTGCATGAGTCCATTTATGTGCATGAGTCCATTTATGTGCATGAGTCCATTTATGTGCATGAGTCCATTTATGTGCGTGAGTCCATTTATGTGCATGAGTCCATTTATGTGCGTGAGTCCATTTATGTGCATGAGTCCATTTATGTGCATGAGTCCATTTATGTGCATGAGTCCATTTATGTGCATGAGTCCATTTATGTGCATGAGTCCATTTATGTGCATGAGTCCATTTATGTGCATGAGTCCATTTATGTGCATGAGTCCATTTATGTGCATGAGTCCATTTATGTGCATGAGTCCATGTATGTGCATGAGTCCATTTATGTGCATGAGTCCATTTATGTGCATGAGTCCATTTATGTGCATGAGTCCATTTATGTGCATGAGTCCATTTATGTGCATGAGTCCATTTATGTGCATGAGTCCATTTATGTGCATGAGTCCATTTATGTGCATGAGTCCATTTATGTGCATGAGTCCATTTATGTGCATGAGTCCATTTATGTGCATGAGTCCATTTATGTGCATGAGTCCATTTATGTGCATGAGTCCATTTATGTGCGTGAGTCCATTTATGTGCATGAGTCCATTTATGTGCGTGAGTCCATTTATGTGCATGAGTCCATTTATGTGCATGAGTCCATTTATGTGCATGAGTCCATTTATGTGCATGAGTCCATTTATGTGCATGAGTCCATTTATGTGCATGAGTCCATTTATGTGCGTGAGTCCATTTATGTGCATGAGTCCATTTATGTGCATGAGTCCATTTATGTGCATGAGTCCATTTATGTGCATGAGTCCATTTATGTGCATGAGTCCATTTATGTGCATGAGTCCATTTATGTGCATGAGTCCATTTATGTGCGTGAGTCCATTTATGTGCATGAGTCCATTTATGTGCGTGAGTCCATTTATGTGCATGAGTCCATTTATGTGCATGAGTCCATTTATGTGCATGAGTCCATTTATGTGCATGAGTCCATTTATGTGCATGAGTCCATTTATGTGCATGAGTCCATTTATGTGCATGAGTCCATTTATGTGCATGAGTCCATTTATGTGCATGAGTCCATTTATGTGCATGAGTCCATTTATGTGCATGAGTCCATTTATGTGCATGAGTCCATTTATGTGCATGAGTCCATTTATGTGCATGAGTCCATTTATGTGCATGAGTCCATTTATGTGCATGAGTCCATTTATGTGCATGAGTCCATTTATGTGCATGAGTCCATTTATGTGCATGAGTCCATTTATGTGCATGAGTCCATGTATGTGCATGAGTCCATTTATGTGCATGAGTCCATTTATGTGCATGAGGCGCCTCAGAAACAGACTCCTTGTCCATGTAGGTGCCGCTGCTGGTTCGCTTAACAGGTGTGTGCTGAATCGACTCAAAACACATCCCTATACCCACACTCCCACACTCACACACATTCCTGCTGCAGCGACTCCTATTAGCGAGAGGCAGGAACGTCCAGAGCCATGGGCACACTCACGCACTCGCCCTCCCACCCACCCACGCACACACCTATACACTCCACCCCACGCACATACCTGCAGCGACTCCTGGTTGGCAAGGGGGAGGAAGGTCCAGACGGCTATCCTCTCTTCAATGCGCTTGATGACCTCGTCCTCGCCCTTCTCCATGAACATGCCGCTGCTGGTTCTGACTTGGCTCACCGACACGTGCCCGTCCACCCCGTCCACCACGGACGATCTGTCAGGGGGTAAGGAGGGGGGAAGGGGGCTATTTGAGGCGAAGAGAGGGAAGAAAGGGAGGGGAGGGAAATGACGACCTCGCCCTTCTCCATGAACATGCCGCTGCTCCTCCTCACTTGCCTCACTGATACATGCCCGTCCACACCCATCCACACCCATCCACACCGTCCACCACTGAGGATCAGCAAGCAGGAGGCCAGAGGAAGGTTGATGGAAGGGGGCATGTGGGGGGGGATGAGAGAAGGCTTGATGACCTCGTCCTCGCCCTTGTCCATGAAGCGCGCATCTGGAAAGGGAGAGAAAAGGGTAAGGTCGAGTGATGACGCGTGAATCACCCCATGGCCGAGCGAATCACCCCCGGGACCACTTGAGCAGATACGCGCGCGGCCTCGAAGGCGACTCTTCTCAGCTCCACTCAAACGGTCAGGCGGTATCCGGTCCGGGGGTCGTAGGTCGAAGGCTACGCCTGGGGGTCGAAGGCTACGCCTGGGGGTCTAAGGCTACGTCTGGGGGTCGAAGGCTACGCCTGGGGGTCGGCTCTAGCCGCGATGAGGCGCGTCGTTGAGCTGCGCGGGGTTGAGCTGCGCGGGGTTGAGCTGCGCGGGGTTGAGCTGCGCGGGGTTGAGCTGCGCGAGGTTGAGCTGCGCGAGGTTGAGCTGCGCGGGGTTGAGCTGCGCGGGGTTGAGCTGCGCGAGGTTGAGCTGCGCGGGGTTGAGCTGCGCGGGGTCCACTCCGGCAGCTGAACCACGCGCCTCTGCGGTCAGCCAGACTCCATGTGCGATTCGTTGCACTCCACCGTTGCAGTCGCGGGTTGGCCTTGGCGACGATGTGGTCGCACTCCTCCTCCGACAAAAAACTGTTTGAACAGATACGCGCGCGGGCTCGAAACCGACAGCTGCACCACACGTCTCTGCGGTCAGCCGGACTCCCCTGACTCTTTATGTAGGTTTCGATTCCACTCACCGCTGCAGCCGCGGGTTAGCCTGTGCGACGATGTGGTCGCACTCCTCCTCCGACAGGAACCGCTTGAACAGATACGCGCGCGGGCTCCACGCCGACAGCTGCACCACGCGCCGCTCGCCCTCGGGTTCCGCGCCCTCCGCCCCCGCGCGCGCAGTTTCGAGGGTCAGCGCCAGCGTCGGAACCCCCGCATCTGCATCGTCTCCCGCGCCGTCAGAAGCTGCAGACGCGGCGCTTTCGGCGGCGGCGGCGGCGGCGGGGACGTTGGCGCATGTGTTTTTCTCGGCTCCGGCCTCGCCAGAAGCCGCTGTGCACGTCTCGAGGCTGGCTGGTCCGGTCGTTTCCGCTGCTAGGGCGACAAAAATGATCTGAAGCGCGAGCGAAGCTAGTAGCAATAAGAAGGGTGTTGGGAGCGAGCGACGTACTTCCATGGTGACGAAGCCTACTACTACGGCCCGGGAATAAGGAATGGGCAAGTACTGCAGGACACGGGTTTTGAGACGTCTCAAAAGCCGGGAATGTGGAATGGGCACGGGCTGAGGGGCTGAGGGGCGCGGAAGGAAAATGTGGCTCGCCCGGAGCCTATGCGGAGCGGAGCCTATGCGGCAGGAGATGTAAGGAAGAACGTGGCGCTATTCGGGGCGAAACCGCATTCGTTGTCGAAACGAAACCACCAAGATTGCAAAGCGAAGATCTATAGCAGGCGAGGCAAGGTGCGCGCGGATCAGTGCCTTGAACCTGCCGGTATGTGTGTCTGGCAAGCGGTTGATGTCTAAGTCAGAAGAATAACGAAATGACAATTGTGCGTGATCAGAATGGCATGGAAGAGGTGGGGCTCGATCGGTAGGTACCTTGACAAACAGAAACGGCAGCCATGGCGGTGCTCTGGGACCAAGACAAGAAATTGCGCCGTTCGGTTGTGTGCTGCTCGCCCTTGCCTGTTGGTTGCCAGCGAATACTCTGTTACATGCGACTATGGCGAAACATGTCGCACTTCGGTCTTGGACAAAAAAAAGTTCGCAAGCATGATTTCGCCATCGTGTACGATGCTGCCGTGGCATGCTGTTGAAAGTGTCGGTGATGCCCAACCAAAGGCGAGGAATGCTGAGCTGGCGAACTTGCCTCCCTGTGTTTACACTCTGCTGGCGTGGAGCGCACAGCTGGCAGGGCAGCCTGGCAAAAGTAGGACGAGCAGCCAATGGGGGAAAGAGGTCGTCTTTGCTGTCACGCCAGCAATCCGTGGATCTGGGAAACACGAGGCTTCTGCGATAGTCAGCAACGTCTTCGCAAACCAGCTGTTACAAGATTAGTAGCAATACACCCTCTTTCAGGGAGATCAATACAAACATAGTAAAAAAATCTTAGTGTATATCCACCTCTGTCTCTCCACCGTCGCATTCTTCGCATTCTTCTTGAGACGACAACGGTATGCGAGTGCTCGTTATTCTACGACTAGAATGGCCAAACGGTTCCCGAAGTGGCATACGTAGGTGGCGCTCTAACGACGCTGCTACTACTTCAGGAGAATCTTGAAGTGACGTTGTTGGAAGGAGCTCTCCGTATGCATTTGGTATGGCCTTGAGCATGTATTGCATGACAGACTGAGGAACTGTTGGCTCTTTGGAGAAGAACAGCATGTGAACCTGAACCATGACCTGAAGAAATCCAAGCAATGAGATGTGATGTGGGCAAACGGGCATGGAGCACACGAATAACCATCCATCAGTAAGTAACACACTCCATAGAGCCTTGCGGCACCCCACCTAAGATCGAGAGGTGCGTGGGGAAAACTGCAAGGGGTGCGAGGGGAAAGCCCGGGTGCGGGGGCTTAACCCAGGGACGGGAACAACGAGCGGGCGAACAGTCGATATCTCTCACACGAATAACGGGTCAGGAGGTGTGGAACACGAGCACTGGCCCATTCTCTTACCCTGGGCAGGATGTCGCGCACGTCGCAGGCGAAGGCGGTTTTGAGGAAGCTGAAGCCGATGTCGGGGCGCAAGAGGAAGAGAGGGCGGGCGAACTCCCTCACGTGCGGCGCCTTGATGTCGTCCACTGTCAGCACCGGCGCACAGTTGCGCGCCCACAGCTGGACACAAGGAAGGGGCAGAGAGAAGAGAAACGAGGCCTGGGTGATGCGAGGCCAAGCCACCACAGTGATTCCAGAGTCGTTCAAGAGTTCCTTGAGGTGCACGGCTTTGATGTCGCCCACTGCCCACATGGGGGCACAGATGTGCACCCACAAGTGTAGCGAGCGGCAATGAGAGGAGAGGGAAATGGGTGTACAACGGCGAGAAACGGTGGGAAACGGTGGGAAGGAGCCAAGGTGGAGAGCAGGATATTTGTGAAAGGATGGGGAGGTAGTCGGAGAGTGGAGGGTGAGTTTGCAGAAGTCGACGTGTGAGAGCAAATATGATATTTGAGAGATAAATACAGAACTTGTCGGGGGTACATGTAGCTAAACCCACTCTGAAGTTGGTTTGCACGATGCCAAACACCTGGCCCATGTCTGAACGCGTGCCGAGTTCTTTGGATTGGACATTGTATCCAGAGGAGTGGCCGGGTTATGCGAAGGGTAGAACAGCAACTGGAGAGTTTGACTGAGCGCACCTTGAAGTTGCCCTGCATGATGCCAAACACCTGGTAGAAGTGTGATTATGAGACGCCTCAAAACTACGCTCCCATCACGCCAGGAAACCCACCTTGAAGTTGCCCTGCATGATGCCAAACACCTGGTAGAAGTGTGATTATGAGACGCCTCAAAACTACGCTCCCATCACGCCAGCAAACCCACCTTGAAGTTGCCCTGCATGATGCCAACACCTGGTAGAAGTGTGATTATGAGACGCCTCAAAACTACGCTCCCATCACGCCAGCAAACCCACCTTGAAGTTGCCCTGCATGATGCCGAACACCTGGTCGAAGTGTGATTATGAGACGCCTCAAAACTACACTCCCATCACGCCAGCAAACCCACCTTGAAGTTGCCCTGCATGATGCCGAAACACCTGGTCAGAAGTGTGATTATGAGACGCCTCAAAACTACGCTCCCATCACGCCAGCAAACCCACCTTGAAGTTGCCCTGCATGATGCCGAACACCTGGTAGAAGTGTGATTATGAGACGCCTCAAAACTACGCTCCCATCACGCCAGCAAACCCACCTTGAAGTTGCCCTGCATGATGCCAACACCTGGTAGAAGTGTGATTATGAGACGCCTCAAAACTACGCTCCCATCACGCCAGCAAACCCACCTTGAAGTTGCCCTGCATGATGCCAAACACCTGGTAGAAGTGTGATTATGAGACGCCTCAAAACTACGCTCCCATCACGCCAGCAAACCCACCTTGAAGTTGCCCTGCATGATGCCAACACCTGGTAGAAGTGTGATTATGAGACGCCTCAAAACTACGCTCCCATCACGCCAGCAAACCCACCTTGAAGTTGCCCTGCATGATGCCAAACACCTGGTAGAAGTGTGATTATGAGACGCCTCAAAACTACGCTCCCATCACGCCAGCAAACCCACCTTGAAGTTGCCCTGCATGATGCCCAACACCTGGTAGAAGTGTGATTATGAGACGCCTCAAAACTACGCTCCCATCACGCCAGCAAACCCACCTTGAAGTTGCCCTGCATGATGCCCAACACCTGGTAGAAGTGTGATTATGAGACGCCTCAAAACTACGCTCCCATCACGCCAGCAAACCCACCTTGAAGTTGCCCTGCATGATGCCCAACACCTGGTAGAAGTGTGATTATGAGACGCCTCAAAACTACGCTCCCATCACGCCAGCAAACCCACCTTGAAGTTGCCCTGCATGATGCCAACACCTGGTCGAAGTGTGATTATGAGACGCCTCAAAACTACGCTCCCATCACGCCAGCAAACCCACCTTGAAGTTGCCCTGCATGATGCCCAACACCTGGTAGAAGTGTGATTATGAGACGCCTCAAAACTACGCTCCCATCACGCCAGCAAACCCACCTTGAAGTTGCCCTGCATGATGCCCAACACCTGGTAGAAGTGTGATTATGAGACGCCTCAAAACTACGCTCCCATCACGCCAGCAAACCCACCTTGAAGTTGCCCTGCATGATGCCCAACACCTGGTAGAAGTGTGATTATGAGACGCCTCAAAACTACGCTCCCATCACGCCAGCAAACCCACCTTGAAGTTGCCCTGCATGATGCCGAACACCTGGTAGAAGTGTGATTATGAGACGCCTCAAAACTACGCTCCCATCACGCCAGCAAACCCACCTTGAAGTTGCCCTGCATGATGCCCAACACCTGGTAGAAGTGTGATTATGAGACGCCTCAAAACTACGCTCCCATCACGCCAGCAAACCCACCTTGAAGTTGCCCTGCATGATGCCGAACACCTGGTAGAAGTGTGATTATGAGACGCCTCAAAACTACGCTCCCATCACGCCAGCAAACCCACCTTGAAGTTGCCCTGCATGATGCCAAACACCTGGTCGAAGTGTGATTATGAGACGCCTCAAAACTACGCTCCCATCACGCCAGCAAACCCACCTTGAAGTTGCCCTGCATGATGCCCAACACCTGGTAGAAGTGTGATTATGAGACGCCTCAAAACTACGCTCCCATCACGCCAGCAAACCCACCTTGAAGTTGCCCTGCATGATGCCCAACACCTGGTAGAAGTGTGATTATGAGACGCCTCAAAACTACGCTCCCATCACGCCAGCAAACCCACCTTGAAGTTGCCCTGCATGATGCCCAACACCTGGTAGAAGTGTGATTATGAGACGCCTCAAAACTACGCTCCCATCACGCCAGCAAACCCACCTTGAAGTTGCCCTGCATGATGCCCAACACCTGGTAGAAGTGTGATTATGAGACGCCTCAAAACTACGCTCCCATCACGCCAGCAAACCCACCTTGAAGTTGCCCTGCATGATGCCAACACCTGGTCGAAGTGTGATTATGAGACGCCTCAAAACTACGCTCCCATCACGCCAGCAAACCCACCTTGAAGTTGCCCTGCATGATGCCGAACACCTGGTAGAAGTGTGATTATGAGACGCCTCAAAACTACGCTCCCATCACGCCAGCAAACCCACCTTGAAGTTGCCCTGCATGATGCCGAACACCTGGTAGAAGTGTGATTATGAGACGCCTCAAAACTACGCTCCCATCACGCCAGCAAACCCACCTTGAAGTTGCCCTGCATGATGCCCAACACCTGGTCCAGGTCTGAGAGCGCGTAGCTGCCCTCGTAGCCATCCGCTCCCAGCAGCCTGCACAACGGGAGCATGGGAGGATGCGTGTGGGAGAGATGTGAGTGTGGGGGATGAGAAAGAGCAAGGAGGGAGTGCGGAAGGGTGAGGAATTGCGAGAGGATGGGCAGGAGGTGTAAGCGCGGTGAGCAGCAGGAAGCAACACACCGCGGTGAGGAGCTGAGCAGCACGATTCGCTTGAAGAGGGTGGGCCGCTCTAGCGACGCCAGCAGGACCATCATGCCCGCCTGTTGCTGCCCGACCAGCGTGCACTGCTGGCCGCTCTCCGAGCCCTGTGCGGGAAGGGTGGGATGCATTGGGTGGGGGTGTGGCGTGGGGAGAACTTGGTGGATTCGTCTCAAACAAGAACTTGGTAGCACAGAAGCCAGCGGTGCCATCATGCCCGCCTGCTGCTGCCCCACCAGCATGCACTGCTGGCTGCGCTCTGAGCCCTGCGCAGGGAGGGAGGTGGGAGGTGTGGCCCGGGGGGGAATATTAGGCGGATGCATATCAAGCATCGCTCTAGCGACGCTGCCAGTGCCATTATCCGCGCCTGCTGTTGCTGCCCGATCAACGTGCACTGCTGTTGCTGCCCGACCAATGTGCACTGCTGTTGCTGCCCGACCAATGTGCACTGCTGTTGCTGCCCGACCAATGTGCATTGCTGTTGCTGCCCGACCAATGTGCACTGCTGTTGCTGCCCGATCAACGTGCACTGCTGTTGCAGCCCGATCAACGTGCACTGCTGTTGCTGCCCGACCAATGTGCACTGCTGTTGCTGCCCGACCAATGTGCACTGCTGTTGCTGCCCGACCAATGTGCATTGCTGTTGCTGCCCGACCAATGTGCACTGCTGTTGCTGCCCGATCAACGTGCACTGCTGTTGCAGCCCGATCAACGTGCACTGCTGTTGCTGCCCGATCAACGTGCACTGCTGTTGCTGCCCGATCAACGTGCACTGCTGTTGCTGCCCGACCAATGTGCACTGCTGTTGCTGCCCGACCAATGTGCACTGCTGTTGCTGCCCGACCAATGTGCACTGCTGTTGCTGCCCGACCAATGTGCACTGCTGTTGCTGCCCGACCAATGTGCACTGCTGTTGCTGCCCGACCAATGTGCACTGCTGTTGCTGCCCAATCAACATGCACCGCTGGCCGCGTTCTGAACCCTTCACATGTGAGCAGAGCATGTGAGCAGAGCATGTGAGCAGAGCATGTGAGCAGAGCATGTGAGCCAGAGCATGTGAGCAGAGCATGTGAGCAGAGCATGTGAGCAGAGCATGTGAGCAGAGCATGTGAGCAGAGCATGTGAGCAGAGCATGTGAGCCAGAGCATGTGAGCAGAGCATGTGAGCAGAGCATGTGAGCCAGAGAGAAGCTGAGGGATCCAGGTTAGGAGCATGGGAACCAGAGAAAGCCGGAGGGATTCAGAGGGGTTCAGAGGGGTTCTCGAGTGGCATGGAGTGTACTGGGTGCTATGGGCTGAATGGGCGGAATGGAGTCAAAGGGGGTAACGAGTACGAGGAAGCAGCAGCAGCAGCAGCAGCAGCAGCAGCAGCAGCAGCAGCAGCACTGACCTCCACTCCCAGCTCCTGTAGCAGCAGCAGAAGGTCCTCTGTGAAGCCGTGCAGCGTGCTGTAGTGCTGGTAGTCAAACGCGTCGTAGTCCGTGCTGGGGGGAAGGGGAGGTGGGGGGAGGGAGGGGGGAAGGGGAGGGGAAGGGGAGAGGGCAAGTGAGAGAGGGACGGAGGCTCTAAGCTCCCGTAGCAGCACCAGCAGAAGGTCCTCTGTGAAGCCGTGCAGCGTGCTGTAGTGCTGGTAGTCAAACGCGTCGTAGTCAGTGCTGGGGGGAAGGGGAGGTGAGGGGAGGGAGGGGGGAAGGGGAGGGGAAGGGGAGAGGGCAAGTGAGAGAAGGACGGAGGCTCTAAGCTCCCGCAGCATCAGCAGCAGCAGCAGAAGGTCCTCTGTGAAGCCGTGCAGCGTGCTGTAGCACTGGTAGTCAAACGCGTCGTAGTCCGTGCTGCGAAGGAGTGAGGGGAGGCAGGGGAGGGAAACATGTGTGTGTGCATCTGTTAGCACGTGCAGCCAGCGTGCTGTTAACATGTGTTGAGGGGGGGAAATGTGGAGGGGACAGAGAGTGGTACGATTGAGGATGCAGATGAGCAGTGCTGGCTGGCAGTGAAATTCGTCTGAAAAAAGCACGAGTTCCCAGAGGACTTGGGACTTGGGACTGCTAGTCTGCTAGAGCGGACTGCACCTTACCCCAGAGCCCCTGTCATGTTGTAGAGGACGATCTTATAGCGCGACTTGTCCAGCGCCTTGACCACGCCATTCCACACCTGACACACAGCGAGAGGCAGATGAAACGGGAGATGAAACAGGAGATGAAACAGGAGATGAAACAGGAGATGAAACAGGAGATGAAACAGGAGATGAAGCAGGAGATGAAGCAGGAGATGAAACAGGAGACGAATCAGGGAATGAAACGCCACCCAGCGAGGGTTTTTTTGTGAAGCGGAGCTGAAGGGCGCCGAAATGGCGGAACTACACAAGGGAGAGCGGACAATTAGAAAGTGGAAACGGAGCAGATTATAGCGAGGCACTCACATTCTTGTTGTACCCGAAGCCGTGTGAGAACACCAGCAGCTCCGATCCCGAGCCTATGATCTGTACGTCGTGCCGCTCCAAAGCAGGCTTGGAGGCTCGGAGCTTGGCTGCTTGCATCGCTCTGGAAGAGGGGGGTGTGTGTGTGTGGGGGGGGGGGGGGGGGGGGGGGGGGGGGGGGGTAGTGGAGGGTGGAGGGTGGGGGGGAAAGGGGAATGGGGCCAACCGGAGAGAGAGGACGGGGGATGGAATACGTGGGGATGTGACAAGGGAACCATGGGATGTGGACGGGAGGAACCCTCAAATTTCGACGGCGTCGCCTGCATACTCCCCGTCAGACCCCCCCGGCCCGCTTTCTTCCGAGGAGCCTCAGAAGAACCCTCATATTCAGCTCACCTCATGGCGGCGGCATTTTGCGCTTTGTTCCCCCCTGCCCCGGCCCCCGCGCCGTGCTCCGACCCCGTCGCCAGCAGCCCCGCGTGCATGCTCCCCGTCGTCCCCTCCAATCCCCCCGCGTACATCGACGCTGCGCGCGTCGACCCGTTCCCCCCGCCGCCTCCCCCCGCTCCCCTCCCCGCGCCCGTCCCGTGCATGCTCCCGCTTCCGTACACTCCCCCGCCACCGTAGCCCCCGCCTAATACCCCCCCATTTCCGCCATTTCCCCCGCGGTTGTTCCAGTCTCCGCCGCCGGTTCTCGAGTCGTCCCAGCCGCACCGGGATTCCCCCGCCGCCGCTGCGCGGGATGCTGCAGCGCCATTGGACGGGGAACCGGGTAAATACGGACGTGGCTCTGAATTCCCTAAGGGTAGTCCGTTCCTTCGCCCGCTTTCGCCGCCGGAGCGCTCCGAGCTGCTGTCGTGCGATTTGACGCTGCTGGCGGGAAAGAAATGCGCGGATCCCAGCCGTTGTTCTGCGCCGTAATTGGATGCGGCGAGCTCGCCAGAGAAGGACGTGGGTGTGACTCTAGCGGGGTTACGCTCGTCCACGTCATCCCCTCTTACAGCGGGTCTGCTGGCACAACCACCCATATTGTACGTGCGGATCTCAGTTTTTTTTTTTTTTTTTTTAATCGACGAAAACCGGAGAGTCGGAATTCAGGAGAATTAACCCGTCTATCGTAAGAAGCTCGGAGTAAAAACGGGAAATTCACCGAGTTAGTTTGTAGCAGTAGCCGTGAGAATTCACGACTCACGAAGAGCGTGCGTTAAATGGAAACGAGGAATCTTATATTTTACATGCACGTGTCCAGACTATTGAAGGGTCAGGGATGGCCACTGTAATTGCGGGGAAGTCGAGGTATCACAATCCACTACCGAGTTTATAATATGTGCCGGGGGCTTTGTGCCGTGAAGACATGCGATTTTAAAATTGTTCGCCGTATGCGCATGTATTACAGCAGAGCGGCAAATGCGTTGCGTTGAGACAACTGTCAGGAGGCCTAATGAACGTAGGATGCCAGAATGCCAGAATGCTGCTGCCTGTCTCCCAAAGAATGGATAAACAATACAGTACTACTCCAATCTTCATGTAGCGCTGTACTGTAGTAAGGCAGTGGCTTGAGTAAGACACCGAAAACTGTGAGGCTCGGGGAGCAAGTGGACGACTTTCTAACTGCCATGAACAAGAGAACAGACAGGGAGGGAGAGAGCGAAGTGAATTTGCCTGGGAGAGAGGCTACACGAGTTACTGGTGCACGTGTAAATTGCCATGGCTTCAATCAAACAGGGGGGGAGAGAGGGAGATGGGATGGGACGGGGGGGGGCTGCTGGAATGCTGGAATTTTGTTGGAATGGGAGGGAGGCTCGATGAGGAAGGAACAAGGGAACCCACCCAACGAAGTCGACAACATCCCACCCACCAAAGAATTTTGCAGGGCTACTATAAAGTGGTACAGTAACATTCAGACGGACGCAGAGCTGAAATGCTGTAGTCATCGTTCCGGATACAGTAATATATGTATTGGACTGTATTGCACAGGATTACCCCTTGGTGACAACCGAGCTGATGCTCCCCGAGCAACCGAGCTAATGCTTAGTGCTCGCCCTAAGTTACAGCCTTGCGCAGCAGAGTTACATGAAAATGGAAGCTTTGGTGTGAGATTTGCTTCCCGCAATCTTGACACCCACGTGTCTCAGCCACCTTCCTGGCACCGCGACCCCATCATTGATTCCGCGCGTGTTCCGCCAAAGTGAAATTGCTGCTGCAAATTGCTCCGCGTGCCTACTATCTTTCCGCGTTTGTGTGTTGGGGGGGGGGGGAGGGGGGGAAGTGGGGGGAAGCATGTGTGGGTGGGCCGACTCAATCCACTGTTCAGATCAAACGCGGGCCGACAGCGAGGCGCAACGAGCGGATGGGAGGCGAGAAAAAGTGCCAGCGATAAAGATCAGGTTTTCTTATCCGCCAAGAAAAAGGCGACATCTGGAACGGGTTTCTGCGGTGAGTTTGGCGGCTGCTAGTTGCGAGGCGGGGGGGCTGCCTCGGTCGATCGCACGCACGCCCCTCCATCGCTCGTCGGCACGCCCATCCAAATTGCACTTCTCATCAATGCAAACAGTGGCTGTACGGTTTTATTCGGTGGACTCTTGTCTGTCTCTGCTGCACTGGTTCCCATGTACAATCTGTAGTCGTACGTATATCTATATTGTAAAACAGGCGTACACCGAGACAATGGCATGGAAAACATGTCACATGCTGAGTTAGATCAACACATCTAAAGGAACACATCTAACAGTTGCCACCCTCAGTTAAGCCCTAGATTCTACTACATGAACAGCAGACATGAGAAGGCCATGATGTATGTAAAGTTTGGCTACTGTCAAGATTGGATGGTCTGTGACTCGAATATAGAGTACGTCAACACAAATCCACTACAACCATAACATCAAACCTCAGCAGCACACCCCTTCCTGACACAGGCATCCGGAGCACACTGCGTCCCACTCCTCTTCGGCTGATCCGAGTACCCCCTCGACTTGAGCACCGACTCGAAAAAACTCCTGAACGTGTCAGAGCAGTCGGGCGGCATCAGAAACACCACATCCCTCAGCGTGCGGCTTCTCAGCAGCTTCACCAGCGCCGGCTCTTGCACCACGCCCCCTAGAGTCACACGCCGCAGACACGGCGACAGCGAGAGCAGCCGAGCGGCGTCAGGCGAGAGCACGTCCAGGCAGAGCGGAGGGGAGGCTACAGGGCAGGGAGCGGGGCGGAATTCAATCTCTTGGATGGGGAGCGAGGGGCAGGAGGCCAGCAGGGCGAGCTCGAGAGAAGCCATGGCTGATGCGCTGGAGCACTGGATGCCCTCGAGGGAGAGGAAGAGGTAGGTGAGAGCGGGCGGCTGGGCGAGGAATGCGAGGGAGTAGTCGTGCGGTGGGAGGGGAAGAGTGTCGTCTTCTAGTGAGCCGTAGAGAGAGAGAAAGAAGAACTTGAGGCTGGGGCAGGAGGCCAAGCCAGCACTGCAACATAGTGCGGAACCCAGTTGGGAGAAGGGGGATAGGAGAAACGGCAGGAGAAGGAAGAGTAGGGCAGCACCAAGAGTGGTAAGAGGTAAGGCACAAGACAAATGAGACAAGTGTCCAGCATACAGAATGCAGCTCTCAGACCAACTCACCCAGCGAAATAAATTTTACCGAGGCAACCTGAGGCAACAGAAGTTGCCTAAGCCAAGAATATTCACCTGAGCAGAGGGGCAAGCGAGGAGTCCACAGAGACTTCCAGGCAGAGCGACTCGAGAGCCGAGAAGCAGGCGAGGGGCAGGGCAGGGCTGCTGTGGCTCCAGGAGGCGGTCATCTGAATGCCCTTGAGGGCTGAGCGCGCTGGCATCAGCGCATGCAGCAGGGCGTGAGAGTCCACATTGTCACACTGCAGTGTGTGGGGAGTGGGGATGGGGTGGGGTGGGGTGGGGGGTTGGGACGCTATGGGTGTGCACTCTGGCATAAGGGCGTGACAAAGGGCATGAGAATCCACGCTGCCACATTGCATTGGTACAGTGATGGGGAGGAGAGGACTGGGTGGCTGAGTCTGCAGAACCCTCAATCTCAACTCAATGTACATTCCCTCATGCGGTTCGCTTGCCAGTAATCGCCCCACCTCACTGTGCAGCGCCCCCATAGCACAGCACACACCAGACCACAAACAGTGCAGCTCACCAACCCCCCCAAACGACGCTTCTCCTCACCTGCATGACTCGCACGCTTTCCACCAGCTTCCCTCGTGCCCTGCAGCTCCCACCAGCAGCAGCCGCCTCGCATTGCAACAAACCCGTACTGCACACGGCACAGCCCAGAGCAAATGCCCGAGCGGACAGCCGGTGGTTGGCCACCACCTCGAGACGTCGCAGCTGGGGGCAGCCGTCCAGGATGGCCTGCATGTCGCTGTCTGCCATGTCCGAGCACATCTGCAGCTCCAGCTCTTCCAGGGCGGGGAACTGAGCGAGGGGCGGGAGGACTGGAGGAGCAGGTGGAGGCTGCACGGGGGGGGAACGAAGAGAACGAGGAGAGCCTGCGATGCTGGTGCAGCCACTGCTGTTGGTCTCGACGCTGCCAGTGGTGCTGGCACACGGGAGGCCGGTGAGGCAGGGGGCGAAACTGTTGGTCTCGATGCTCGCAGCTGCTGCTACAAGTGGGTCCTGACCCTCGTTCTGCACCTCCTGACCCTCGTCCTGCACCTGCTGCACCTGCTGCACCTGCTGCCACTGCTGCCAGTCCGCGAGAAGAGCATCGTCCACATCCCAGCTGCTGCTGCTGCAGCCGTCCAAGGTGGGAGGTGGCAACGAAGGGGCGCTATCCCACAGCATCCAATCCTCCAGCCTGGCACCATCCGCCATCAGGGGCGAGGTCAGGGTTTCATCGGCAAATGGGGCAGAAGGGGGGACCGAGCCACATCCGCCCAGCACCAGCATGTTCTGCAGCTGCACTCCTTGTTCAACCTCCTCCTCCTCCTGCTGCTCCTGCTGCTGCTCCTGCTGCTCCTGCTGCTCCTGCTGCTGCCCCAGCCCTTGCATCAGTGCCACCACCTTTCCCCCCTCCCCATCACTCCCATCACTCAGCAGCCCTCTACTGAGCCCCAGGAAGCGAGTGAGCCGGAGCACTCTCAGCGACTTGCACCCCGCAGCAAGGGCCTCTACAGCCGGGCCGCTGTTGTGCACGAAGAAGGACGGCACGAGGCACAGCTCCTCTAGGTTCGGACAGTGCCGAGCCAAACTCTCCAGTGCCGAGGCTGTGATGGGGTAGGTTAGGCAGGCTGCCGGGACTGGCGGTGCGACAGGGGCGGAATGGGCGGGAGCAGCGGCAGAAGCAGCGGCGGTAGCAGCAGGATCAGACGCCAAGCTAGCAGCAGACGGAGCGAAGAAGGAGGAGATAGACGCAGGGCTATCGGCATGCATGGCTGCAAAGGCCGTAGCAGACACGCCGGCAGTAGCAGCAGCTGGAGACAGACCGCTCATGAGGTCGCTATCCCCTTGTTCTACCTGAGGCAATGGCAGCACGCCTGGATACCCCCCATTGCCGCTCAAATCATGCTCCGTGCCATTGGCATCACGGGTATCACGGGTAACACGGCCACGCAGCAGCTGATTGCCGTTCAGCCTATGCCCCACATCCACGCCATTGCCATGCACGCCACTCGCCACATCCCCACCCACATCCCCATCCCCAGCCACATCCACATCCCCACCCGCCCCATCAGCATCCACGTCACTGTCGTTGAGGTCGTGCGCCACGTCTTCAATGCGCAGCACGCGCAGAGCCGGGCACCCACGGGCGATGCTCGAGATTCTGCACGCAGGGACGAGGTGGCCGGGGATGGGGGGATGGAACAGGGAGCGGGAGGGCAAAGAATTGGCGGAAAATGGCAGAGACTGGAATAACAGACACCCAGGGCGATGAAGCTGACAGAAACCACTCAGCAGCATTACTTCCACTGTTTACAGCCCATCCCCATTCCTTTCATACCCCCATCCCCATCCCCATTCCCCATCCCCCATCCCCCATCCCCCATCCCCCATTCCCATCCATGTCCCCATCCCCATGCCTGTCCCCATCCCCATGCCCATGCGTGTCCCCACGCTCAGCTCCCACTGCATCCTCATCTGGGGGCAAGGAGCATTCGAGCCAGACAGAGGCGGATGCGTGAAGGGCGGCAGGTACGACTGCTGCCGGCATGCAACCCAGTCCGCTGCCAGGCCCAGGAGCACGGCAGCTTTAGATTCGACTCGAAAGTCACAGAGACGGATGCGTGGAGGGCGGCAGGTACGACTGCTGCCAACATTCCGCTGCCAGGCCCAGGCGCACGGCAGCTGCGGCAGCTGATGGGCGACCGTTGGCTGCCGCCAGACGAGGCGGAGAGCGGGAATTTGAGAACAAGCAGCGCAGCGCTAGTCATTTCAGGGTGCGCTTAGCGGGGAGCTGGCAGCCTGAATGGCATCATTGCGACGGCCATTGCTCTTTCAGGCGCCAGCTGCAGTGTGCGGAGGGGCACGCATGCATGCATGTCACGCAGGCAGAGTCGTCTTAGAGACCTCAAGCACCCGCCATTGAACATCACGTTTGATCATTTGCGATCTTGGTTTCCCACAAGCGAGATAGAGCGAGCGAACGAGAAAGCGAGAAAGAGGGCGGGAAAGAGAGAGAACGGGGAAAGGAGGGGGATATGGGTCGACAAGCCGCTAGAAAAATCGCCAAGAAAGGCGCAGGAAAGCCGCGCATGAGTGGATACGAAAGGCACAGCAAAGGTGCATAGTACCTCGACAATGGTACGTACCCCGCATCAGTGACGCCGCCATCCGCCATCGCGAAGCTCAACTCCTCGAGACCCGGGAAAGCACCTCGCCCAAACACCTCTAACGCGTCATCCCTTAACGGAGCAGGCCCGCCCAGCAGGTTCAGCACACGAATCCTCCCCAGCTTGAAGTCACCTAGCTGCTTCGGCAACTCGTTAAAGTCACAGAGCCTGCTCCAAGAAAGATCGATAGAGTCGACTTTAGGGCAGCGGGACACCAAGCTGCTGACGTGGCGCGCCTCCAAGCCCTCGTCCAGGCCATCCCAGTGGCCAATCACAACGCTCTCCAGCTTCGGCCAGCACTGACGCACGTACTCCATACCAGACGGGCTCACGTTGGCTCGGATGCGGCGGAGGTTCGGGAACGACGTTCGGAAGACCTGCCGAAGCTCTTCTTCCGAACCTGGCCAATCAGGGTGGACGTCAGCCAGGTCCAGGTCCGTCACCGAGCCGAAGCACGTCCCAAGGCTCGGAAGATCGCTGAGGCTTCCGCGCAGGTGCAGCTGGGTACGCGTGGCACGCTCCCATTGGCGCCAGGCCCGGCAGACGAGCGCGCAGCAACCGCGGTCTCTGGGCGCGTCAACGAGGGAGATTATAACGCGGACAAGCTCTGAGGGAAGAGCGACGAGAGAGGGCTTCGGAGAGGACCCTCGAGCGTGGCAAGGCTCAGCCTCAGGGAGGAGATAAGACGAATCAGCGCGGTTGAGGTTGCGAGCAGCCGCGGAGGAATCTGAGTGACGAAACCAAGGCCCCTTCCCCTTCACCCCTTCCTTCTCCTCTGATCCTCCTGTCCCCTTGGGATTGTCGCAAATCGAGATATGACCGTCCAATCGGCGAACCTTGTTGGGGGGGGCGAAAGACTCGGAAGTCAGGGAGCGGAACTGGCTGCTTGATGATGAAGCTGGAGCTGATGATGTCGACTCGATTGACACACGAACAGTGGCGTTGCTCTGTAAAGGAGCATTCTGTAACGGGGATGAAGACACGATCAAGGAAGAGGTCATGATGGTTCAGAAACAGCCAGCTGGGTTCCTGATCGACGCTGTAAAAGTTGCTGTTGAAAGTGTTTCTCTTAGACGCTGAGCCCTCACTCGAGAAGGACGCTTCCACCAATAACGCCTCCTACCACCTCCACTGACTTCACGGCATGCCACGCACCACACCCATCGTTTCCACAAAGCGAGGCGAGGCGAGCGCAAGGCGATAAGCAGCAGCTCATCCTGGCCGTTAAAACGAAGGACGTTCAGACATGCGAGATCAGATTGCGGTTATCAGAATCGAAATTCGTGGCGAAATCTATGGAAGGAGAAAGTAGCAAAAAAACAATCAGATTCAGTGGGAACGAGTTCTAAGGTAGTCTAGAGAGGAGGCCCTTGCGATTTCTAGAACTAATACAGTGCGAGGGTAGCAGCAACGGGACTTCCTAGTGGGAGACTCGAAAGCGACGCCATAGCTGGAGACACGTGAACCTAAACGACCCGTCCTACCGTCGCCGGCACTCGGAAAAGTTGAACTAGCTGCTGCTAACGGTGCTATTGCGGGCTATTTGAGGGACATGGCGGAAAAGGAAGCCGCGGAATTGTACGCGTGGTCCATTGGTATAAGTGGTGATAAGAGGGAGATGGAACGGGCGTAAGGGAAAGACGCGACGGTGCGCAAACCACGGAAAGAGGCGAGCACGTAGGTCAGGCTACGGCGAAACCTAAGCGTCTGAGAGGAAACTCGGGTGTCTCTACACGCAACGCGGCGGCAGTTGCTTGAGCCAAAAGAAAGCGAATCTGGGGTTTAAACCAACTCAGACCAGCTCAGGAAACTTAGGAGCTGGCGTTTGGGAGGACGATGGTCACGGGATGACTCTCCTTGGAGCGTAAAATCCTTAGCACCGATTAATAGGTTAGGACAGCACGCAAGCACGTAAGCACATGAGTGGAGACTCGGACAGAGCACATGCAGGCTAAAGCGAAGTACTTCACCTCAGGGCTCACGCCTCGTGACTCAGGACTCAGGGTCGTGTGCTGCCTGCTGCCTGCTACTACAGTAAACTGCTGCTCCTGCTGCTTGCTCGGCTGACATCCCTTGATTTTGCCGAGCCACCATCACCACCGCTCCGCTTGCTTCCCCGCACACGCAAGGGTCAAACGGCGAAAATCAAGCCGAGGGGGGGGAAAAGGCGGAGCGAAGGCCGTTTGAGGGAGGGTTTGGTGACGACGTGGGCCAATGGGAAGCCGAGATGAGGTGAGCGCGCGGACGTAGCGTGTGAAGGGGGTAATGCGCTGGGCCGTCGTAGGCTGGCGGGGATGAAATCGAGGGTGGTTTTCGCCGAGGGTTCTGATTCGTCAGGGTGGTTTTACGCGGTTGCTTAGACGGCCAAAACCTCACCGAATGTCAGGAAATCGCAGGGTTTGGCGAGCTGCTGGTTTGAGTTGCCGCTTTCCCAAACGCTCAACGGCAGATTTCAAGCCGGTCGCCACGTCGGCTGCCAGTGCACTATTAGAGCAAATTGTCCGAGCAATATTTATGTTTCCACTCTGGAATATTATTATCAGGTAAGTGTAGTTTAAGTTACTGAAAATGTGTTACCGTTTCGCTGATTTCGTCGTCTTCGACAATCTCAACAGCTTCAACCTGATCCTTCTGTTTGCCCACGTTTCAGCCACCCTGCCCACTTCAGTCATCGCATCAGTCCCTTCAGCTCAACTGTACTTCCTCCACCGGCCTTACCGATTGTTGTTCTTTCCACTCCTGCCAACTGAAAGCCTGTTAGGGTTACAAGAGGATTTACCGCGAGTCAACTCGCCAGATCCTCTGTAAATTGATCATAGTTCCACGTCAGGGTCGTTTTATAAATTAGGGGTACGTCACATTTTCCCACATGGCCACTAATATGGCCGTAGTCGAGGAGCCATTGTACCCGATAGCCATTTTAATCGACGAGCTTAAGAATGACGACATTCAGCTGCGCTTGAACTCGATTAGGCGGCTGAGCACGATCGCGAGGGCTCTTGGCGAGGACAGGACGAGGAAAGAGCTGATTCCGTTTCTTAACGAGAATAATGACGATGACGACGAGGTGCTTTTGGCCATGGCGGAAGAGCTTGGCTCGTTTATTCCCTGCGTCGGAGGAGTCGATTTCGCTTACGTCATCCTCCCGCCGTTGGAAACGCTCTGCACTGTTGAGGAGACGGTTGTACGCGATAAGGCGGTGGAGTCGCTGTGCAAGATCGGACAACAGATGAAGCCGCGAGACATTGTCGAGTACTTCGTCCCGCTTGTTCAGGTTCGCTTTTCGTTTCCTTCCTATTATCTCAAACTTGGCATCTCATATCAATATTTCCTTATTTCGGGCTTCTTCGACTATCTCCTTCAAAACCCCTCTTTTTCAAACTTGGATATTACACAGTGTTGTCCGCAGGTAGCTGACTCCGGCTTTGTACTTCTTCTTCCGCACGACATTGCAAACCGTTCGTCCCGTTTCTTATCTTCACGTCGCGCCTGTCACTGCCGTGTTGGTTGCTGCGTTGATTGCTGGTGTCAAGCGGGTATAAAGAGAACGATAGCCTGGCTGTTGACAATGTCTCACTCTTAGCAACCCGCATTTATAACAGATTCTGGCGACAGCGACTGTTGTCGGCGCGAGTTTTTCGCGGTTCCGTGCCGGAGTGCCACGGAGCAGCAGCAGGCTGTTGCTCAGCTGGCAATCATGGTTGTATTATTTATCGATCCCTCTCCTTCTTCCCACCCCCTAACTCCCCTACATGCCCTCTCCACCTCCTTTTCCCCTCCCGTTCCCCAACTTCCCCCTTCGCCCACCCCCATCAGCGCCTGGCGGCAGGCGACTGGTTCACGGCGCGGGTCTCCGCGTGCGGGCTGTTCCACATCGCGTGCCCCGCGGCGACGGAGCAGCAGCGCGCCGAGCTGCACACGCCGTACGAGCAGCTGAGACGCGGCATTTTGACCCCTCCCCCCGCTCCCCTTCCTTTTCTCTCCCTTTCTCCCGCTTTTTCCCCTCCTTCCTATCCCGCCCTCTATCGCCTGTTCCCTTCCTCCCCTTCACTCCCGCCCCCCCCCCCCGCATCAGCGACTGGCGGCGGGCGACTGGTTCACGGCGCGCGTGTCGGCGTGCGGGCTGTTCCACATCGCGTACCCCGCGGCGACGGAGCAGCAGCGCGCCGAGCTGCGCACGCTGTACGGGCAGCTGAGCCACGACGACATGCCCATGGTGCGCCGTTCCGCCGCGCTCAACATGGGGAAGTTCGCCGCCACCGTCGAGCCGCAGTTCCTCAAATCCGACATCCTCGCCTTCTTTAAAGACCTCACCAACGACGGTGAGTAGACGGGAAGGTTCTCCAGGTCGTGGTTCTGGCGCGCGGAAACGGGGAGAGTAGGAAAACGGGGAGGGAAGGAGAGGGGGGAGCGGGAGGGGGGGAGTGTGGGAGGGGGAAGGTGAGGCCAGGGGTCGCTGTACGGCAATTGCACGGGAAGATTGGGGGATGGTATGGTGTTTTTGAGAATTCTCAAAAACACCCTGCAAGATTGGGGGATGGTATTGGGAGAAGGGGATATCCGGAAGGGGGGCCGTGACCGTGCCATGCGACCAACACTTGCTATTCCCCTCCCTTCCAACCCTTCTCCTCGTCCGTTTCTCCCCTTGTTTCAAACGGTGCGGCTGCTGGCGTTGGAGGGGTGCGCGGCCATGAGCATTCCAGACCGTCGTGGTCTATTGCTGACCATCGGTGACCTTTCTGCCTGTTTCCCTTCAATATAATCCCTGCCTGTTTCCCTTCAATATAATCCCTGCCTGTTTTCCTGTCCAACAGACCAGGACTCGGTGCGGCTGCTGGCGGTGGAGGGGTGCGCGGCGGTGGGCAAGCTGCTGGAGAAGGAGGAGTGCATATCCACCATCCTCCCCATCATCCTCGCCTTCGCCCAGGTCAGACCCCCTCCTGCTCCTTGCTCACCCTCGGTCGAAGGAACTTTGAAGGATCTTCGAAGGACCTTATCAAAGTCGTTAGATCAGACCCCTGGCCATCTGCTCACCCTCATTATCCTTCCCTGGCATCTGTCCGCTTCTGAGCCCTCATTTCGAGGCGCCTCAAAAGCCCTCATTTCTTTCTTAGTTTTCCACTTCTCGCCTGAGCTGTAGTTGAAGCCTCTTTTTCCTGCTGACGTGTCATGTGTGGCAGGACAAGTCGTGGCGAGTGCGGTACATGGTGGCCAATCAGCTGCACGAGTTGTGCGAGGCAGTGGGGCCCGATGTCGCACGGTGGGTTCCGGTGTTGCATGGTGTGATGCTCGCTGTAGGATGGGACAATGCATGACAGGATGAGACAACTCGTGGCGGCCAATCAGCTGCAAGAGCTGTGCGAGGCAGTGAGGCCTGACGTGGCACGGTAGGTCCTGCCTGCCTCTCCTCCTTCCAATCCCCTCAACTTCCCTGTCTCTTGGCTGCTGCCACAATTACCTCCTTACCACCCCCTCTCTCCCCCCCCCCAACCGCCCTCTTTTCCCACTCCCATTTCGCCCCGTTCGTTTCAGAGCTGAGATGGTCCCCTGGCGTCTGGTAGCCCCCTAAGCATCCACTTCCGTTCGCCCTTGGTTGCCCCCGATCCCCCCGCACCCCCCCTCCCCCGCACCCCTCTCGTCCCTTCCCTTTCGAGCCAACGAGGCTGGTGCTGGCGTTCATCACGCTGCTGCCCCCCAACGAGGCGGAGGTGTCTCAACAACCCTTTCCTTCCTCCCTCCCCCCCCACCCCACCCCACCCCACCCACCCCCACCCCCCCCTTGTTCCCCCCTCCCCTCACTCCCCCCCTTTGTTCCTCTCAGCGCGGAGCTGGTCCCCGCGTTCATCACGCTGCTGCGCGACAACGAGGCGGAGGTGCGGATCGCAGCGGCGGGCAAGGTGACCAAGATATGCGCCATCGTGAAGCGGGAGGACGCCTTCAACGCCATCCTGCCCTGCGTCAAGGTGAGACGAGAGCAGGGTCTGTCTTCTCTTCCTCCTCCAACCCTCCTTGTCTTCTCCCCCCCCCCCCAAGATCCTTAGGTCCTGTCAACGGATGCGTCTCAGCACTTGCAGTCCTCCCTATCAACGAGTGCTGCAAGTGCTATCTCTGTTCCCTCCTTTCCCTTCCCCCCTATCTCTGTTCCCCCTATCTTGGGTGCGTCCCAACGGATGCGTCTCAGCACTTGCAGTCCTCCCTATCTCTGTTCCCTCCTTCCTCTTCCCCCTTCCCCCCTCCCTCTTCCATCTTCCCTCTTCCCTCTTTACTCCTCCCCCTTCACTTCTCCCTCCTCCTCCTCCTCCTCCTCCTCCTCCCCCTTCCCTCCCCCCTCTCTCCACTATCATCTGTGCGGGCGGCGCTGGCGACAGACACCATGGGCATGGCACCTCTCATGTCCCCCCCGTCTATTTTTGAGGCGCCTCAAAAATAGACTCCTTTCGCTGGCGACAGACACCATGGGCATGGCACCTCTCATGTCCCCCCCGTCTCCCCTGCTATCTGCGCTCTCCCTGGTCCCTCGTCCCCCGTCCGTACCCCCCCCCTCCCTCTCCTCAGGACCTGTCCACCGACGGTCCAGTTGTGAGGCGCCTCAAAACTACCCCCCCCCCTCTCTTCTCAGGACCTCTCCACCGACGGTCAGCGCTGGCGTCAGTGATCATGGGCATGGCGCCACTTCCCGTCTCCCCTGTCATCTGCTCTCCCTGTTACCTTCTCCCCTTCGTTCCTCCCTCTTTCCTCCTCCCACCCTCTACTTGCCTCAGGATCTCTCTACCGACGCGTCGCAGCACGTGCGGTCGGCGCTGGCGTCGGTGATCATGGGCATGGCGCCGCTGATGGGCAAGGAGATGACCATCGAGCACCTGCTGCCGCTCTTCCTCGCGCTGCTCAAGGACGAGTTCCCCGACGTGCGCCTCAACATCATCAGCAAGCTCGACCAGGTCAACCAGGTGAGACAAGAATTCACTTTCCTAGGCTCGGTTTTACTTGGTTTTACTTGAGTTGGCTCAGGTACGACTTCCCCTCATTCGTCGCAGGTGATCGGCATGGACCTGCTGTCCCAGCCAACCATCGTCGAGCTCTCAGAGGACCGGCACTGGCGGGTGCGGCTGGCCATCATTGAGTACATCCCGCGGCTGGCCATCATTGAGTACATCCCGCGGCTGGCGCACTTGCCTGACCTCCCGTCCCCGTTTCCCTCCGGCTCCCTCCTGGGCCCCCCTCATCCCCCCACACCCCCCTTGCCAGTCCCAGTCGCATGGACCTGCTGTCCCAGTCGCTCTTCCCAGCCATAGTGGAGCGCTCAGAGGACTGGCACTGGCGCGTGCGGCTGGCGATCATCGAGTACATTCCGCTGCTGGCGGGGCAGCTAGGCATGGAGTTCCAACCCTATGTGCTGTGTTCCTCCCCCTCCTCCTCCCCCCCCCCCCCCCCTCCCCCCCTCTTTGTTGTGTCCCTCCCCCTCCTCCTCCCCCTCCCTCTCCCCCTCCAGGTCATCGGCATGGATCTGCTGTCCCAGTCCTTGTTCCCGGCAATTGTCGAGTTATCGGAGGACCGGCACTGGCGTGTGCGGCTGGCGATCATCGAGTACATCCCGCTGCTAGCGGGGCAGCTGGGCATGGAGTTCTTCGACGAGAAGCTCAAGGACCTCTGCATGAAGTGGCTCGAGGACCAGGTGGGAATTTGCAGCAGTGTTGTTGGGTGAAAAGGCGTTACAGGGTTACCAGGTGATGGTATTGCGGCTGGCGCAGAGTACCTCCCGATTCCGCTGCTGGCGGGGCAGCTGGGCATGGAGTTCTTTGAGGAGAAGCTCAAGGACCTCTGCATGAGGTCCATGTGAGAGGGCGTGTTACATAGAATGCGGCTCTAACAATTTTGAGCGCCATGCCATGGTGACGCACCACCGTGTCGTGTTCTGTCCTGATTCCTTCCACTCTGTGTCTCACCGTCCCCATCTCTTTCCATCCCATCCCACCCCACCCCACCATACCACCAGGTGTACTCGATCCGAGAGGCAGCAGCCACCAACTTGAAGCGGCTGGCAGAGGAGTTTGGGCCCGAGTGGGCTCAAGCACACATCCTGCCCATGGTATGTACGGCTCACAGCTATTGTGTGGCTTGGCATTCTAACCATGAAGTCGACCTTAGAGGTCACGGCGCAAGTGCTTCTCACGCGACTGTTCTCTGTGTGTTCTTCCCCCGAATTTCCACCCCGCCACGTAAGTAGTGAGCAAAGTGACGGTGCTGCTCTTAATTTCCATACTCATCCTACTCCCTCTCTCCCACTATCGCTGGACTACTCCTCTCACGTTCCTCTCCCGCCCTGCATATCATCAGGTGGTGAGCAAGGTGAACAGCCCACACTAGCTGTACCGCATGACTGTGCTGCTCTCCATCTGATCAGATCAGACTCCCCGCTCCTCTTGTCCTCTCTTGCCCGTCCACTCTCTGCTTGTCTCGCATTCCTCACCCCGCCAGGTGGTGAGCAAGGTGAACAACCCGCATTACCTGTACCGCATGACCGTGCTGCTCTCCATCTCCATGCTCGCGCCGGTGCTCGGCTCTGAAGCCACCTGCAGCACCATGCTGCCCATCGTGCTCAACGCTGCCAAGGACAGGTAATATCCGTGTTCGTTTTAGTTGGCCAAGAGGTTTTTGTAGCCAGATCGGCATCTTACCATTGCATCGTATTACCAGAAACCAAATCTGATCTCTACATGTTTTTCCTGCATTTTATACGTGCTCACAGGGTGCCCAACATCCGGTTCAATGTGGCCAAGATGCTTCAATCCTTCATCACCATTGTCGAGCCATCCGTAAGTTCACATGTGACACATGTGAGTGGCAACGCCTTCTATTCTGAAATCTCTTCCGCCCCACTTTCTCCCTCACCTTCCCTTTGTGCAGTTCCCTTGTTTTCCTGCCTCCCTCGCATGTTTCCCCCGTCTGTTCCATCATCTCTTTCCAACCAGCCCTGATTGAACTGAATGGGGACCCGGATCCCAATGTGCGTTTTTCTATTTCAACTGTCCTTCCTGTACCTCTCATCGATCACTTCCCCTGTCGTTCACCTCTCCCACTATCAGGTCGTGGAGCAGACCATTCGACCAGCCTTGTTTGAGCTCAACGAGGACCCAGATCCAGATGTGCGCTTCTTTGCCAATCAAGCACTGCAGGCGTGCGATCAGGTCATGGTGGGCTGAACGCACTGGCAGACAACTGGAGGCACATGATTGAATGGAGACGATTTGCAGGGGTGTAACAGCACATGCGCCATGGCTTGGCTCCATGCAAATGCATGCGAAGTCTAACTCTCTCGAAGCTCTTGCAGCGGCTTCTGCTTGCCTTGGTTGCTGGGTTCATGTGCGAAGTATGAGTCCTGATGGGCAAACTTCAGGATAATTGTCGTTACACGTTTTCTCTTTTTGAAGGGCATGCCTATTTTGTGGAAACCTTAGCAATTTTTTTTTGTTTTTTAAATTCCGATACCAACTATCCATGGGGTGACTCAACTGAAGACTGCTGCTGCTCCCCCTTGCATCTCTTTGTTCGCAGCGTCGGCTGGCAGCTCTAGGCTTCACTACACGTCATTTGCGGGAGAAAGGTCCCCTCAAGGATGTTCTCAGCCGTCAGATAAAGTATAGCGAGAGTACCAACGCTGGATGTTGAGCACGTGTTTAGCGCACAGAAGGAAGAATCTTTCCGCCTATCAAGTTACTGTCAGGTGTGCAGCCACCGCCAGGGCGGCTCGCGCGCCAACGAACCGAGTCCCGCGGCTTCCGCGCTGCGGGAATTTAGATTTGTGTTCGCGAAACTCGGTCATTATAGTCGCACAAGCGTTTTTCTGCTGACGGTCTGGTAACTCTTACACTTGCGAAACAGAAGGTGTGAACATGTTTTAGCGGGATAAGTTCGCCGACTTGCCGACAGCTCCAAATTTTCAGCAGCCGAAAGCATCACTCTGCGACTCTCCTCAAAGGCCAGCATGCTTCTCCACCACCCTCTTTTGCCATCACTGAATCCCTCGCCTCACTGAATTGAGATTCCTGAAGTTCCTGAATCCACTTTTGTACCGATACGAACCGTCTCCCAACTCGAAGCCCGTCGCCTCTCTGAATTGAAATTCCTGAAGATCCTGAATCCTCCTTTCTCCTGATCAGAAATGTTCTTTCCTCTGGCTACTTCTCGAGGCTCTAGCTCGTTTCCTCCGAATCCTTGGCGTCTGTAGCATGCCATCGCATCACTGACTGGTGCAAGGTCTTCCGAATCTTTAGCCGTTAATCTTAATCTTATGTCGATCCTACTTATTATTTCAGTTATTCGGAGCAACTGTATTCTGGTAGTTCGGGCCAACTGTATTTCAGTCCCTCTAAACGTTAGTCACTCCGAGCAACTCTAGTCTAGACATTTCGAAAGTCTATTCTAGTCCTTCAACGCGTCTTTGCTATAGTTTGGAGTGAAGATTCCGTAGTCCTGAGCGACTCCTTCCCAGGAGTGACGACCCGTTAGAGTCAATCAGAGCACCTCTATTCTACTGAACCGGAGCAGCGCTACTACCCTTGTCAGTTGGAGCGGCAACGTTTAGGAAAATCTTAAGATCTTGACAGACGGCTTACTGAGATGGTTTGTAGGTGTGATAGTGACCTATTATTAGCGATGGTGTCCCTTCTGACGGTATTACCGAGACGGCAACTTACCACGGCCATTGGCGAAATGGTGACTTTTGATGGTTTATGGAGACGACGACTTCTGACAGCCATTCTCGAAATTTTGATTTCTGACGGTGATGAGCGAAACGTGCTTCTGACGGGCATTTTCAAAACGGTGGCTTCCTGGTGTTAGCAGAGCGTGTCTTTTGCGAAACGGCGACGACGTGGTTGGTAACAGCGTCGTTTGGCGGCCAGTCTCGAAAAGGCGACTTCTGACGGTCACTCGCCAGACGGCGACGTCTGACGGTCACTCGCGAGTCGGCGACTTCTAACGGTCACTGGCGAGACGGCAACTCTGACGACGTTTTCTGACGGATTAGCGGGACAGCGGCTTCTGACGGTCATTGGCGAAACCGTGACGGTCATTAGCGAGGCGGCGACGTCTGACGGTCACTCGCGAGACGGCGACATCTGACGGTCACTCGCGAGATGGCGACATCTGACGGCCATTCGCGAGATGGTGACTTCTGACAGCCACTCGCGAGACACCGACTTCTGACGGTCACCCGCGAAACGGCGACTTCTGACGGCCACCCTCGACACGATTATTTCTGACGGTCATTCGTGCGACGGCGACTTCTGACGGCCATTCGCGAGACGGCGACTTCTGACGGTCACCCTCGATACAATGACTTCTGATGGTCACTCGCGAGACGGCGACTTCTGACGGTCACTTGCGCGACGGCGACTTCTGACAGTCATCTCGCGAGATGGCGACTATTGACGCTCACGAGCGAGTCGGCGACGAAGACGCGCCAGTGGTCGGGGGACGCGCCAGTGGAGCGCGGTGAATGTTGGTGGCGGGAAGTTCTGACGGTCAAAGAGTGGCTTCAGGTTGCTGCTGTTGCTACGCCCGAATCCCGAGATTCCTGGACGGGGGGAGGGAGTGGGAGGAGGGCTGATTGGAGGAAGCGGAGGAGAGGAGGCGGCTACAGCTGCTGATGATGGCGCTTCTGCTGCTGGCAATGGTGCTACTAGTGGCGACGGTTGTGCTGGTCACGCTGCTGCTGCTGCCTCCTCTGCACCTTATATGGTAAGCTGCTTTCTGCACCTCCTTGGACGTAGATGCTCCTTTTTTTTGTGCTGCCCCTGCTACACCTTGTCATGGTTACTGGACCATGACGCACTACCATCAACCCCATGAGCCCATCAGCCCCATCAGAGGGGCCAGCAGAGGGTCCACAAGGGTGCCATGGGTAGCAAAGCGGTAAGTTCGTGGAGCACGTGGTGCAGCCATGATTGCACCTGAGGCGTGGAGAGCACCCAAGGGGAGGAGAAGCTCCCTGCATCGACCCTTCGACACCCCTCCCTCTCTCCTCCTCCTGTCATCCGTCACTCCTCCTCCTCTGGCTGTCAGTGCTCTCACCTCGGGACCCTCCCCAGGTGATAGACGCAAACGCCATGATGTGAGCATGGTGCTGCGAGGTAGACACTCACTGTAAGTTGGTATGGTCCCTGGTGGGACCTGCAGCTTCCAACAGACCCACTCGCCCCAGCCGCTCTTGCAGTTCTCCTTCAGCGGCTGTGCAACACCGAAGACCGACTGTCGAAGACTGACAATCCAGCCACGACCAGGGGGGAATAAAGTCCTCACGCATTCTTAGTTTTTTTTCTATCGCTTTCGATTGTCGTCACTTTCAACCGCATTCTCTTCACTCCCCCTCCCTCGCTTTTCACTTGTCCCTTGCCCTCTCCTCCCCTGCCTTCCCTCCTTCTGCCCCTCCCATGCAGCACCTGCACCCTGAGGGTGGTTCCTACCAAGTAAGTGTGCCCCGTGAGTGCTCCATGTGCCCCTACCCAAGGGAGGGCAGCAGTGGAATGACGCGCGGCGGGCATTTTCTGGGCTGTGACTGCTCTTGCATGCCCGGCTGACCACACTGCCCCTTGCCCTTCACGATTGCGGCTGGTGGGAGTGCGGCTGCCGGGTGCGCGGCTGGAGGGAGCAGCCATGGCGCTAGCCTCGCAACTGCCACCTCTACGGCTAAGTTCCCTCGCATCCCTTTCCAATCTTTCGAGATCCTCATGCTAGCCGTGCTTCCTTGTTTTCCTGCATCGTTGCTTGCTTTGCTCGTTAAAAAAATGGGAGGGATCAAAACTCAGAGTTGGGATTCTTGGCGCGTGGCGATGGTAGCACATGGCACTGGGGCGGAAGGGCTCATACTAGAGTTGTAGGGGATAGAAACGCATTCATCCTCACGCCCGCGTCCCTCTCTTACCTAGTCGCCCTCGCGTGCTAGCTCCATGCCCTGGTGCCGTGGGCTACCATCGCCCTTTCTCTCTTTCTTTGAAGCCTGCACCGTGTTTCACAAGATGCACCCTCGCCATCACTTCTGCTTCTTGCAAAGGGCTTCGTTTCTATGAATCTTTCGCTTGTCATGAACAAACCTCTTGCTTGTTCTTGCACGTATCATTGGCTCGGCATGCCTCGACCTAACTTTCTGCATCTCCTTCCACCAAGTGTTTTTTTCTCCCCGCACCATTCCGTTGTCCCAGGCCCAAGGAGGTGCGCACCGCAGAGCCGGAGTTGGAGGGCAGTGGAAAGACGCACGGCAGGCAGCCACAGCGGTGTGGCTGCCCCCTGCTCGCCCTGCTGACCACTGCACTCCCAGTCGCGTTGGAGGCTGGCGGGTGCCGCTGCTGGGAGTGCTGCCGCTGGGAGTGCGGCTGCAGGGAGTGCGGCTGGATGGAGTGTGGCTGGAGGGAGTGCGGCTGGAGGGAGTGCGGCCAGAGGGAGCGCCTCTGCTGGGAGCACGCGGTGCAGCCGAGGGTGGAGAGCACCCACCTACGGGAAGGTGGAGCGCCCTGCATCGACCCTTCCACACCCGTCCCGCTCTACTCCGCCTCTCATCCGTCCCTCCTCCTCCTCTGGCTGTCAGTGCTCTCACCTCGGGACCCTCCCCAGGTGACACAGGTAGACAATCACTGTAAGTTGGTATGGTCCCTGGTGAGGTGTGCAGCTCCCAACACACCCTCTCCACTCGCCCCAACCACTCCTGCAACACGCCAGCAGGGGCAATGCAATGCCGACTCTCGAAGACCGACCTTCCAGTCACTACCAGGGCAATCGCTCCTCGGTTTCAACCGTCCTCGCTCTCACTGTCCTCGCTTTCACCGTCCTCACTTTCACTGTCATTCATCTGTTGTGTTTAGCCGTCCTCGCTTTCAATCTCATTTGCTTTATCGCTCACTCCCTCCTTCCCTTTTCTCACTTGTCCCTTCCTCTCCCCCCCCCTCCCCCCCCTCCCTTCCCTCCGTCCTCTCCACCCCTCCTAGCGGTCCCGTACCCCATGACTGCAGCAGCTGCAGCTAGAGATATCAGGGAGGGCTGCAGGGAAGGCAGCAGTGGGATGACGCACGGCAAGCAGTCGCTGGACTGTGACTGGCCCCTTTGGGCTCTGCTGACTACAGCGCCCCTTGCCCTTGACGAGCTGCTGTCATCATGGTTTCACTCTGCCTCGTCTTGCAGCTGTACTCCCATGGCCCTGCCGCATGTACTTATTCTGCATCGCCCTTCGGTGCTGAGAGCGGGGATGGAGCTGCATTTTGGTATGTATATCTCTGCCACACTTGCTCTCTGCTCACTTGCTCTCTGCTCACTTACTCTGCTCACTCTCTGCTCACTTGCTCTCTGCTCATTTGCTCTCTGCTCACTTGCTCTCTGCTCATTTTCTCTCTGCTCACTTGTTCTCTGCTCAGTTGTTCTCTGCTCACTTGCCTCAAGGTACGTATCCCTCTGCCTCATTGTGCTGCACTCCTTGCTCCCTTTGCCGTGCCTCTCTTTATTCTGCATCGCCTGTTGCACGGTGCTCCAGTGCTTTTGAGTCGACTCAAATGCATCGCCTGTTGCACGGTTCTCCGGTTGAGTGGAGCTGGCATCACGTGGCCGCCGCAGCCGCCCGTGGGTGCACGGTGCTCCGGTGATACGTCTCTCCCTGCCTTGCTTGCTGCCCCCTTTGCAACGCCTGCTGCTTGCCCACCCTACACCTTCACACCCACAGGCAGCACAGGCAGCACAGACAGCACAGACAGCACAGAAAGGCAGACATACAGTTCTGACAGAACAGACGGCACAGAAAGATACAGACAAATACAGACAGACCAGACAGCACACCTTGATAACAGTGCCGCACCTGTAGTCATAACCACACTTTAAGATCGATTGCGGAATCGAAGAACAAAGGAAAAAGGGATGAAATGTCTGTAGCAGGAACGAGGGTCCTAACGTGCTTGATCTGTTTTAACTATTTGTGTATATGGTGTATGTAACCCTCGCCACTTCCTCAACCTCTGGCCCACCTTTCCCTCCCCACCTCTGGACATTTGAGGTGTCTCTCTCTTCTGATCATTTCATCCTCTCCCTCCTTTCCCTCTGGACTCTGGACTCGGGCTCTGGGCTCTGGACTCTGGGCTCTGGACTCCGGAACCTGGACTGGGACTCTGGACTCTGGACTCTAGTCTAGGACTCTGTACTCTTGACTCGGCCTGTGGACTCTGGACTCTAGACTCTGGGCTCAGACTCAGGACTCTGTACTCTGGACTCGGACTCGGACTCTGGACTCTGGACTCTGGACAGGGACTCTGGACTCTGGACTCGTTCCCTGGACTCTGAACTCTGGACTCGGACTATGGGCTCTGGACTACGACTCTGGACTCTGGACACTGGACTCTGGACTGGGACTCTGGACTCTGGACTCTGGACTCGTACTCTGGACTCTGGACTCTGGACTCCGGACTCTGGACTCTGGACTCTGGACTCGGCCTCTGAACTCTGGACTCGGACCCTGGACTCTGGACTCTGGACTCTGGACTCTGGACTCGGGCACTCTGGACTCTGGAATCTGGGCTGTGGACCCTGACTCTGGACACGGACTCTGGACTCTGGACTCTGGACGCTGGACTCTGGACTCGGCCTCTGGACTCTGGACTCTGGTCTCTGGACGCGGACTCTAGACTCTGGACTCTGGGCGCTGGACTCTGGACTCTGGACTAGGACTCTGTACTCTAGACTCGGACTCGGACTCTAGACTCGGACTCTGGACTGTAATCCTGAAACGGCGCGCGGCGGAAGCAGCTGGGAGGGTAGGGTTTGGCTTGGGAGTGGGACCGCTAGGAGGAGGAGCACAAAAGCAGTAAGGTAGGGTAGATGTTGCTACTCTGTTTGTTCTCTCGTTATCATGGGAAAGCCTGCATGCTCTATTACTAGTGGAATTACTCATGAGCAAGGCTAGATCCATGTAGGGAGGCCGGAAAGAGGTGCAGTTAAAAGGATCAGGGTGAGAGATTTAGTCTCGAGCTTTTCGTACAAACAGAGTCATGGCGGGCATATCGCTGCGTAGCGGCATGCGCCTACCCGTGGGAGAGACTCCCCCGCTGGGGGAGGAGAACGCGCCGCCAAGAGAAGAAGGCGAAGAACGGGGACGGGAATCGTCAGAGGATAAGCGCGAATCCCGCGCGAGGAGGCTGACGAAGAAGGGCAAGAGTGCGACGAGGAGATTCGCGGCTCTAGCAGGTTTGCCATGCGAGCAGACCGCCGTCCAGGAGGAGGAATCCCGTTGGCGGGAAGCGGGGGAATCCCGTCAGGCGTCGCGGAGAGCAGCAGAGGGGTCCCGGACTCGAGGGCAGCTGGATCCGCAGAGATCGGCGCATCTGCACGGTTAAGCGAGATGGGTGGCGAAGGTGCAGCCGTGGGGAGAGGCGCATCCGCGGGGGGGCCGTCAAGGCGGTCCCTGTGGGAGGACGGGACAAGATATCGCTACACCAACCTTCCGAAAGTGGAGGTTCCAGCTCGCTTTACGGGCGACCAAGAGACCTGGCCGCGGCTTAAGGCGTATGCGATGCACATCCGCAGGGAGAAATTCTGCTGGGAGCAAGATGGCTTGGACTTAAAGCACTTCTTTCGCTCTCTGGGGAACACGCTGGCCGGAGACGCGGAGGCGTTCTTCCTCGAAGTATGCGATCTGCTGCTGCAGGAAGAGGAGCGGGATGCTTTGGGTCGGGTGTGCCGCGATGAGGAGGGACGAATCGTGACGCTGAGATATCCGACAGAGAGATTCCTCGCTGAGCTGCAGGTCCATGTCCCCACGCAGACGCCGGCCCGGCTGAGAGAGTTTGAGCAGCTGCGGAGGGCCCCGAGAGAGTCGCTGCTGGCCTATTACCGGCGGGTGGATCAGCTGGCTGACGACATCAGCTACAAGGAGCCACGGATAGTGGTGGCGAAATTCGTGGATGGGCTGTCGGGAGATCTGGCGCAGACGGTGAGAGACCACACGTACAACTTAGGGCCGAACGCCACGCTTCGTCAGGCGTATGAGATAGCATGGCGGAATGAGCAATCCTTGAGCATGTATGACCTGGGGAAGTGGGCAGAACGGTCCATGCCCCGCGAGCGTGATCACAGGGGAGTAAGTTGGGGTGGAGCCATGATGGCAGTAAGGAAATGAGGAAGGAGGGCCGGAAGACAGGAATCAGAGGGGACGGGCGAGGAGAGCAAGAAGCGCGACTCCTCCCCCGGGTGAAGAGCCCGTGTGCTATAGGTGCAGGGAGCCCGGGCACTTTAAACGAGACTGCCCCAAGCTACAGTCCCGTACATACTGCCAGCGAAAGGGGCATGCGGCTGACAACTGTTATACGAAGCAGAGGGAAGAACGGAGCCGTGGGGGAAGACGCAGTCGCATAGAAGCACTGGAAGAAGAGCTCAGGAAGCTCAAGACAGAGGCGGAGGGCAGCGAGGAAGAGGAGGACCAAGGAGCACTAATGGCTCGAGCAGACCAGGAAGATGAAGGGGAGCTGCCAGAGCCCTTCTTCATGGCCTCGGGGAGAGATCGAGACCGAGAAGACCTGGGGCTGTGCAGCGGGGGCAAAGATGGACGCCGCGAGATGCGACAGGGGCGCAGAGGGCCACGGATGGAGCCCTCCCCAGCGGTGCAGCGGGCAGCGGAAGCTGCAGCGGAGGCGGTGGCGCGTGCAGGGGGCAGCCATGGGCCACGCAGGCATCCCTTTGAGCGTATGGCGGCACGGCCGTGCGTGGTGGAAGCAGTGGAAGAGTCCGTGGCAGTAGAAGGAAAGTACCCGGGTACGACGATCATTGACACCCCATCTGAGCCGCATCCCACGCCACCCCGTGCCCCATTTCCGCTGTCACTGCCAGGTGCGCTTCGCGCACCAGTGCTCTCTCATCCGCTGCCACGTCTAGGTTCTCCACGATGTAGGAGAACGGCCCCTGTTGCAGCTTAATCAGCTTCATGACCCGTATCAGCTCGTGAAACAGGCTCGTCCGGTGATCTGCCAGCCCTCTACCTGCACCTGCTGTAGACTGGCCCTGACACTCCCACCCTGCTACCAACAGGTCCACCTGCCCCCAGCTGCGAACCACCTCCACCGTGATGGTAGTCACGTCGCTCACCACACTCGCATCTACTTCCGCGCGCTCAATCACCGCTAGGGGTAGTAGATCGGGGAACTGTTGGTGGAGGATTCGGGCATGGTGATAGGCCATGCGACGTATTTCTTCCTTCTCCACGTACACCCATCTTTTGACCGTCTGCCCCGTGTGGACACAAGCCGCCAGGCCCGGTCCTATCCCTCCGAACATCTCCAGCAGCATCAGCTGCCTGTTGAACGTCTCGAAATCGTACGTGGGCTCCGTCAAGTCCTTTGCTTCACAGTACTCCTCCACTCTCGGGCTGGCTGCTTCCTCCCATCTCCGCCTCTCACTGCTCCTCTCCAGGTATACTCCAGCATCCTCGAAGCGTTGTTCAGGCACCCGGTCTGCAGATGGTTCCCTGTACTCGGGTCTCCCTCTCAGGAACCGAGAGGGCAATACAGCCGCTGTACTCTCTTCTCGCCGTAGGTCTGCATCCCAGTAGCGGGGCTGGTACGTGACCTTCTCTGCCCTGCCCAGGTGTCCACAACTGCCCCGATTTTGTACAGCAGCTCCCGTAGTCATCGGAATCCGAGATGAGGCAATGCACCCTGAGTCTCCCTTCGTTCTCTGTCCCGGGAGCCAGCACCACCTCCTGCAAGCGCAAGGTCCCTGGCAGCCATTTGCCTGTTCCCCCCTCTGCTGTCTGTATCCTCACCCCTTCAGGTGTCACATTCTCCTCTTGGTGGAGCCCCAAACGCTCGGCCAGTCGCCTGCCGATCAGCACCTGAGAGGCACGACTCACCGAGTGAGGAGATACTGGCAGAATCTCATACCAGAGCCTGTACTAAGGGACCAGCTGGGACGAATGCAGAGACCCCTACCAAGGCTGGTGCAAGACATCTTGGAACCAGGCAGGCGGGCTGCCCCGGTAACCATGCCAGACGCTCGGATGCAGTACCCATGCAATGAAGTGGGGGCACCACGTCAGGCCTGGCCCACGCTGGTAGCGACCCCAGGCAGCTATGCCTTCCGGATGCAGGATGGACAGCCAGGGCCCGGAATGGTGCAGGTCCTATCCACTGGAGAGTGAGAGGAACCCTTGGCAGTGGAGCGAGAACGGGCACTAGGGTACTTGAGAAATGCAACCGCAGCAGAGGGAATGACGGAGGCAGAGAGGCGACGAGCTCTAGGGGGAGTAATAGATCAGCATGCACTGGTATGGTTGATGTACCGGGCAGAGAAGCGATAGGAGGCAATGCGCAAGCAGTTGCTAATGATTTGGAGGTGGAAGGACATAGAAGAAATGATAGAGGCAGACCCAGTTCAAGCTTTGGACTCGGACTCTGGATTCTGGACTTTTGGAATCTGGACTCTGGACTAGGACTCTGGTCTCTGGACTAGGACTCTGGTCTCTGGACTAGGACTCTGGACTCTGGACTCTGGACTCGGACTCTGGACTCTGGACTCGGACTCTAGACTCTGATCTCTGGACTCTTGACTCTAGACTCTGGACTCTGGACTACGACTCTTGACTCTGGACTCGGACTCTGGACACTGGACTCTGGACTCGGACTCTGGACTCTGGACTCTGGACTCTTGAATCTGGACTCTGGACTCTGGACTCTGGACTATGACTCTGGACTCTGGACTCTGGACTCGGACTCTGGACTCTGGACTCTGGACTCTGGACTCGGACTCTGGATTCTGGACCCTGGAATCTGGACTCTGAACTCGTAACTCCGGCCTCTGGACTAGGACTCTGAACTCTGGACTCTTGACTCTGGACTCGTGACTCCGGACTCGTGACTCTGGACTCGGACTCGGCCTCTGGACTCTGGATTCTGGACTCTGGACTCTAGTCTCTGGACTCTGGACTCTGGACTCTGGACACTGGACTCTGGACTCTGGACTCTGGACTCTGGACTCTGGACTCTGGACTCTGGACTCTGAACTCTGTACTCTTGACTCTGGACTCTGGACTCTGGACTCGGACTCTGGACTCAGGACTCAGGACTCAGGACTCGGGCTCTGGACTCTGGACTCGGACTCTGGACTCAGGACTCAGGACTCGGGCTCTGGACTCTGGACTCTGGACTCGGACTCTGGATTCTGGACCCTGGAATCTGGACTCTGGACTCGTAACTCCGGCCTCTGGACTAGGACTCTGGTCTCTGGACTCTGGACTTGGACTCTGGACTCTGAACTCTGGACTCTTGACTCTGGACTCGTGACTCCGGACTCGTGACTCTGGACTCGGACTCGGCCTCTGGACTCTGGATTCTGGACTCTGGACTCTAGTCTCTGGACTCTGGACTCTGGACTCTGGATTCTGGACTCTAGACTCGAGTCTCTGGACTCTGGACTGTGGACTCGTGACTCTGGACTCGGACTCGGCCTCTGGACTCTGGACTCTGGACTCGGACTCTGGACTCTGTACTCTGCACTCTGCACTCTGGACTCAGCACTCTGGACTCGGACTCGGCCTCTGGACTGTGGAATCTGGACTCTGACACTGGACTCTGGACTCTGGACTCTGTACTCGGCCTCTGGGCTCTGGACTCTGGACTCTGTACTCCGGACTCGGCCTCTGGACTCTGGACTCTGCACTCGGACTCTGGACTCTGGACTCTGGACTCTGGACTAGGTCTCTGGACACTGGACTCTGGACTCTGGACTCTGTACTCTGGACTCGGACACTGGACTCTAGACTCTGGACTCTGGACTCGGCTTCTGGGCTCTGGACTCTGGACTCGTGTGGACTCTGGTCTCTGGACTCTAGACTCTGGATTCTGGACTCTGGAATCTGGACTCCGGACTCTAGACTCCGTCCTCTGGACTATGACTCTGGACTCTGGACTCGGACTCTGGACTCTGGACTCTGGACTCTGGACTCTAGACTCTGCACTCTGGACTAGGACTCTGGACTCTGGACTCTGGACTCTGGACTCTGGACTCTGGACTCTGGACTCTGGACTCTGGACTCGGACTCTAGACTCTGATCTCTGGACTCTTGACTCTAGACTCTGGACTCTGGACTACGACTCTTGACTCTGGACTCGGACTCTGGACACTGGACTCTGGACTCGGACTCTGGACTCTGGACTCTGGACTCTTGAATCTGGACTCTGGACTCTGGACTCTGGACTATGACTCTGGACTCTGGACTCTGGACTCGGACTCTGGACTCTGGACTCGGACTCTGGATTCTGGACCCTGGAATCTGGACTCTGAACTCGTAACTCTGGCCTCTGGACTAGGACTCTGAACTCTGGACTAGGACTCTGGTCTCTGGACTCTGGACTCTGGACTCTGGACTCGGACTCTGGATTCTGGACCCTGGAATCTGGACTCTGAACTCGTAACTCCGGCCTCTGGACTAGGACTCTGAACTCTGGACTAGGACTCTGGTCTCTGGACTCTGGACTCTGAACTCTGTACTCTTGACTCTGGACTCGTGACTCCGGACTCGTGACTCTGGACTCGGACTCGGCCTCTGGACTCTGGATTCTGGACTCTGGACTCTAGTCTCTGGACTCTGGACTCTGGACACTGGACTCTGGACTCTGGACTCTGGACTCTGGACTCTAGACTCTGCACTCTGGACTAGGACTCTGGACTCTGGACTCTGGACTCTGGACTCTGGACTCTCGACTCTGGACTCTGGACTCTGGACTCTGGACTCTTGAATCTGGACTCTGGACTCTGGACTCTGGACTATGACTCTGGACTCTGGACTCTGGACTCGGACTCTGGACTCTGGACTCTGGACTCGGACTCTGGACTCAGGACTCAGGACTCGGGCTCTGGACTCTGGACTCTGGACTCTGGACTCGGACTCTGGACTCTGGAATCTGGACTCTGGACTCGGACTCTGGATTCTGGACCCTGGAATCTGGACTCTGGACTCGTAACTCCGGCCTCTCGACTAGGACTCTGGACTCTGGACTAGGACTCCGGTCTCTGGACTCTGGACTTGGACTCTTGACTCTGGACTCGTGACTCCGGACTCGTGACTCTGGACTCGGACTCGGCCTCTGGACTCTGGATTCTGGACTCTGGACTCGAGTCTCTGGACTCTGGACTGTGGACTCGTGACTCTGGACTCGGACTCGGCCTCGGGACTCTGGACTCTGGACTCGGACTCTGGACTCTGTACTCTGCACTCTGGACTCAGCACTCTGGACTCGGACTCGGCCTCTGGACTGTGGAATCTGGACTCTGACACTGGACTCTGGACTCTGGACTCTGTACTCGGCCTCTGGGCTCTGGACTCTGGACTCTGTACTCTGGACTCTGGACTCTGGACTCTGGACTCTGGACTCTGGACTACGACTCTTGACTCTGGACTCGGACTCTGGACACTGGACTCTGGACTCGGACTCTGGACTCTGGACTCTGGACTCTTGAATCTGGACTCTGGACTCTGGACTCTGGACTATGACTCTGGACTCTGGACTCTGGACTCGGACTCTGGACTCTGGACTCTGGACTCGGACTCTGGACTCAGGACTCAGGACTCGGGCTCTGGACTCTGGACTCTGGACTCTGGACTCGGACTCTGGACTCTGGAATCTGGACTCTGGACTCGGACTCTGGATTCTGGACCCTGGAATCTGGACTCTGGACTCGTAACTCCGGCCTCTGGACTAGGACTCTGGACTCTGGACTAGGACTCCGGTCTCTGGACTCTGGACTTGGACTCGTGACTCTGGACTCGTGACTCCGGACTCGTGACTCTGGACTCGGACTCGGCCTCTGGACTCTGGATTCTGGACTCTGGACTCGAGTCTCTGGACTCTGGACTGTGGAATCGTGACTCTGGACTCGGACTCGGCCTCTGGACTCTGGACTCTGGACTGGGACTCTGGACTCTGTACTCTGCACTCTGGACTCAGCACTCTGGACTCGGACTCGGCCTCTGGACTGTGGAATCTGGACTCTGACACTGGACTCTGGACTCTGGACTCTGTACTCAGCCTCTGGGCTCTGGACTCTGGACTCTGTACTCTGGACTCTGGACTCTGGACTCTGGACTCTGGACTCTGGACTACGACTCTTGACTCTGGACTCGGACTCTGGACACTGGACTCTGGACTCGGACTCTGGACTCTGGACTCTGGACTCTTGAATCTGGACTCTGGAATCTGGACTCTGGACTATGACTCTGGACTCTGGACTCTGGACTCGGACTCTGGACTCTGGACTCTGGACTCGGACTCTGGACTCTGGACTCTGACTCTGGACTCTGGAATCTGGACTCGTGACTCCGGACTCGTGACTCTGGACTCGGACTCGGCCTCTGGACTCTGGATTCTGGACTCTGGACTCGAGTCTCTGGACTCTGGACTGTGGACTCGTGACTCTGGACTCGGACTCGGCCTCTGGACTCTGGACTCTGGACTGGGACTCTGGAATCTGTACTCTGCACTCTGGACTCAGCACTCTGGACTCGGACTCGGCCTCTGGACTGTGGAATCTGGACTCTGACACTGGACTCTGGACTCTGGACTCTGTACTCGGCCTCTGGGCTCTGGACTCTGGACTCTGTACTCCGGACTCGGACTCTGGACTCTGGACTCTTGACTAGGTCACTGGACTCTGGACTCTGTACTCTAGACTCCGTCCTCTGGACTCAGACTCTGGACTCTGGACTTGGACTCGGCCTTTGGACTCTGGACTCTGGACTCGGACTCTGGACTCCGGACTCTGGACTCTGGACTCTAGACTCTGCACTCTGGACTAGGACTCTGGACTCTGGACTCTGGACTCTGGACTCTGGACTCTGGGCTCTGGACTCGTGTGGACTATGGACTCGGACTCTGTACTCGGCCTCTGGGCTCTGGACTCTGGACTCTGTACTCCGGACTCTGGACTCTGACTCTGGACTGGGCCTCTGGACTGTGGACTCTGGACTCTAGACTCTGGACTCTGGACTGGGCCTCTGGACTTTGGACTCTGGACTTGGACTCTGGACTCGGACTCTGGATTCTGGACTCTGGAATCTGGACTCTGGACTCTAGACTCCGGACTCTGGACTAGGACTCTGGATTCTGGACTCTGGAATCTGGACTCTGGACTCTAGACTCCGGACTCTGGACTAGGACTCTGGACTCTGGACTTGGATTCTCGACTCTGGACTCGGACTCTGGACTCTGGACTCTGGACTCTGGACTCTGGACTCTGGACTCTGGACTCTGGACTCTGGACTCTGGACTCTGGACTCTGGACTCTGGACTCTGGACTCTGGACTCTGGACTCTGGACTCAGGACTCAGGACTCAGGACTCAGGACTCTGAACTCTGGACTCTTGACTCTGGACCCTGCTACACCTTGTCATCTCCCTTGGCTCATTTCACCTTGTGCTTGTTGCGTGGTGCAGGTCGATTCACTGCTTGGTGACGGGAGGGAGACAGCACGCAGAGGGAGGGATCTGGCGGCACCCCCATGCACCCCATGCACCCCATGCAACCCATGCACCCATGCCGCCCGTCGCGAGATACTGTGCGGGGTGACATGCCACCAGGGGTGACATGCCGTCCGGGGTGACATTCCGCCCGGGGTGAGATGCTGCCCGGAGTGACATGCCGCCGGGTGGTTGCATGCCGCCCGGGGTGACATGCCGCCCGGGGTGACATGCCGCCCGGGGTGACATGCCGCCCGGGCAGTCATGCTGCCCTGGGTGCGGTGCCGCCAGGGGTGAGTTGCCGCCCGGGGTGAGATGCTGTTCCAGCTCCAGCCAGAATTCTCCAAGCGGAGAAAATGAGAGAAATGCATTTAGCTTGTGCCCCTCGCATGTGTCCCATTACCCTGCACCATGCACACTATCTACAGGTCTATCTGTGCAAGGGAGGACCCTGGTTACATGACCGGGTGCAAGTGACGTGATCGCTAGCTAGACATGCAAATGGGCACACTGATTACAGGTTTTGGACGGTGGGCCCTACCTCAATGCAGTGTCCAGGAGAACATAAGGGTTAAACCTCGTAATGGCCTAGAGGGGTACAGAAGTTGAGCAGCTCATGCCACTACTGGATCCGGGATGGAGGGGCTTGCTTGTCGCGTGCTACATGACAACTTCTAGTCGTCTGGCGTGGTGATAGACTGACACGGTGTTTTCTTTGTTTTTGCTTGCTTCTTTGCCTCTGCCGAGTCTGCAAGCAATGGAACACGTGAGATCGTGTGGCCTGCTTGTTTTGTGGTTATGACAGGCTATTTTTCGCATCGAGACATCAGCTGCTCCTTTGATTTAGACGTTTCTTGAGAATTGGATCACTGCAGCAACCCAACTCCCCTACATTTTTCATGCTACATGGTATTGGCAAACAAGAAAGTGTGACTACAGCAGTGAAATAAGGTGTGATGACAGCAGACTAAACTGCAGTGGTACCGCATGCTATCTACCAGTTTGAGCAACAGGCACACCCCTGCAAAACCGCCATTGGTTGCACCCACTTACACTTATTCAAGGTGCTGTAACAACAGCAAGCACTACCACCGCTCGCATTTATGAACAGTATTTTACAAAGAGGCAAGTCACAAGTACCAGGCCCACAAGACATCCTCCCACACTCGGAGAGTGTACTACCACTTTTGACTAGAAAAGGCTTCTGCGAAACGACCGTGTGGTTGTCTGGTACGTCTTGATTAGCAGGCCAACGCCTATACCCACCCCAATGCACATTCCCAGTCCAAGACCCACCCCAACCCTGACTCCCGCATTGAACCAGGAGAGCTCCCCGCTCCCCTCTTCGTTCTCAACATAGCCTGCAGGAAGATCGTAGAATCCTGGAAACTGACTCTGTTGCTTGGGAGAATTCTGATTGCCCTGTATCCAGCAAATCAGGGGTAGAAGGAAATCGACAGTTCAGAGCAGAGAAATTGACAATCTAGGGCGAAGGACTGACAATTTAAAGCAGAACATTCCAGCACAGGGGTAGAGCCAACAGCACTTCAGGTGCCGCACGGGGAGAACGAATTACAGAATAGGAGGTGGAAGATGGGGGAGTGTGAGGGGGGGGGAGGAAGGGCAAGACAAGTAAGGGCTGAAAGACCAACTTCTGACACCTGCAGCATACCTGGAAAACGACGACCGATTTTCGCTGATCGTCGTCGAGACCCATCGTCTTGGTGTGCATCCGGTCGGATTCCTCAACCTCGGGAATTGCGTCCAGCCCTCCCTTCCAGTGGTTCTTCCGTCTAGCCGTCAGTTGCACCGTCTCCGTCAGCATGACCGGCAAACCGTCACACCGGCCGACTATGCAAATCTCCAGAGACGGCTGAACCGCGTGATCCGACAGCTCTTGGACGGACTTAACAGCGAACCCACTCCAGGAGCTGCTGGTGGTACAGGAGCACTCGAGCGTCCATTGACCTTCCAAGGGTAACCCTCGCTCAGGTAAAACGGGTAACCCTGAAACCGCTTCCTCCAGTGACGGTCTGGATCTCAAATTAAGCGAGCAGGCGACCAGCTTTTCGCCTTCGTGAAAGATGCCGAAAGAAAGATGTCTCCGGATTCTTAATCTGTCCGTGCTGACGAATGTCGCTTCGGAGCTTTCACAATCCGCTCGGTCTTTTCTCAAGGACAAGGAGACGTCTTCCAACGGGCTTCTTCTGGCGCCGTTAACTTCCAATTCTGAAGAAATCTCGCGTGGAGGAGAAGAAAATACCAGGTAGTCGGAGCTGCTGTTAATGATGTTCTGAGCGGATATTCTGGCGTAGATAACCTTCACGTCGAGCCATCCCGCTGCTTGGCCTGCGATCTGAGACGCCATAACGGCCGGAATTTACCACAATTCCACGTCCAGCTGACTCCTGCAAGTCAGGAACGGCAATCAGCTAACCAACCGGGCCCAGACACTGCTGCGGGAAAAATGACTACGAAATCTATTCCGTATACACGCAGAAAGCTCCCTAGTCTCAGAGGAAGCTCCACTGCTGCGAATGTTGCAGCATCTGCTGACTTTAAATCGATAGCAGACGTTGACATCCAGCAGCAGGAGCGGAATCGGGCAGGCCGTGGCAGCACAGAAACACGAAGCAGAAAACAGTCGCCTCTCACTTCAAGGATACGAAGCGGGAGGAGGATAATTCAAGCAGGAAAGGGAAGTGCATGAGTTCTTCCTCCTGACGGCTGACAGCCAGGAGAGGGAAAAGGGAAAAAGGGGAAGAAAGTCGCCTGACAAGAACAGTTCTTGTTCCGAACCCCCATCACTTGCTCCTCCCCACTCCGCCTATCCGCCACGGCGGAGCACGGCAGGCGCACAGGCGTTAACGACGTTAACGAACACATTTTCCTGGTTGTGGGATTTCTCCCTCCTAAATGGGAGGCTCGTGATTTGCGAAAATTGCATCTCGCGAACGCGACAGAGGCCTGCGATTCCCGTCGATTCGCGAACGTTGCCTTTCCGCTCGCCGAAAACGCCAAGAAATAGACATTCCGCCTGCTGCATGCTCTCTGCCGAAGTTGCCTGCGCCACGCTTGCGTCCAACCGACGTGAGTCAGCCGTGCATGCTCCCTGTGGATGCCCTGATTGGCGGTTGCGATTGGCCCGAGGACCACCAGCGAACAAACAAAGTGAATTCCGCCACTCCGGGAATACTGCCCCGCTGGCGGGCCCAGCTCCGCTGATCGAGCCAGGAAGCCTGGCACCTGTCTTCGTTTGGCGGCGACGTGTGGGCCCAAGAGCATTCCGCAAGTCATTAGACACAGCATACACTTATATGACTTCAACATACGCTCTCTTCTTATCTTACAATAGTCCAAATTCCACATCTACTTGACGATACTTGCACCTTCCAAGTCACCAGAATGAGTCTCTAGCATTGGGTGTCCATGAGTAGAATTCGTAACCACCATTCGTGAATAAGAAAGGGACATCCAGAATGCCCTTGATTTCATGGCATCTCCCACGCACATTTCGAGTGGAGTCGAACTACCTTACACTTCTGAAGAATGGCAGTGTTGTTTGCCTACTGTTTCTCAATCTCGACCTCGTCCTATCCCCGAACGCACTTCCAAGAATGCTGCTCGCAAAAGCAGCATCAAGCCCTCCAACAGGCTGAGGCGAATCTTCCTGGACCGCTTGTAACCGGCCCCGCTGCTGTCTGTTGGCATGGGTTTCGGATCGATTGCCCAAATTTCTCCTTCTACCGAGTCCTGAAACATGCCTGTCCACTTGAAGTCGACGGCGGGTCCGTCGAGGGGTCCTGAATGACGCAGAGGAGAGGAGCTCTGATAATTAGCAACAGGACGTTATAAGGCACATAATCCTCAATGAACATTACCCTAGATGCGGCCTCTACAGCCATTGCAGTCGTCCCCCATATGATCCCCATGCATCCCCCATGCACCCACCTCCTCTCTGAGCATGCAGGGCAGAACCAGGGCTCCTGGCTTGAGAAAAACGGCAGGGAGCGGTGTTTGAGACTCACAATATAACACCCTTTATCATGCTCATACCTCCTCCCCAAGCACGCAGGGCAGAACCAGGGCTCCTGGCTTGAGGGGACTGCAGGCAGCGGCGGGTCGAGGCAGAAGGTGTGGTGCGCCCCCAGGTGGTTGCAGGCGTCGCACAGCAGCAGGAGATCCTCCATGGCGCCCGACTGGCACACGCAGCACACCATGGTCTGAGTGGGGGAAGGGAGGGGGGTGGGGAATGGGGGAAGATTGCAAGGGATGGGGAGAGCGGGAGGGTAAGCAGAAGAGAGGTGGGCCACAGCAGAAGGTGTGGTGCGCCCCCGGGTGGTTGCAGGCGTCGCACAGCAGCAGCAGACCCTCCATGGCGCCCGACTGGCACACGCAGCACACCATGGTCTGCGAGTGCAAGGAGATGAGAAAAGAGGAAATGAGAGTGCAAGGAATGAGAAGAGAGGAAACACTAGCAAGACTCATGACTCAAGGGGAGCACAGGAGCAAAGAGTGAGGAGGGGGGAGATTTTCTCGTGAGGGTTTAGTGACAAGAGCAATGTTCTTTACCAAACATCAAGACAGATTGCAGGATGCCAGCATTATAAAAGGCAGCCTTACATCGAGTGGTGATTCGTCTGTGGGAGTCCTTCTCTTGAGGCATGGCACCATCACAATGCGCTCCTCCTCCCCATCCACTTGCAGATCACCATCTTCATCCATAGCAGCGGCACCAGCAGCAGCACCAGCAGCAGGGGCAGCAGGGAGACTGCTGCGCTTGGCAGCTGCAGCTGCTGCTCCGCTGGCCTTCTTGTTGCGCACTGTAATGAACTCGAAGGGCTCCTTACAAAGAGGACAGCAGGGGACTGCAGTGGCCTGTGAAGGGGGGCACACGGAGGGAGGGGCGGGCAGGATGGGAATCGGGGGCAATGGGCTTGGAGGCATGAAGCTCGGATGCAATTAGCTTGGAGTCATGGCAGGAAACAGGAGACGCCAATATCGGGAGAGGATGAGAGCAGGAGAGGGATGGAACAAAAATGGGGAAATCAGAGAGAGAAAAAACCCGCACTCTCAGCCGACTTGGGGACGCAGCAGTAGCAGACGGCGTGCATGCATGGCAGCAGGGGTTGGGGAAGAAGAATGGCGAGCAAGAGCAAGAAGCAAGAAAAGTCCACTCACTGCGGATTCAGCCCACTTGCGGATGCAACAGTAGCAGAAGGCGTGCATGCACGGCAGCACGCCGATCCTGGACGCCGGGGTGTCCTCCTGGCAGATGGCGCACGCACACCCCCCACTCGGACTCGCAAACGCCGCCCTGGGAGGCGTGCGGGCCACTTGCTTTTGCGCAGACTCCAGGTTCGCCCTGGGCGGCGTGCGGAAAGCTGATGCTGCCTTGTGATTCAAATGGGGAGGTGTGTGGGCACTTGTGCGGTGTGGGGTGTGATGGCGAGGAGAGTGCGGGAGAGCAGGAGGAGGGGCGTGGCTGATAGGGGTGGGGTCAGAGGCAGCAGCAGGGGCTGTGGCAGAGGGGGCAGCAGAAGGAGCGGCAGGTGTGGTGGTGGATAGAGGAGCGGGATGCGAGGCGCTGGCAAGGGGAAAAGGATCAGCAGAGTGCGCAGCATCGGCAGGTATCTTCCCAGAGCGACCAGAGGAGAGGAGGCCCCTTGGGTGATTATTCTGGTGGCTGCGCTGCAGCACCCGCTGGTTGCGGTTGCTTCTAGGAGACATTCCGCTGCGCTGGGTGCTCCTTCTTATGGGCGAGAGGGGACTGGCTTGCTGGGAGTGTGTTGCCATGGAGGCTCGGCTGGGTGAGGAAGGTGCGGAATACCTCTGGATTGTTGCTCTGCTTCCCGATACTTCTGCTCCCCCCACAGCTGCTACAGCTCCTGCTGCTAGTGCTGCTCCAGCTACTCCTGCTGCTACAGCTCCTGCTGCTAGTGCTGCTCCAGCTACTCCTGCTGCTCCAGCTCCTGCTGCGCCAACTTCTGCTGCACCTGCTCTCCCTGGTAACGATGATGGCAGCTCCCTCATCATTATCTGCTGCTGCGGACAGTGCTCTTGCTCCTTCTGGCGATGCTGCTGCTTCTGCTGCTGTTGCTCTTGACCATGCCCCCACTGCTGCTGCTGCTGCTGCTGGCTCCGCTGCTGCGCCTGGCAAAGTTGCCGCCCATTCACACCCTCACCTTCTGTCACACCTGCCATACATTCCTCAGGCGTGAGGTTCAGCTCTGGTATTCGCAACGGTCTCCTCGGCTCCACCTTCCGTCCCAAAAACGCCTCCAGCGTCCATGGGGACTTGCCACGTGGCAGACTGCCAAGTGCTGCCTCGTCACCGGCCAAGATCCCCCTTGTCCCTGGAAAGCCCATGGCTGCGTGATTAGAAAGCCCCTGACTCACACCACCTGACTGACCCCTTAAAGCCCCTGAACGCTCCCATAAAGCAGCACCGCCTGCATCCCCTCCCCCGCCCCCTTCTTCATCCCCAGATCCACCATCCACACCCCTCATACCAGCAGCACCACCACCTACCATGTCCCCTCTACCATCGTCCCTACCATCACCAGCAGGCACAGCAGCCGCCACTCTGCTCTGCAGCAGGTCTCTCCTCCACGACACCTTCCTTAGCCTCTTCAGCCTGTGCTCCCTGTTCCTCTCCGCACTCCTCTCACCCCTCCTCTTCCTGCTCCACTCTCCCCTCCAATCCCGACTCCTCTCCCCCTCACCTCCCCCTGCCTGCATCACCTCCTCAGCACCCTCCCTCTCCTGCCCCATCCTACCCCTTCCTACCATTCCACACCCACCCACCGCATCTCCACGTGGCCGCTGCGTGAACTCAATCTCGTCATCCTCCTCATCTTCTTCCTCCTCCTCCTCCTCCTCTTCTTCCTCCTCCTCCTCCTCTTCTTCCTCCTCCTCCTCCTCCTCTTCCTCCTCCTCCTCCTCGTCTTTTCCCTTCTCCTCTTGCGCTTCCTCTTCCTCCTCCTCCTGCTCCTCGCTTCTGTCACTCTGTTTTTCCTCCTCCCATATTCTCTCCTGTCCAACACGCCCCCCACCAGCCTGCTCATCTCCCACTCTCCTATTTCTCCCTTCCTGCGAGGTGCCACTGTCACTGTCACTGTCTGAAATCACAATCACATCAGCACTGCCGGCTCTCCCCTGCCTCGCATGCCCCTGTCTCACGTCTCTTTGCATCGCATCTTCATCCTCCTCCCTCAAACCCTCCTCCCTTAAACCCTCCTCCCTCAAACCCTCCTCCCTCAAACCCTCCTCCCTCAAACCCTCCTCCCTCAAACCCTCTTCCCTCAAACCCTCGTCCCTCGCGCTCTCCTGCATCCCAACCTCTTGCCTCACACAGTCTTCTCTCACAATTTCTTGTTGCACATCCCTCCCTTGCCTTTCCACCGGCATCTGCCCACCTGCTCCTTCACCTGGCCCTTCACCTGGCCCTTCACCTGCTCCTTCCCTTCTCGAAAAGGCAGGGCGGGCCTTCCTGGTCTCACATTCCCGCCCTGCTCCTTCCCTTCTCGGGCTCCACAGGGACGCCAGCAGCTGCCGCGCTTGCTGAAACGAGCTGTCAAACTCCTCATTCTCGCTATAAGATTCCTCTCGAGGATTCTCAGCAGCAGCAAATGGCCGGTCCATTGGCTCACCTCCTGGCGCCACGGGTGCCAGCTCACCCACGCCGGGTGCCAGCTCACACACGCCAAGTGCCAGCTCACACACGCCGGGTGCCAGCTCACACCCAGCCACAGCTGGCGCTAAGTCGGCATCAGGCTGAAGAGAGACGGGATGGGCAACACGCGCAGCAGCAAGTTCAGCTGACGAATGCAGCAGGGCTTCAGGTGAATTCTCAGGTGAAAGTTCCTGTGGGTGCTGGCCCTGTCTGTGGTCAAGTGGCACGTAGCGAGAGCCTCCCCCAATGTCAGGAGACAGAGGGCATAGAGTCATGAATTTCGCCTCCTCTTCCTCTTCTTCCTCCTCTTCCTCCTCTTCCTCCTCTTCCTCCTCTTCCTCCCCTTCCTCCTCTTCCTCTTCATCCTCCTCCACGTGTCCAGCATAAAATTCTCTCCCCTCCTCCCCCACTGGTCGCCTCTCTCCTATATGGATCCTGCCCCTCCTCTCCTCCTCTTCCCCCTTTCTCTCCTCGGTTGTTTTCACCTGAGAGCAATCAGGAGCACCCTGAGAGAAATCAGGCGCAGCTTGCGACTGGAGCAGAGAGAGGGGAACAGGCGAACCCAGGTGAATCGACGGCCATATGCCATCGCGCATCCCCCTTTGGGAGGGGCATGAGGAGGGCGACGAGGGAGAGGGGGAGGCCTTGGATGAGGGCGGTGGCGGGGAGGAGGCAGCTTGAGGGGGGGACGCGGGAGCAGGAGGGGGTGTGGATGGGTGCAGAATATCTCCCCCACGCACCACTCTTGCATGCACCTCCGGTGGGGCCTCTATGCCGTGCACCTCCCCCACTCGTACTGCCTCTCTGACACTGTCTCGTCTGGAAGGTGGCCCTGCTGCTGCCACATCACCCACTAGCCTCTCCCTCATGGGAACCTCCCCCAACGGTATGCCTCCGTTTCGTCTATCGAAAGGAGGGGGGGCAAAGCTGCTACCAGCCACCACGTGGGTAGTATTGCAGGCAGTCTCACATGTGCCATCGCCTGCTACCGGCCCTGCATCTGCCACCTCACCGGCTGCTGCTGCTGCTGGTTCCGCTGCTGCCTGTGTTGGATTTGCCGCAAAGGCATCTCGGGTTTCGCTTCTATCTGCTAACGCTCCTGCTTCACCTCGAGACCACTGACCTCCCTTGCTACCCAAAACTGGAATGTTCTCCTTGCCTTGCAATTTCCTTCTCTTAATGGGCCTGCTCTTAGTGAATCGCCTTGCTGTGCCGCCGCCAACCCCCTCACCACCACCGTCCACTTCCCACCCTCCGACTTTTGCAGAGCATGCCATGGGCCCACTGATTTCCACACCCCCATCCCACCCTCTCCCAGCATCCTCCATAACGTTTTCTCTTGCCAGAAGGACCCCAGGCTCTGCTTGTGACCCTTTCTTCTCCTCCTGTCTTGCCTCTGCCTTAGTCTGCCCCTCTGCTGCACATGCCTGGCAATCGCCCACCTCCTTCCTTTTCCGGCCCACTACTACAACCCCACTTGACTGCTCTCCCAAGGCCGCAAGGCCCACAGGGCTGCACGCTCCTTGCTGTGCGTCTCGCCTTGTGTCTGCCTCAGTCTGCCCCCCTGCCCGCTCCTCTGCTGCACGTGCCTGGCAATCGCCCACCTCCTTTCTCTGCTGCCCCACCGCCGCTGCCCCTGCAGAATTATGCTCCTGTAACGCTGCACGCCCCACAGGGCTGCACACTCCTTGCCCTGCTGCAACACGTGATTGCCTGCCTGCTTCCTGCTCTGCTGCAGGGACCCGCGGCCCTGGTGCAAGACCAGAGATGACTGCCCCTCCTTGCACTCCTTGCTGCGGTGCAGCGCAATGCAGGGCACACAGGGGTGCGACATGTGGTGACGAGGGGACAGGGACACGTGGTGGTGGCTCTGGGAAGAGGCAGGGAGGGCCCACAGCCTCACCCCTGCGGGAGGAATGGAAGGAAAGGGGGGCGAAGGAGAATGGAGAAAAGGGTCGTAGTTGGTTGGCAGCGGTACAGGGGATAAGGGAGCACGCACTAGTGCCAACTGCCTCGCCCCTGGAACAAGGATAGGAGGGGAGGGAAGGGTGAAAGACGGCCCGGCGGTGCAAGCACATGCACGGAACAAGGGTGTCAGTCAAATCACATAAGACCAGATGCAGCACGTGTAAGAAGCCTTACAAGTATTTCCAATTAACCTAAAAAAGGCAACACGTACGGGAGGCGGGAGTAAGGAGCTTCGGGAATGCGGCACGAGTGCAGCAGACAGTCCTCCAGCCACCGGTGGTTGACCACCCACACTGCGCCCTCAGCGCCCCCCCCGTGCCTCGTCTCCACGCCCTCGTTACCATCATAGGCACTCTGGTTGCTGTTATTGGAATAAACAGCTGTGTTGCGGCGGACTGCAAGGTCGTATTTCGGCCCCTCAAACCGATTGCATACCTGCAGGCGGGAAGGCAGGCAGGCAAGCAGGCAAGCAGGCAGATAGGTTGGTGGGCCGGGATGCGAGATGGAAAGCGGGGAGTATCCCCTGCGAGGGAACTCTTGGCTGGGATGCGAGGAGTATCACCTGGTTGCCTTGATGCCTGGGGCGTTGTGTAATACGTACCAGGTGCGTGTTCAAATCCGGGGAGAAATCTCTCGTGAGTCTCGCCCCTGAGGCCTGCACCATGAGCTTCACTGACGACCGCATGAGCCCCGCGTACCCTGTCAGGCTCACCACCACCTCTTCCATTCCCGCCTCCTCAACCCCCTCCCCCTCCTGTTCCTCCTCCCTTTTTTCCTCCTCCTTCCCCTCCTTCCCCTCCCTCTCTTTCTCCATCTGCTGCTCTTCTGAGTCCATCACAAATCTCGGCCTCTTCCTCCTAAGCTTCGTTTCCCCTCTCCACCACCCCACCGCTTGAGGCCTCTGCGCCTGCACCTGCACTTGCAGCTCCACTCTCCTCTCGTCACCCTCACCTCTATCACCTCCCAGCCTCCCACCCCCCCTCAAGTGCTCTTCAACAGACGTGTCCCCGCGATCTGCAGTCTTTTCGGTTCTCTCTCCCACCTCTGCTCCTCCCACCTCTGCTCCTCCCACCTCTGCTCCTCCCACCTCTTCACCTCTCACTTCTCCTGCTCCTCTTGCTGCATCTTCCCCAGTCGCCTCTCCTCCCCTGCCAACATCAGGCGTCTGCTTACCCTCGTTACTATCACAACCAAACCTCTCCGCCTCCCTCTCCCCACCCCTACAGTCACAGCTCGGGATGATCACACTGACAAGGTACTTGGGGCTTGCAGCGAGGTAGAACTGGTCCCCGTGGGACAGGCAGACGGACTCGCCCTTCGCCAGGTCCAGTGCAGAACGGAGGGAGGCCACCGTGCTGCCAGTACGAGATATTCCTCTATACTTTCCAGAATCCGCGAATACACGAGACTCGGGTCTGAAACATGTCTTGAAATGAATGGGGTTAACTCCGAAACAGGTCAACCGTACAGTGACTGTTTTGCTCTCCGATACTGTTATGCTCCGCGCGACTGTTTCGTTTTCAACAATTCGACGAGTTACCGCTGCAGAAACATCGCCATCGCCAGGGATGGGAGGCTTCGCTGCATCGGAATGGACGACGCGGATTTCGGCTTGCTTCCGGCTGCACGTGACGGAAAATTTCGGATCGAAGGGAAACGTCGCTCGACCTAGCGTCGTCACAGGCTCGCGAATTTCCTGCCAGAAAATCGGGGTGAAGATTGTGGGGAGGCGAGATTAGCCTGAGGTGATAGTAATGGTAGGTGCGATGTCAAAGCGTCGTGAGAAACAACAGGCCAAGGTGAGGTTGACTATGGACGAATCTGAACGGCGAAGACTCAACTTTTCCTGGCGTCACTAAGGGAAGAAGTTCTTATCACTAATATTTTATTGAGCGAGAATTAAGGCCTCGGACTAACCTTTTGAATGCCATTGGGAAATTTCAAGATGAGGAGCGGAGGAGGCTGCGAGGTGGTGGACCCCATAAGTTAGGACAAAGCGACGGGCTGCAGTCCTGGTCGAAAATAATAATAATAATGAAAGAATGGATGCTACTAGATGATTGATAAAAACGCGAGGAACAGCTGCTCCTCGCTTCGAGTTCTACGAAGTACGCATCGGACAGAATCTGTCTAGCCCGCTCAGTTACAACACGCGTGGGACTCTCCTCCCCAGTCTTACATAATGCTAGGCTGGGCTAACCTGGCAAATGAGGATTGACCTAGGTCTAGAATCTAGATGGGGTCAAGGGTGAGGGAGTGTTAAAAGTGGCGTCGGACGTCAAAATATGCTAATCTGACGTCCGAGACCCCCGAAACCTCCCGAAGTTGGTTCGACGTCATTTTGGTGCGAACTTTGCAATTTTACAATGACAATACTGACCAGACTGCCCGGAGTCAAACTTTTGGTCGACACAACATTTGAAACTTCGATGCGAACTCACAAAGTACTGACTGACGAATGGTCAGGAAATGTAAAATTTATCGTACAGCATAACAAATGCCGCGAGGGAGTTGTGGCGAATATTAACGAGTGGGCTACTCTCGTTCATGCACTCTTTCTTGGGCTACCCGTTTCCACGAAGCAAATTTTCCTTCCGAAACCAAGCTCCCGAAGTCCACTTCGGGAGCACCCACTTTTAACAGCGACATTAGAGGTACAGTAATTCGCGTGGTAGGGTAACGTTCTTTCGTCAACACTGACATGTCCGAAGCTTAACCTGTGCGCTACTTTTAACATCCCCTAAGGCTGTGTACATAACGCCGATCATGGCGTCAATGTCACGCTGCAGGCAAGGCAAATGGTCTCTGGAAAACCATGACTCATTGACTGATGACTGGTTACTCATACAGACATTGGGAGTTGTTGCGGGTGCGGTGAAAACCTCTCCCTACCCTTCTGATAATCTCAATATTTGTACTGAACCTGACCTGACCGAAGTCTGACCAGTTCTGCGCTTGGATTTGCGTGGGCAAACTGAACCCATTACCTGACCCATGGTCAATCATGCCTCACGAAGTCAGGAATATCGTCACCATGAATCCACCCGTCGTTGCCTCTGAAACGTCCGATACCAGCAACGCTATTCTTGAGGGGCACAGAGTACACTAGCCTGAAATATGAAGTATAGTCCTAGAACATTATGTGCTAAGGTCTACCTAACAAATTGCATTACAACACTTATGAAAAAGGAGCCCTTCTCTACTATATTTAAGTTCTAAAACGTTGTCATTTGTCATTCTAGTATGCCAGCCCCTCCCTCAAGTGGACTGCTGTACTCCTGACACGAACAAAGCTGCATACATCATGGGTCAACATACCCTTATTCCACTGCACCTACTATTATTCCCTTCCCTCACTCTGAATCTCTCAGCAACACAGGCACAGGAGCAGCTCTGTACCCACACAGGTGGTGTACGATGCACGCTTCAGGTAGATTCCACCAGAAGATGGTCATACCATGCCACCATCCCCCCATACCTCTGAATCATCGATTACCGAACACCATCATCACAGGAGCAGCAATATCATCAGGTTGTCCTCCTGGTCCTCCGGCTCATGCTGCCCCAAATCCCTCCCTCCCCTCCCCTCCACTCTCCTCCCATCCCCTCCCCTCCCCTCCACTCTCCTCCCCCTTCCTCCGTTATCCATCACCAAACACCATGGAAACAGGACAGCAATATCCGCACTGGTGTACGGATGAACCCCAGTCGACGTCCCCGGAATATACTCCGGCACATGATCAAAGTCCTCCGCCACAATCTTCAACTTATCCACCCTGCCAGGCATGCTGCCTGATTTCCCCCCCCCATACTCCCCCTCCCACCCTCCCCTTTCGGCCTTATCTATCGCTGAACACCATCGACACAGGAGCAGCGATATCCGCACTAGTGTACGGGTTAATCCCAGTAGACGTCCCCGGAATATACTCCGGCACATGGTCATAGTCCTCCTCCTCCTCCGCAATATCCATCAGGTTATCCTCCCGGTCCTCAAGATCATCGTCCGGAAACAGGTTCATCACCGGCTCCAGAATCCCCGAAGAAGGCTTTAAGAAGTACTTGATTTCTGCGAGCCGGGTCGCCACCTCGGCCATTTCTGGCCGGTCGCGGCCGAGGCGGCGCACACACATGGCGGTGACTGCTGCCATCATGTTGAGCGCCTGGCGGGGGTAGGCTCCGGTGAGACGCGGGTCTAGAATGCTCTCTACTTTGCCTGCTGCGATCTTGGGGGTGGCCTGTGGTTTGGGAAGGAGCAGGGTCGGAGGGGGAGGGGGCAGAGAGAAGAAGGCAGCACACATATTTTCTCCTCAGGAGCACGCACATGGCGGTGACTGCTGCCATCTTGGTGAGCGCCAGGCGGGGGTAGGCGCTTGCGAGGCGCGGGTCTAGAATGCTCTCTACTTTGCCTGCTGCGATCTTGGGGGGTGGCCTGTGGTTAAGGTTGGGAGGACGGGGTGAGGGAGGGAGTGCGTGTGGTTGACAGTGAAGCATGCTGGAAAAGGAATTCCAACCTACAGGGTAACAGCCTAACCTTCACATAAGAGAGGGTAACCTTGCAACTCACCCATTCCAAGAGCGTGACCATGTATGTAACAACCCTGCAACTCACCCATCGGGACAGGGTGACCATATACAACTCGTTCTCCACTGAAGGGTCCTCCATAGAAAGAAGTGTGGGATTGCAAGACAGGGTAACCAAGTAACTCAACCCTGCAACTCACCCATCGCGAGAGCGTAACCATGTACGACTCGTTCTCCACTGAAGGGTCCTCCATGATCGGGGGGCGGCCAGTGATCAGCTCAAGCAGCACCACTCCGAAACTGGTACGGCGGAGAGATACATGGAGGAGAAGAGAGGGGGAAAGAGAGGCCACGGGGAAAAGGATAAGTGCATGGAGGAGGAAGGAGTAGGTGGTCCATGATGGGGGGGCGGCCTGTGATGAGCTCTAGGCACACCACTCTGAAACTGGCAGGGGTGAGGGACAGGGGCAGACGGAGAAGGGCATGGAGGAGAGGAGGAACTTGGGCGTGGGAACGCTCATCAGTATGATTCCTTCTACCCATGGCGTTTCAGCTCGCTGAAAGGGAGGGGCCCACCTCAGCTCTCACCTGTAGAAGTCGCTCTTGGTGGTGACCTTGTATGTCTGGTAGTAATCCGGATCCACGCAGCTTGGGTTGGGGTCGCTCACTTGACAAGTTTGGCTGCACTAACCTGTAGACGTCGCTCTTGGTGGTGACCTTGTACGTCTGGTAGTACTCCGGATCCACGTAGCCCGGGGTGCCCACCACCCTTGTGTTCATGGTGTCGCCCGGCTTGTTGCTGCTGCTCTTCTTGAACACCCCGAAGTCAGCCACCTTCGCCTGAGGGGGAGAGGCCCATGTGTGGGGATAAGATTGACAGGAAAAAGAGAGGTGGAAAAGAGAGTTTCTGTTCAGCTCACGGTGTCGCCTAGTTTGTTGCTGCTGCTCTTCTTGAACACCCCAACGTCAGCCACCTTCGCCTGCAAGTGAGGCGGTGGGCAAGGGAAGGGGAGAGCAGGAATATGTGCATGTGCCTACCACCCTTGTCCTCATGGTGTCGCCGGGCTAGTTGCGGCTGCTCTTCTTGAACACCCCAAAGTTAGCCACCTTGGCCTGGGGGAAAAGGGAGGGGGGAGAAACGGGGACAGGAGGAGAAGCAGGGAGGGGAGGAAGAGGGGAGAAACAGTGCCAGGGTCAACAAACAATTACAGGCTTGCTGCTGCTCTACTGGAACACGCCAAAGCCAGCCACCTTGGCCTGCAAGTGAGGCGATGAGGGGAGGGAGAGAGAGAGAGGACCACTTGAGAGAGAGGGAGAAGGTGCGGCGCTTTATTGAGAGAATGGCAGGATGGTGAGCTGATAATGCCATCAATGGCAGGATGGTGAGCTGATAATGCCATCAATGTCGCGGAGAATGATAGCCGGCTCTAATCTAGGGTGACAGAACCAGCGCAAGACTCAACATAATGCCGACACCTACCCATCAAACCAGGTCATCGGCTCACCATCATGTCCTTGCCCAGCAGGATGTTGTTGCACCTGATGTCGCGGGAAATGAAAGCTGGCTCTAAAAAACCCTCAAAAACCATCACGTCCTTGCCCAGCAGGATGTTGTTTTTGAGGCGCCTAAAAAACCATCATGTCCTTGCCCAGCAGGATGTTGTCGCACTTGATGTCGCGGTGAATGAAAGCTGGCTCTAAGGCAGCAGTACAGAGTCACAACCCAAGGCTCGACCCAAGGCTCAACACGCGGTTCAACTCAGTCCTTACCATCATGTCATTGTCCAGCAGGATGTTGTCGCACTTGATGTCGCGGTGAATGATGGCCGGCTCTGCTGCGCTGTGCAGGTACTTGAGCCCCTCCGCCGCCCCCACTGCTATCTCCAGGCGCTGCTCGAAAGTTAGTGGTCGCTTGGAGGGGTCTGGGTGGGGGGAAGAGGAAGCAGCGAAGGGGGGGAGAGAGAGGAGAGGGTGGGAGGAGAGTGCAGTAGAAAGGGATGCAGGTACCTGAGCCCCTCTGGCGCCCCCACCACTATCTCCAGGCGCTGTTCAAAGATCAGAGGCCATTTGCTGGGGTCTGGGGGGCAGAAAAGCGGGGTGGGAGGAAAAGGGGGGAAGAGCACAAAGGGACACCGGAAAAAGAGATGCAGGTACTTGAGGCACTCCGCTGCTCGCATTGCTATCTCCAGCTGTTGCTCAAACGTCAATAGCTGGTGGGCCCCAGACCCCTGCAGACCCCAGACCGCAGGCCCCAAAACTCTGCGGCCGCAGGGGTCTGGGGGCGGAAGCGGGGGGGAGGAGGGGAGGAGCACCAAGGGGCACAGGGAGGAGGGACGCGGATGCTTGAGCCCCTCTGCCGGCCCCACCGCTATTTCCAGCCATTGCTCGAATGCAGGGGAGAAGGCTCGAACACCAGGATGAGGAATTGCTCGCCCTTCTGACAGTGTTCACACACTGCAGCGGGATGGATGTGCTGCAGCGGGATGGATGGCTGCAGCAGGATGGATGTCGTGCAGCTGGATGTGCTGCTGTGTACCGTAGTCCATGCACTCAGCAATCATGCACTCAGCAATCATGCACTCAGCAATCATGCACTCAGCAATCATGCACACAGCAATCATGCACTCAGCAATCATGCACTCAGTGAGTTGTTAGCCACAAACTCGTACACCAGACTCTGCACAGGCTTCTCGTCACAGTGCTCACCCACCCTGCACTCTGAACAGCACTGCTGCTGCCCCATGCGTTTCACTCACTGCTGGGTCAGATGTGCTGCCTGAGCATGCCATTGGCCACAAACTCATACACCAGGATTTGCTCGCCCTTCTCATAGTGACACACTACTGGCGGATATTACTCCATTTACCACATCCCATACTCACAACCCCAGAGAAGTGCCCCTTGCATTTCACTCACTGCTGGGTCGGATGTGCTGCCTGAGCGTGCCGTTGGCCACAAACTCGTACACCAGGATCTGTTCGCCCTTCTCATCGCAGTACCCCAGCAGGCGCACCAAGTTGCGGTGAGACATCTTGGAGATCACGTCCACCTGGTGAATCGGAAATAGGGTGGAGGGGTGGTGGAAAGGGGTGGTGGAGGGGAGGGGAGGAGAGGGGAGGGGAGGGGAGGGGAGGGGAGGGGAGGGGAGGGGAGGGGGAGGGGGAGGGGGGAAGATGGGGGGTTGAGGCTTGATGTTGGGCACTTCTTGCTCTTCTATGTTTTCCTCTCCTCTCTTCTTGTTGTATCCCACAGGAACCCCCCCCCCCTCTCCCCCCCAAGCGCACCCACACTCCCCACACATACCTCGTTCTGAAAGTCCTCGATGCCCTCCTCGCTGGCGTTCTTAGCGCGCTTCACGGCCCACAGCGTGCCGCCCGGGCTCACGCCCTTGTACACCGTGCCGTACCCGCCCGACCCCAGCTCGTTCTCAGCCGCAAAGTTGTCTGTCGCACGTGTCACCTCGTCCAAGGAGAGCGCTTTGACAAAGTTCTCCTGCACCTTCAGCCCGAAGTCGGACTGGCTGCGAGCTTTAGATTGCGAAGAAGAGGATGTGGGCACTGGAGGGTGGAGCGGGGGGGAGAGGTGGGGGGTTGTGGAGCGGAGAGAGGAGGGGGAGAGGTGTGGCTTAAACAAGCTCCCAAGTGGCTTGGGGCTGTTTGCCCATGCTGTACCCGCCCGAAATAGGCGGGGATGCATAGGGGGGGATGCATAAGGGGGGGGATGCATGGGGGGGGGAAATGCATAGGGGGGGAAGCATAGGGGGGGATGCATAGCGGGGGATGCATAGGGGGGGATGCATAGGGGCGGATGCATGGGGGGGGATGCATAGGGGCGGATGCATGGGGGGGGATGCATTGGGCGGGGGGTGCATGGGGGGGGATGCATGGGGGGGGTGCATAGGGGGGGATGCACGGGGGGGATGCATGGGGGGGGATGCATAGGGGGGGATGCATGGGGGGGGATGCATGGAGGGGGAGGCATAGGGGGAAGAACAGGCACCCCGGCTCCTCCCCATTCCTTTAGTCTCGGAAACAAAAACACCTTCCCCTGTTTCCCTTGTCGCCCTACCAATACCTGCCCTTCTCTCCGTCTCTCCCTCTTCCTGATCGATTGGCTCTCGTCCGTCCTCGTTGAATATGGCTCATTGAACCTGGCTCCTCCCCGTTTTTGAGTCGCTTCGCAAAAAAAACCTTCTCTTGCTGCCCAGCATCCCTTCCCTACAACTGCCCTCTCCCCAGAAACACTCACTGCTGCCCGTCTTCCTGATCGACCAGCTCTCATCCTTCTTCAGCTCACCCAGTTCCTTCCTGCGTTTTGAATCGCCTCAAAATACTGTTCCTTGCTGCCCAATACCTCCCCTTCCCCCTCTCCCCCCTTTTCCGCCCTCCCCCCCTACAAACACTCACTGCTGCCCGTCTTCCTGATCGACCGGCTCTCGTCCTTCGTCAGGGCCCCCGGCTCCTCTCCGTGCTTTGAGCCGCCTCAAATCACTGCGCCTTGCTGCCAAATACCTCCCTCTCCACTCTTTCCCCCCCCCCTCCCCTCCCCCCCTCCCTCGGCCCCCTACAAACACTCACTGCTGCCCGTCTTCCTGATGGACCGGCTCTCGTCCTTCAGCGCGCCCGGCTCGTCTCCGTTCTCCGCCCCCTCCTTTGCCTTCTGCTCCTTCTCCTCGCGCTCCTTCCGCTGCTCCTCCTCCTGCGCCTTCTGACGCAGCAACAGCTCCCGCTGCAGCTTCGCCTTGTGCCACGTGAACCCAGCCGCAGCCAGCGCCGCTCCCGTGAAGACGATCGCGAGGACTATCAGGAGGATGTTCCACCACTTCACCTCGCTGCTGCTAGAGCTAGTGCTAGTGGTGTTGCTGGGGGGAGCTGGGGAAGAGGGGGAGAGTGTTGGATGCAGGGGGAAATGGGGGAATGGAAGGGAAAGGGGTGAAAACTATTGCCAGCAGCAGCAGCTCCCGCTGCAGCTTCGCCTTGTGCCACGCGAGCCCAGCCGCGGCCAGCGCCGCTCCCGTGAAGATGATCGCGAGGACTATCAGGAGGATGTTCCACCACTTGACGTCGCTGCTGCTGCTGGTAGTGCCCGTGGTGTTGCTGGGGGGAGCTGGGGAGGAGGGGAACTGGTGGCGTGTAAGGGGGAGGGGAGGGGAGGGGAGGGGAGAGGGGGGTGAAGATGATTGCGCGCACTATCAGGAGGTTGTTCCGCCACTGCCCACTTCACCTCGCTGCTGCTGCTGCTCGTGCTGCCCGTGGTGTTGCTTTGGGGAGCTGGGGAGGACGAGAACAGCGCGGGGTGCAAGATGAGAAGGATGTTGGAGAATAAATTACTTGTGAAACGGGGGGCGCGGAGAGGAGGGAGGGGGGCGAGAAAGAGAACCCGGGGAGTGTGTGTGTGGGGGAGGGGGGGGGGGGGAGCAAATTGTTCTCTGACGACTCAAGCATGAGAGTAAAAGTAAAGCAAGGACGAAAGGCGAAATGAAAAGGAGGTGAGTGCTAGAGGGAGGTGGCACGTTGTGGAGGGCGTACCAGAGGGAGGTGTGGTGGAGGCGAGCAGCAGAGGCGGAATGGCCTGCCCGGACGGGTAATCTGCCAGGGGCCACGAGCAAGCGCAGAACGGACCCGAGCGGGGCAGGCAGAGGGGGCGACAGCGGGAGAATCGAAGGGGACGTCAGTGCGAGAACTAGTGGGGACGTCAACTGGAGAGCCAGCAGCAGCAGCAGCAGCAGCAGCACTCCAAGGCCGCACCAGAGATGAACGCAGGCGGAGACACAGGCCGTGGCGTCACTCACACATGCTGGGGGCGGTTGCGATGTCAGTCGCAGTGCCAGCAGCGGCCTTCCAGAGCGCAGCATAGGCGAACTCGGGCGCGGCAAGGGCGGAGTCGTTCCTCAGGCGGTTGACCATCTCTGCCACGTCAACCGCGCTCCATGCCAGCGTGTCGTTGCGGAACACGAGGAACGTGGCAGTGTCAGAGGCGTCCGCGCTGGTCACGCCAAAGAGCGACACCTGGCGGTGGGCGGGTGAGGGGGTACAGTTGCGTTCTCAGCGTTCTTCACACTGGGCCTGTCAGAAAGAGAGGCACGTGGGTCACCTGGTGAGGGGCGAGGGACGCAAGCACTTTTTTTGTTCTCGTTTTTGTACGAACGATAATATCGGTGACTCGATGGGACTTAGAGAGCTCCGAAGCAGAGCGGGAGCACTGATACTCAGCACCAGGATAGGGGCACCAGCGATGATACTTGGCAGCGGGAGGAGGAGACGGAGGAGAAGGAGGACGGGTACCTGACCGCTGGAGAGCCCCAAGATGGATTCGACATGCGAATCCAACGAGTCCGCAACGGACGCCGTGATTCGCGGATTGCCGAGTTGATCGGACGGCGAGGAGAGCTCCAGCGTGACAATAACGGGCGGGCAGCACGCGCACGTGCGAGACGCCTTGTACACGTAGAGGTTGGGGTACGTGGTTCCGCTGCAGGGGGGCTCCGCCACGCAGGCGGAGGAATAGTCGTACGGCGCCTCCGGACCAGCGCCTCCGCCCTTCCCGAATGACGCGCGCGAGACCGCTGCGGATGATAGCGACGATAACGAGCGAGACGACGATAACGATGAGGAGGGGGAGGAGGAGTAAGACGATCTAGAGGCGGCAACGGCCGAGGCTATAGCGGCTGCTACGGGATCGTCGCCTGTTTCTGATGCTGCTGACGACAGGCGTCGATGCCCTATTAGAATGCGGAGACACGGAGAGGGGGGTGGAGACGCGGGAGAAGTGGGACGAGGAAGGAAGGCAAAGGCGGACAGGCGAGGAGCGACGGGGAAACGAGGCGAGGAGAGGAATGGGGGAAGGCAGTGTTGAGAGAACTGGGGAGAAGGGGAAGACGATGAGAAGAACGGTCGGAGCACAACGACGAATGAAGTGTAGTGAAGCGAGTGCACAGCACGACAGGCAGCAGAAGGTAGTGAGGGTCTCAAACGCGGAACAACGGACTCTGGGCAGTTTTTCTGCAGAACAGACGCATTCCGAGACGTACAATTTTCCTCGGTGACTCGCGCACGCAGCGGGAATGCTTGTATCGAATCGGAGGATCCATGCGGGCGTCCTCCCGACGCCACGTGTACGAACGCTAGCAGCACGATGACCAATGCTGAGCTGCTGCTTCTCCTGCTGCTGCTGCCGCTGCTGCTGCTGCTCCATCGGTATTCGAACCAGCGACTGAGACTGCTACGTCGAGCCGTTGCCTGACATGACGGCTGAGCCGCTAAGTCGCACGATCGTCTTCTAGATGCCAGCATGAAGTTTAATCTACTTTTTCGCAATTGTCCGTGGAAAGCCATGTTAATGCACGGCTTTTCCCCGATATAAGAACGAAGAAGCGCTGCTTCGCTACAGTGTAACTAGTGCTTGGCGACTTCTGAAAGAGCTGACCAATTAAGAGGTGAGGCCCCCCTGATCAATATGCGAAACCCTAATCTGACAATAACGGGTTTTGCTCAACCGGAACAAGCGCGAGAAGGTCCAACAAGAATCTCGCACAGGCCTCTCCTGAGATCACGGAGGGTCACCCATGATAAATTACGTCGTCCTTGTCCCCTGAAATTGCTGTCGATATGTCGGGCCAATAGATGCTTGTCGCGACAATTTGTCAAACCTATCCGTCGACTGTTGCCCTTGAGTTGACAGCACCGCCAATGCCGTAGTACTGTCACCTACTCCCGCAGACGGTCTTACTAATAACCCTGACGGTTCTTTAGGGCGCTGCTCAGTCAAGGGAGAACACAGTGGGACAGGGAGTTTAGTGTGACTAGGCGATATGACGAGTCATAGATGAGCCTAGTGACTGCTATGGGGGCGAGCAATAGGGACAGCACAGCATCCTGTGCTGCGGCTATTGTGGCTCTGCGTTGTTGGTTTGGGACCTTGGGATTGGGGGAGAGCAATTGCAAGCGCCTGTTTGTTGGGCAAGGCTGAACCAAGGCGAAAATCTCGAGAGCCTCTTGGTTCGGGTTTGGATTCGGTCAGGAGGAAACTGTTTCTGCACACTGTAGGAACTTTAGGGCACACAAGGCAGGCCCAAACCTGTTTCGGGCTGAGGTTTGTCTGGATTTGGGCAGCTCGTGCCGGAGCGAAGCCATTGGTTTGGTTGGGCTTGAGTTATATCATGCGGGGCTGAGGGCAGTGGTTGGGAGAGGTCGGCGTCGTGCGTATGCCACGCGATGCGGTGGTGACGGGGGGAGGAGTTTTCAACCATGTTTCCTACGTGGGGGATGACATCGATGGCAGCTGAACAACATCAAACCCACTCAAACAGTGTACTGGACGATTCACCATTTCAGTACAAGTTAACCATTATGAATACGAGACAGATATGTATACTTTCATCCACTGCGTAGATCAATATGACGAATGGAACAACTGAACATATTCTGCCTAAAAAAAACAAACACAAAACAACATATGCAATGCAAAAGCCTCAGAACTTGTGCACAAATGCTTTGATGCTGCAACTAAGATTGATCTGGTACACTCTGACAGCAATGCTGCCAGTCATGATCACAATCTCTAGCTGAAAAAAAAAAACACATGGCACATAAGTCATACACCCGAAGCAACACAGACGAGAGGACCACAATAACATGTACATACAAACACAAAACGAACATCATTCCATCATACCAAGCAAATATGGCACACACATAAACAACCCCCCAAATTGGTTTTGGACTTTTCTGATTCATCAGACTTGCCTGCCATCTCTTGGTGTGGCCTTCACTTCATGTTCAAGTGAAAGAAAATGACTAGAACAAAGCATACAAGGGAATATAACCTAAAGAGTTGTACTCTCTGAGGCACAACCCTATATAGTCTACAGAAACATGCAATATATGTTTGACACGCCCCCTAGACTGGATAGGGGCAGTGCCCGATGAGAGAGAAACAACTCAGGGTGGCACTACTAGTCCAGCCTCTGAGGCAGGGGTCTAAAGACCAGTCAAACAAGTACAGACAAGGTAAGAGTGTTGGGCTGAGAAAAAGCTTTAGGATCTTTTCAGAGACTAAGTCCTACTTGTACAAAACGCTTGAGTAGAGCAGCAGAAGCGTTGAATAGTTCAACCCTTGCACTAGTATGTGAGAGCAAGTGATTGATTAAAAGAAGCAAGCATACATCAATATATAGAAAATAAAAGATGAAGCAGTTGTAGAATACAGTTGAAGGAACGGTTATCGAGTCGCACAGCGACTCGATTGCCAGTTCGGTTACCACCCTTGCAGTCGCAACGGTCAATCGCAACCTCCGGTTGCAACCCTTCGAGTTCCTTCGCCCTTTCGTATTCTTCGTCCAACCTTCTCGTGAAACCTCCGTTGACTCGCGTACCCGATACGACTTTTCTCGAGTGTAGTGTTACACTTCAGAAACGCTTAAGTCTTCGAGGTATTTCCAACACTCCCCTTCGTTTCTGGAGTGCTGACGTGTCCGGATTCGGTGATGTTTATCTGCCTGGTCAGCAGCATGCAGTATTCGAACTTTGCCTTCGCCAGTTTCTTCGTCAGGTAGTCTGCAGCCGTTTCTGTCGTAGGGCAGTAAGTAAGTTGAAGTCTCCCCTTCGCGATCTCATCCTTGATGAAGAAATACCGCAGGGCGATGCGCTTGGTTCGATTGGCGAAACCGTTTTTGTTCGCGATTTTGATTGCGGATTGGTTGTCCCAAAATAACGAGAAGGCGGGCATGGTCGCGATTTTCGCTTCCTCGAGCAGCTCCCGGAGGTAAAGTCCCTCTTTGGTTGCAGTGCAGAGAGCTATGTATTCCGCTTCAGCCGAAGATAGCGCGATTAATTCATGCTTGCTTTATTGTCAGGAAATAGTTCCGATAGGCTCTAGTCGGTAGATGTAGCCCGTTCCGGAACGCCGATTGTCCTTGTCTCCCCCGTGGTCGGCGTATCGTGTTGTTGCGTCGATGAACGTGATAACGTAGTTGTACTCTGCTTCACTGTCGTCTCGAGGCATGTTTAAAATATCGTTGTAAACCTTTTTCCATCGGTGCGTATGCAGGTGCGCTTGGATTGTGATGCGACGGGAAGGGTTGATGGGGAAGATCAGCTTCGGGGCACGTGAAGCATCGTGCGCGGGGTCGTCGAAGCTCGTGACTGCTCGTTATGAGGAGAGCGTCTTTTCTAATACTCCGGCTTGTATGGTTTGAAGAATTGTGCTGTTTGCAGGGTGTCTGAGGCGTTGATGTTAAATGTCGTCGGGAGCGCGATGGCCGGGTAACGCTGGTACAGGTCGGCGTTGGAGAAGAACGCGACGACCGTAGCGGAATTGCAGCAGACTCCTCAGGTGATGGGCATGAGCTGATTTGCTTCGGTTGGTGGTCCTCGGATTGCTGGTGATGGCGCACGGCTGGGTCCTGTTGCTGCTACTGCAGGTGATGTCCGGGAAGGGATACTTGCTGGTACTTGTCGTTCTTGTCGAATGACTGCTAATGCTCGTGTTCTCTTTGTTGCAGGGATGGTGTTGGAGTACCAGAACTCGCCTGGACTCAAGTCGGGGTCAAGATCGAGCGGGTGCGTCCAGGCGGAGAACGGCACGATGCCGTCGCTGTCTGCAGTACTGCGGTCGGGGACGAAGTCCAGAACAAAGACGCCCGACTTCAGGAGAGCACGACTGATGAAGAGGCCGCCCTTCCCGTGATAAAGACGAAACTCGTTGGCGTCCGAGTCGCTTTCAAGGTGAATTCCTTTCACCATTAACTGGCTGACGCTTAGTAACTTGTATCCCAGATTGTCGACGATGAGAACTTTGTTGAGTTGCAGTATGACGTTTGTCTCCATTGGCTGAAGCTAAACGACTCCTTGTCTGTTTGTCTTCAGGTTTTCATTGTTGGCGACGGTGATGATGTCGTCGCGGTTGAGGCGTCGTTCTTGTTGCACAAAGCGCCCCGAGGAACACATGTGTTGACCGCAGCAACTGTCCAGAAACCAGGTGTTTCACCGGCTGGGTTCGGCATCGGCGACTACAACATACGTGGGGTTGACCTGAAGACCTTGAGAGCGCAGTGGCGGTAGTTCTTCTTCGTCTGGAGCGTAAGTGGGTGGTGACCTGGGTGTGCAGTTGTCGATGCGTACCATGCAATTAATGATATTCGGTGCGCCTTGTGCAGGAGTAGAGGAACGGCTCGGCGGATTCTCTTGAGTGGAGGCGACTTGCGGATCTGCTGGACAATAAACCCGAGGACGTGTGCAGTTGACCTTGGAGTGTCCGGATGTCTGACAGTTGTGGTAGAACGGCAGCACGATGGTGAGACCTCTGGTGTCATGTCGGTTCTGCTTGTCGCGTCGATTGTAGTTGTTGTCGTTTCTTCTTTGAGTGTAGAAGACTAATCGTTGTTGCTTGCTTCGTGGTTGTCTTTCTTCAAACAGGTCCATCTCCCGTTGTTCGGCATGAAGCTCGGCGTAGAGGTGCATCTCGGAAATTCGTCTGTGGGCGCGAAGAAGCGAGCGGGTGGTTCTCCATTCTGGTCCGAGCCCGGCGAGAACAAGTGTTACGAAGCTTTCTTCAGTAATTGTGCCTCCGCACCGGAGCAGGCGGTCGCGAAGTGTCTGGCAGCGGCTCATATACTGCATCGCCCTTTCCCCGGTTTTCATTTGTATTGTTGTCAACTGCTGCATGAGTCTGCTTTGTGTCACACTATCGTTTGCTTGATAGAGACATTTCAGATTATGCCAGGCGAGCTCCGCGGAGTTTTCGTAGCTCCGATACGTTATGATGCTCTGTTGCTCTTGTGGTGACAGGTTTTGCAGGAGAACTGTGTACGCCAGTAGCGACTGATAGGGGAAGATTTCCTGCTCCATTGCTTGGAAATGGCAGGGATCCGTTGAAGTATCCCAAGAGGTGCGCGGCCTCCATCAGCAGCTCGAACTCAAAGCTCCAGGTAAAGAAGTCGTGCCCGTTGAACGGTGAAGATGTCTGCAGTTTGATCACATGTGAAAACTGCGCCTGGAGACTCAATATCTCGTTTGGTGTTTGTTGTCATGCAGCTGCTGTTGGTTGAGCACGGGGCGGCATGAACTCAAACGTCCCTGGTGCAGAGTGATAAGGCGCAAAGGTAGGCGCCTAGTTGTGCCGCCCGAATGATGAGTTGTCAAGGCTCATCGGTGCTAACCCCATATTTCCTCCGTTGCTCTGTGTTGAATGCGCTGGTGTCCTTGTCTGCTGCTGCTGGTCGAAGTGCGACATGAAGCTGAAGAACCTTTCCATAAGGTTCGGGTCCACACCTGACGAGGGTGAAGGGGTCACCATTTCTGGTACTCTTCTTGTTATTTCTTGAGCGGCGCCGGTCTCGGTTTGCAATCCAGAGTTGTGAAGTCCAGAAGTGCCGGGTTGAGTGGCTTGGGCACTGGGTGAGCCCGTAGAGGAATTCTTGCCCTTGTTGTCCATGTCTTGTAATCGATGAAGCTTTTGATATGCTGACTGTAGATAGGATGTTGTTGTTGGGAGTTTGGTCTCTGACCAGCTCTCATACCATGTTGGGCTGAGAAAAAGCCTTAGGATCTTTTCAGAGACTAAGTCCCACTTGTACAAAACGCTTGAGTAGTGCAGCGGAAGTGTTGAGTAGTTGAACCCTTGCACTAGTATGTGAGAGCAAGTGATTGATTAAAAGAAACAAGCATATAGCAATATATAGAAAATAAGAGATGAAGCAGTTGTAGAATACAGTTGAAGGAACGGTTATCAAATTGCACAGCGACTCGATTGTCGGTTTGGTTACCACCCTTGCAGTTGCAACAGTCAATCGCAACCTCCGGTTGTGACCCTTCGAGTCCCTTCGCCCTTTCGTATTCTTTCG